TCTACTGGTGATGACTCCAACCACCACTGGCAACGACGATCCTAACACTAATGGTGGTGACTCCAACAACACCAGATAATGATAACACTGATTCTACTGGTGATGACGGTTCTAACACCAACGGTGGTGACTCCAACAACACTGGTAATGACAACACTGATTCTACTGGTAATGACTCCAACAACGCTGGTAATGATAACGCTGATTCTACTGGTGGTGATTCCAACTCAGGGGAAGGTGATAACAATGATTCCGGTAAAGAGAATTCTTCATCCAATCCAGCTGACTATAAATCCACAACTACATTGGTGCAACAAAGTACCCCATCTTCATCTGCATCTGCATCAGAAGATGTTCCTCCTCTTGTTACTACTTATGAAGGCTCTGCCAATTCATTATCAAGTGGCTCCACAATGACTTTAGCAGTACTTTTCTTTGCTTTAGTTACTGTCTTTACTAATTAACGAGAAATGTACTAATGAAAGTTTTGTTTGATATTCATTATTTTTATTCATTTATTTATTCGTGGGATTTCGTTTATCGTATTATATTCTGTTTAAAGTGATTTCATTTTAACTTTGGTTTTTCGGATTTTTTTGTTCAATTTTTATTTTTTTGTTTTCGGTTTTCATTTGCAATAGAAGCATTTGAATTGTATATTTACATATGGATATTTAAAATTTATAGAATTAAATTTATAATTTTTTAATTATATTTTTCGTAGTTGATCATGGAGTTAGTTTGAATAACTTGATGGGAATTTGAAACTACTTATAATAGTATTAAATTTTTCTGTTTTTGCAGTTATCGAGTGGTTATTGTTTTTCCGCTCTAAAGTTTGCAAGAATTTTCAAAGATCAACAATATCATAGGAGTACTTTCGGAACAAGTGTATCTAAGCTTGTATTCAAAGTCACCGTAAGAGATACACGCCAATAATCTACTACTCAGCATATAACAGGTTACTCAAACATGGTATTCTTATAGGAACATTTATAGTTTCAACACTATTGGCACAAATATATCCTTTATGTAAATTTGCATTTGCTTTATTATGTAATATTAACACCAGATTTTAAGGAACTTATTTGCACGACTTTTTTTTTTTTTGCTACATAGTGCAAAATAGCTTTTATTATGTGACTGCATACAAGAAAGTTTCTGGGCGGTAATGCACTACCAATTATGATGTCATAGAAAATCATAGCAAGCAAACTACAACGAATAGCAATTCTAGACAATCAGCAAGAACCATTTTCGATTCCCCTTCTTTATTTAAATGATTTACTAAGATCCGTGATATTGGTAAACGAAGGGTTGTTAACCAATTAAGGCAATTCCGGAAAAACCGACCTGTCACTAATTCTTTTAGTAATTTATTATTCAACATAGCAAATATAGAATAAAGTTGATGCGCTTGTTATATTGTATGACATTGTCACTTCCCACATCTTATTGAACCATCCGCCTCCCCACAATTCTTAGGATCCACAACCTGTGTATTCTCTGATTCAATTGAACATGAAATTACACGTCACAAGTGTAATAAACAATACTGGACCCTAAAATACCCAATAAAATGCAACAACAGAAAGCAATTCGGAAAATTGTGATTGCTAATTAATTAACGTATACAAGAAATTTGAGGTTCTTTGATTTTTCTTTTTGTATTTTATTTTTTCTTTCTTTCTGTTTTCATTGTTAGTTTTAAGAATAGTATAAATAGGGCATGAAATCCACACCCTTCAAATGTTCTTTAATTGAAAAATTCTATCCACTGAAAAACTTTATTACAAAAGTCAATCAATATTACAGAATATCTATACCAACTAGAAGATTATCACAAACATATAAACATCTTAATACTACCATGAGTTCAAAAGAAGTTATTTCCTATACCAATGCTGCTTTGGGTCCATTACCAGCAAAAGCTCCAACTTTACCAGATAACATTTTAGATGCTTTTTCACTTAAAGGTAAAGTTGCTTCAATTACTGGTTCCTCAGGAGGAATTGGTTGGGCTATTGCTGAAGGTTTTGCCCAAGCTGGTGCTGATGTTGCTATTTGGTATAATTCACATCCTGCAGATGATAAAGCCAAATATTTAGTTGAAAAATATGGTGTACGTTCAAAAGCTTATCAATGTAATGTTACTGATCCAAATCATGTTGAAGAAGTTATTCATCAAATTGAAAATGATTTCGGTACTATTGATGTTTTTGTTGCTAATGCAGGTATTGCATGGACTGATGGACCAGAAATTGATGTTAAAGGAGTTGATAAATGGAAAAAAGTTGTTGATGACGATCTTAACAGTGCTTATTATTGTGCACATTCAATGGGTCCAATTTTTAGAAAGAAAGGTAAAGGTTCATTTATTTTCACTGCTAGTATGTCTGCTACCATTGTAAATGTTCCACAATTACAAGCAGCTTATAATGCTGCTAAAGCTGGTGTTAAACATTTATCAAAATCATTAGCTGTTGAATGGGCTCCATTTGCAAGAGTTAATTCAGTTTCTCCAGGTTATATCGCTACCAAATTGAGTTCATTTGCCGATCCAGATGTTAAAGCTAAATGGTTACAATTGACTCCATTAGGTAGAGAAGCCAATCCAAGAGAGTTGGTTGGTGCTTATTTGTATTTGGCATCTGATGCCTCATCTTATACCACTGGTGCTGATTTGAATGTTGATGGTGGGTACACTGTTGTCTAGACAATTAGAAAAAAAAACAACAACAACAAAACAAAAAACAGAGGAAATAGAACATAGAGAAAGAAAGTTTGATACTTGTTAGATCTTTTTAGTTTTATAATATATACAATATTTTTTTAGATTACGCCTTTCTGGAATGGTTTTAGTTGTATTATTCTGTGTAGATTTTTGCAACTTTGTTGTATACTGAATGACGTCACAATTTTAGCATTGACACAAGTTTGTTGATGGGAAATATTTAATAACTAAGACCGATAATAATAAGTGACCTTACATTTACCATAGTAGACCTAAATAATTGGACCATGCACAATAAATGATAATTGAATTGTTCAATACTCAGAGAGTAATTCTTATGTTTAAATCTAAACTTATTCTTACGTAATCTTCTCGCAACCTTATCGGAGTGAGTAACAATGAGCACACCGGTGTGCGTGTATCTGCGTGAAAAATTTCACTCTTTGTGGTCTTTGAATCCCCCCCACACTGCCCCCAATTCACATACACAGTTTACAATTTTAATATTATTATTGTTCTTCGAATTAACATCACTCCCGGAATACTAAACACAATGGATCATAGCGATAATCATTACGATTCAACTTCCCCCCCGAGTATCCTAGTTGTCTCAAAACTATAAATACCGATCCATATAATCTCGTAATGGAAATTCTTTTTTTTAAGGGGTTGTAATTTTTTCTTTTTTTCTTTTCTTTTCCTTGATTAAGATCTATCAATTCTCATAGGTATAGATTTCAAAAACCTAATAATAATTTCATTCATTCAACCATACATAATGTCAAATAATCAAGAACAAAAAGTTATTTCTTATACCAATGCTGAATTGGGACCGTTACCTACAAACCCACCTACCTTACCTCATCATGCTCTTGAATTATTTTCTCTCAAGGGTAAAGTTGCATCAGTTACTGGATCTTCAGGTGGTATTGGTTGGGCAGTTGCCGAAGCTTATGCACAAGCAGGAGCTGATGTTGCTATTTGGTATAATTCTAATCCATCTGAAGATAAAGCCGAACATTTAATTGAAACTTATGGTGTTCATGTAAAAGCATATAAATGTAATATTAGTGATCCTGAAGAAGTTAAAAAAACTATAAAACAAATTGAAATTGATTTTGGTACAATTGATATATTTGTTGCTAATGCTGGTATTGCTTGGACTGATGGACCTGAAATTGATGTAGAAGGATATGATAAATGGAAAAAAATTATTGATTGTGATTTAAATGGAGTCTATTATTGTTGTCATGAAGTTGGACAAATATTTAAAAAGAATAAATCTGGTAGTTTGATAATCACTTCTTCAATGTCTGGCTCTATTGTTAATATTCCCCAATTACAAGCTCCATATAATGCAGCTAAAGCAGCTTGTACACATTTAGCTAAATCATTAGCTGTTGAATGGGCAAGTTTTGGTGCTAGAGTCAATTCTATATCACCAGGTTATATTGTAACTGAAATTGCACAATTTGCCGATATTGAAATGAAAAAGAAATGGTGGCAATTGACCCCATTGGGTAGAGAAGGATTACCTCAAGAGTTGGTAGGTGCTTATTTATATTTAGCTTCAAATGCTTCTACTTTCACCACAGGGGCAAATATTGCTGTTGATGGGGGTTACACATGTCCATAATATTATTCATGGCTATGATGAAAATGACGGTTCCTTTCATGGATATATTATTATTCTTGCTATTTTTGTTATAATCATTTAGTAGTAGTTTTATTTATTCTACATAAAATGTATAGTGCAGCAAATGTACTTAGAATATAACGTCATCTTCCTTTTCTTGAAGAATATCTGCTTCTGCGCTCTTCTCATCTGCTTTAATATCCAAAGCTTCAACTTCTTGTTGAATTTCTTGTTCATTCGTTTCACCTTCTGCAAGAGCTGCTTTCAAATTATCTTCTGCTTCAGCAGCAGCAGCAGCTTCTTGTTTCTTTTCTTGAACTTTTTTCAATCTATAAAATTCTTCACGATCCATTTCATCAAGCTCACCGTTAATATAAGCAATAGTATTTTCTGTTCTTGGAATGATAACATGTTCAATGGCATTGACTCTTCTATTTGTAATCTTGATAACTTCATCCAAAATAATAAATGCAGTTTGTAAAGAAGCCAATTCAACTAATGTTTCAACTGCTTTGGTATAAATCAATTTAGCCTTTTGAACTTGTTGACCACCTCTTGCAAGGGCAGTTAATTTGAAATCATTGACATCTTCATTGATATGACTTTCAAAAGTTGGTAAGAAAACACCAGAAACATTTTCTTGTTTTGCTTTAACTTGAAATCTTGCTTTTGATACAGATTCTTGAACTTGATAAGAAATATTATCACCAGTAGCGTATTGAACTTCAGCTAAAGAAAATGCAGCTGTTTGCATAACTCTACCCATCTTTCTTTTAGCTTCATCAATTCTTTGAGTTATATCTCTAAATCTTTTAGTTAATGCTTCAGATTTCCTTTTCAATAATGAATGTCCTTGTTGAGCCCCTTTTAATTTACTCTTCATGAGACCTAAAGTCATACGAGTAGGGAAAACTTGTTCACGATTACCAGCACCTGACATAGTTCAAGAATGTAGAAATAACAATTATTGGCTAGATGTTGTTCAATTGTTTGCAAGGGAATACACACAGCGTTATCGTCATCCTAATTTTTTTTATTGGGATTTTTTTTTTTCTTCCTTTGGAATTGTTGGTTGCGTTGCGTGGGTTCTTTCCAGTTTTGATTAATTTAATTTCACCACCACTGTTGTTGTTGTTGTTGTTGTCCTATGCGAGTGCGTGCACTTTGATTAAAATTTACACATATTAAGGAACATTTTTCGTTTTTTTTTTGGTATCAGATATAACGATGAGCAGGTGATCTAAATTGGATGTGGCCCCACCATGAAGTTTGATTTAGATAAGTTGATTTCAAAAGAGGATATCTCATATGAAGAGTCAATTTCAAGAGAACCACACAATATATCAACATGGTTATCCTATTATAACTTCAAAATAAATGCCCTGTTTGATAATCGATTATTTATACTATATCGTGCAGTTAGTGTCGTACCTGATTCGAAAGAATTATGGAAGAATCTACTCGAATTGATTTTACAAGAAGGTCATGATATTCATCCTAATAGTATTAAAAAAATATTTGAAAACTGTTTAATTCATCTTCGGAAAGACAAGTCTATATGGATTGAATATTTACGATACTTGGAATCACAACAACAATCTTATGATATCACCAAAATTAGAAGAAAATTCAATGAATGTTTACAGAACTTACCAATACAAGAACATAGAGACATTTGGCCAATGTATTTAGAATTTGCCGAAAAAGTAGGTGGATTAACTGGAGCAAAAATATATTTGAAATATATGGAATATTTAGATCCATCGGTAATCAAGGGAGAAATATCAGGAGAAATGAATTTAATTGAAATTATTGAAAAGATTAGAGAATTTGGTGATATACAAGAATCAAGGAAATTATATCAAAAAATACTTGATAATCCTAATGAGTATCTGAATTTACCTAATTCTATTGTTCAAAGTATTTTTGAATATGTTGATATTTTAATAAAAGAACCACCTAGAGATGATGCTTTTGAAGATGTTATTGAACGATTCATGATTGATTATCCTGATCAATTAGGAAAATTATATATTAAATTGATTGAGTTTTTCAAAAAGCGTAATAACATTGCAAAAATTAGACATTATTACAACAAGGGTATAAAACAGTGCAAGACATTGTCAGATTTTGTTTTGATTTATGATAGTTATCTTGAATTTGAAGAGGATCAATTGATTAAATTAGCTGAAAAGGATCCCGAACTGAACTTATTGCTGTATTTCATGGATGAATTCGAAGAATTAATTAACAATCGAAAGATGCTAATTAATGATACTTTATTACGACAGAATATAAATGATTTAGATGCATGGTTTGCTCGATTTGATTTAGTTAAAGATGACTTGAATAAATTAATTCAAACATTAACTGAAGCTATTCGATCAATTAATCCCTTAAAAGTGACAAGTGTGAAGGATCATAAATTGTGTCAAGTTTGGCAGAAATATATTGATATTTATGCTAGTAGACAAGATTTCAAAACGTCAAATTTGATCTACTCTAAAGCTGTATTATCACAATTTAAACATCCTGATGAATTGGCAGATTTATATATTTCTTGGTGTGAGATGTTACTTGGATGTGAAGAATTTCCAGAAAATCAAGCTCTTGAAATCTTACAAGATGTATTGAATAAAGAATATGATGAGAATAACAAAACTGTACAAAACAAGGTTATCAAATCCAGGAAATTACGAGAATTTTATGATGATTTAATAGAATCTTTTAAGTTATAGACATAGGGTTCTCTTACAAAATTTAATACAAACGGATTAATGTTTCCAAATAGTCTATATATATATGTTTCCCCTGTTTCACTATGAAATGTAATACAAGATTTCTCTGAAAGCTGGGGTGTGTATGTATGAGATTTACATTGTGAAACACAAAACATGTAGATGAAATTGACAAAAACTATTGATTATAATGCAAATTCAATTTGACATTTTTATCGGTTAATCTTCAATAAAGAGACTCATCATCATTATCATCGACTATCATAAAAAACAAACAAAAACAAAAAATCTCGGCATAAGGGGATCTGAATTGGTGCTTTTGATATCATCATTAGCAATCATAAAAGACTAATCATATTATTTTAAATGAGTTCATATATGTACACTGAATAAATACTTATCGATATTGACAATAATTTTGATTTACATCGAGGCGTCCCTGTTATTATCAACAAGTAAAATCCTGTATATAGGTGATTCTCGGAGAAGGTGGAAAAATATCGGGATTTTGTGTAATTTCATTTGTATTCGAGGGAACGGATAAGATAATCAAGGGGGTGGAATCAGGATAATGAAAGTACTTCCGATATTATATTTATTACAATGTAGAGAAAGAAAGAAAGTAATGCACTAAATTTAGAATGACAATAGTCGAAAAGGGAGGAACAAAACATAAAAATAAATTAAAAGAAACTGAATTATATCACAGAGTAATGAACAGGAGTAGATGAACAGTGGAGTAGAGGAATCGGGGAGTAGGGGGGAAGTAATGGAGAATAAGAAGTAAGGGTTACATGGATTTCCATTTGGTGGTTTATTTTTAGTATAATAAGGTTTTTTTTTTATTATTTTTACTTTGTTGTTGCTGGTACGGTTTTACAAAATAAGCAGCTCATGATTTGTAGCGTGTATTCATGATTCGTAACTGTGTGTACACTATTTGTATGGATTTGATTCATCCTCTGTCTTTCGTCGTTGATGAATTGTTGTTGTTGTTGGTGTAGCCTTAGTGTGCATGTGTTTTGAAGGAAGGATCGGGAATGTTTTAATGAATAAACAATGCTGCAGATAACGATTCTTCGTTTGTTTTCAGTTCATATTATTCTGGAAAATCATCAAGTCAAAGATTTTAGTTGAAGAAGAAGAAGAATTAGTTTTAAATCAAGGAGATTCGTTATCGGGTATAAAATTTAAATTGAAATACAAAGAAAGAACACACCTTTTCTTCTAATTGCTTGTACCACATCACCACTGGGTCCCGTCCCCTTTGTACAATTGAGTTAAACGATTGCTATTACCTTTTTCACAATGGTAACTCCTTGAAATTGATTTAGTGTGTGTGTGTGTGTGTGTCTTATTAATAATCTTTGTCGAGTAGTGTAAATTGGTACAACACAACGCAACACAAATACTACAAGACGAAGAGTTGAACTAAAAAAAAATTTCTTTTGTTTTATCCGGAATTGCACGCACTTTCTCGTTTAGGAAATTCAATGTACAAAAAGGAATTTGGTTATTAGTGCACTACCCACCATATTTGCACGCACTAAAAAAAACATACCACAATCCATGCTACGTTCTCGATGTACAGTAACCGTATAAAAACAATCTTAACAAAATTAAATACCGGTCACCATACTGAATGTTGATCTTCTTTAATACTCAATGAATGGAGTCTAGACCTTGTTTTTCATATTTTATAGATATATGATTAACCTTCTTTTAGTAGAGTAATTTGAACCTTTCGTTGATTAAGATGAGAATTTCAAATGTTCATATTTCATTTTTTTTTTTAGTATTGTTCTAAAATACAAACCCGACTCACTTGGAACAGCAACCATTTATTGGAGGCTGAAATTACCAGTACGTTCCCAATGTAAAGGAACTAAAGTTTTTAGTATTCCACTTTCTATTTCTTTTTCTTTTTATATACACTCTTATGTTTCTATTATTACATTATTTTGTGTATTGTATCCCAGTTCCCATCATCTTGGTTATATATACATAAAAGAAAAAGTAGGCATATTTACACGACTAACATTAACAAAAGTAATCACAATAAATATAAAACAATCCTACTATCACTAGATTTTAAATTTTTTTTTTTTTTACCTGAATTTCATTCAATTCACTTCATCTTAAAGTTAATTATCATTTATTCTTCGTTTATTCGTTTATCTTCAAGAACTAATCACGTTTTTCTTTTCTTGTTACTTCGTTCAACTATTAATATACCCATTCGCTTGTAATACTACCACTACTACTACCACTACTACTACCACTACTACTACCACCACAACTACCACTACTACTATTACTAAATAATAACTAAATGATTGAAATAAGTCTCAACACTAAGAAATCCCAAAATACTAAAACTCAACCATTCCCAAATCCACCACCACCAGTTTATCATAGAGCTCAATCAACTACTTCAATAAATACATATCATGGAAATTCAAGTACTTCTACCCTTCTTAATAATAATTCTAATAATATAAATTCAACACCAAAAAGACCTGGGGATTATTATACAGCTAAATTATTAAAAAGAAGATCTGATGCTTCAACTTCATCATCTATAAATCAAGATAATTCTTCATTATTTTCAATTCCTTCATCTATTCATTCTTCAACTACTACTATCCTGCTGCAATTATCTTCTCCAAAACCTCAATTTCAAAGATCTTTTAGTGTTCCTGCTTTACAATCAAATACTCCTAGTACTTCTACTACTTCTACTACTACATGTACAAATTCAAAACCAAGACTAAATAGATCAAAATCAAGATATATTTCAAGTGCTGAATCTAAACAACGTGAAAAATTAAGAAAACAAACTTTTGATGAAGAAGTTGATGATGATGAAATTTCAGATGATGAAAGTTCCTTAATTTTATTTAATGTCCCCCTTCATAATGATTTAATTTCAAATAATTTATAAATTATCTATTGATTTAAATTAGATAATTATAACCAGTATTATTGTTATTATTATAGACTTTCGTTTTTATTTTTTTTTATTATTTTTTTCAAATCCCTTAATTAGGATATTTTTGTACTTTCGTTATATACCCACTTTGATTCCGTTCTTTTCCAATTACTATCATTTATAATGTATTCTTCTATATATATATTATTTTTAATTTACGTTAATATCAGTTAATACTAGTATATATGCACGTCTTTTATACACCACGTTCGATCCATTCAGGTGTACTCATTTGACTTAATCTGCTAACTGTTCTTGAATATGCAAACCCTTCTTCTGAACTTTTTTCAATTCCAACTAAATGATCAAAATCATATTGACAACTAATAGCTAATCTTCTATGAGAATCATACAATGCATCAATTAAAGTAATAAAACGTCTTAATTCATCTCTTGATTCAATAAATGGTATATTTGTAATTATAATACCTTCCATTTCTTGAGCTAATGATAAATAATCTCCAGCAGATTTAGGCAGTCCACAAATTTGTTCAAATGTAAATTGTCCAACTTTTGGTGGAATTGATTTAGGTACAATTAATTCTCTTCCCCAAACTGATATTTTATAATTTTCAATTGGTATTTCTTCATCTTGTTCACCAGCAAAATAATCCCACCATTTATTAATATGTTCTTGTTCTTCAACATCTCCAATTTTACCAAAATAAAATGGTGATCCCATTTCAGTTGGGGTTTGTTTAGCCATTTTGATTTTTCTATAATCTCGATCACTTAATAAATATACCACATTACATTGAGCTTTAATTAATTGAATACAAGGAATAAAACTAGCTCTTTGTATCCCATTTAAATATAATTCATCAGGGGCTCTATTTGAAGTAGCAAATAATATAATATGATGTTTCATTAATAGAATCATTAATAATCTTCTTAATAACATAGCATCAGCAACATCATGAACTTGCATTTCATCAAAACATAATACAGTAGATTTACTAGCAATTTCAGCAGCTAATAAAGGAATAACATCAAAATCTTGTTTATGATTAGAAATTTTTAATTGATGGGATCTTTTATGTAAATTTTGCATAAAATTATGGAAATGAACTCTTGTTTTAGTTAAATGATTAGGTATTGTATCATAAAATAAATCCATCAACATTGTTTTACCACATCCAACATCTCCATATAAATAAATCCCTTTAACTGGATTACGTTCAATACTATCAGGATTAAATGGTTGAACTTTATCACTTCCTGAACTATCACCACTATTGTCATTTTTACCAAAGAATGAACTAAATATTTTTGAAATTCCAATCTTGGGTGTTAATTCAGATATTGTAGGAATATGAACTTCCGGTGGATGATAATCTGACAAATGTTCGTGTAATTTAGATAATGAAGTAATGATTTTTCGTTGATATGGATCATCTTTAAGTTTACCTTCTTGAACCCTTTTATCATATAATTCTAAAGGTGTAATATTATTTAATAATCGTATAGATGTATGAATAGATCTTCGAGGAATTATACTGATAATTCTTGTAGTTATCTTCATGTCTATTAAATAAAAAAAGATATGATGCAAAATTAATTGATAAATAAATTAACAACGGTCGTCTAGATGAACAAATAAATTAGCAAATGCAAATGCAAATGCAAAACAGTAATGAAAAATAATAATAAAAATAAAAAAGATCTCAACGAATGGGAAGTTATTCAAATAATCTAGTTGGTATTATTACCTCTTGTCAACTATTCATTGGTTGAGAAAAAGAAAGAAATGGTGAGAACAAAAAAAAAAAAAAATAAAAAGAAAACTTTATTGTATGAAAACTTCCCCCACACGAAAAATCAATCGAGGAAGAAGAAATCAAAGAAAAAATTCTCAAGTTTCTGACATCTCTCACGTGAGGGTTTCACCAATGATCATTTTGTGTACAACACCTGCTGCAATCTACTTTACTACACTTTATAGTACAGTACATCTATTCCTATCTATTCATTACATTCTTTCAATTGGTTCATCGATTTCATCAACGACATTGATTAAACGATCTCTTTCATTACCAGTGGTATCATTCTTTAACCATTCAGGAATAAATTTCCATTCTTCTGGCTTTAAAACCCCATTAAAACACAAGGTACCAAATACCAACACCACAAACCCTGTGAATTGCAAGAAATGGAATGATTCCCAATGCATGGAAATAGCCACAATCCAAACCAACAATGTTCTACATGTATCAACTGTTGATCTAGCAGTAGCTGAGATTCTATGAGTAATTGAAAGCCCACAATAATTGAATGCAGCAATTGATAACAGAATTAATAATGATGAGACCAATATAGTTCTATTGTTGAATACTTGACTAAATGCTAATGGGAGATTAAATGGAGAAGTTTTGAAATTTTCAGGAGATTCAATAGATCCAATGATAAAATTCAACAACACGGAAATAATAACCATTATAGACAATCCGTAAAAACCTTCAATATAAACCAATTGTAATGGAATAATTGGGTTTTTCTCCAAAATATGTTCCTCAATAACAAATTGAAACCCTTGCAACAAAGTAGCTGATACAATCAAGAAAATTCCAAATATAACTAAAGCAGCTGATTCACCCCCTTCATCAGTGGATACATCAGAAGTTTTAGAATTTCTTGAACCACTTAACCCAACAATACCAATACCTAAAGTAACCAAAAATAAAGCCACCCATTCAAGTTTGGTGATTTTTCTTTTAAGAAACAATACTGATAATATAGCAACAAATAATACCACTGAACCTCTTGACATTTGATAAATTGAAACAGGAGTGTAAATCAAACCAATATTTAATAATGTAGTACAACTTAAATCACAAATTGCAGGGATTGCTAATTTGAAACTTTGGAAAATAGATGTCTCATGTACTCGTTGATCTTGCTCTTGTTGTTCATCGGTATTGAGTTGAATATATTGTTTTCTAGAGTTGTACCATTTATATACCAAAAACACCAAATACATTCCTAATTCACCAAGAAACATTTGCATGGTTTGGATTCCTGGTTGATTAAAAGTCTTGTGGTTAGCAGGATTTGGATCGTGACAATTTTCAACACATTGATTATCCTGATATTTTGTAAGTAAAGAATTGGCAGCACCAGTAATCAAAGTACCTGCTACAATAGCATAAAGTCCAATCCCCATAATTATTGATAGTTGAGAAAATGTAAAATGTAAAAAGAAAGTGTTATCAGTTTGGGGAAATGTTTTATTTTTGTAAGAAAAAAATAAATACACACCGAGAAACAAAAATGTGTGATACAGTTTTTTGGATGCTTGTATCAAACGGCATGAAAAAAAGCAAAAAAAAATTACAACAAGAAGAAATCATTTAGTTATACAACCACAAAACATCTATTGATAAATATGTCTAATACACCGGCTCGTTCAATGACAGGTACTCCTGTCAATACCACTCTGATGGATAGATTACATGAAATCCTGGAGATTACTACAAAAGAACATTCATTCAAGAAAAATCCAAATAGGAAAACAGCACCAAATAGAAGATATAAACCAAGTCGACAATTAATAAGTGATGAAGTTAAATATTTACAAGCTAAAACTAATTTGAAATTTGATACACCTACATATACATCAGTAACAGCACCACCTAGTTTATTACCTAGAAAGAATTATTGTGATATCACTGGATTACCAAGTAATTATAAATCACCTTCAAATCAACTTCGATTTTATAATTCGGAAATTTATCAAGAAGTTGTTAAAAATTTACCACCAGGGGTTGATCAAGAATATTTACAATTACGTGGAGCTAATGTTGTACTTAAATAAGTGTGTATACTAATATTATATAAAAGAATTGACTAATTTTTTGATATTTTTATCAAATGTAGAAGATTGTAATAATATTTCACCTTCATCAACATGATCAAAAGTATTTATAGGAGAATTATTAATTATTCCATTTAATGGATTAAATATTGTACGTAAATAACATTTATGAATATCCAAGAATAATTTATCTAAATTTTTATGATTTATTTGATAATTTTGATCTAATCCAACAACGATTTTTAATCCATTATTAGTTTCATATCCATAAACCATAACTTGATCTTGAATAAATAAAAGTACAGTATTAAGATCTCCTTTATTTTGTACTTGTTGTTGTTGTTGTTGTTCACGTAAGCTTAATGATGAAGGACTAGCAAATATATCTAAAGCCATATGACTTAAGAAATTAAATTTAAGAAATTTATTTGCATTTGAATTAGTTGTTGTTATTTTATTTTTATCTATTGTTGAATCATTTGTACTAGATGGTAAATCATCAATATTAAAAGCTTGAATATATAATGGTTTATCAGTTCTTGAAATTAATGAGATAAATTGAATTGGGTTTTGATTTATTGGTGTTTCTTGGTCTATTGATTTTTCAACTGTAGTTGTAGATTCCGTCATGTTTTTCGATATATTATTAAGTGTCTTGAACAGCCTTGTAAAGGTGAAGTTTACGTGTGAGTTTAGTTTTTCTGTCTCATTCTCACTCTCACTGTTGTCTCGTAGTTTTTTTTTTTTTTATTGATGATTTTACTTACGCATTGTGTCTGTTAGATCAAGGGAATTATGTCAAATTAAGGAAGAAATACAATGTGTCTAAATGATGTAATCATAAATATGCTAATGATATGTATTCACTTGTATGTTCCTGTTACAAGAATGTGCTGTGTATAGCCTCATCACTCCTCACAATTGTCATAGAAATATCGTTAGTTTAATAGCAATCAAAGCCCTCGGGTGGTTTTCCCACTCCCGGTGGTAAAAAAAAAAATCCCAATTCCTTCAAACTCAGCCTTGTTAAACGATATGCAGTATACTTTAATAATGAGTTGATTGGATGCCATCCAGCCATTTGTAAAGCTATTCAATTGGTAGTATCAGTTGTTGTTGTTGTTAATCAAAACTTAGTGTCATGGTAGGAGGGGCAACATGAGACAGACAGACGGACAAACAAGTTGAAGAATTAAATTAAAAATGGCTGGTGCATATCTCCCCAAAAATTTAAAATGCGGTAGTAAATCAAAATATCACCAAACACACTCTCTGACTCAGGAACGCACCCATACAAAATCTTTCCAACACAAATTACGCAGATTAGCAATTTTATTGTTCATTCGGTCATTCACACTATCAATACACGCGTACACAAAATAGGTTAAACTATACGGGATCATATTATGAGTACAGGAGGAACAGGTTAATAACCAGATCAAATAATCCTTTCTTCCTCCCCTCTCTGATACTATTCAAAGTTTAACTAAAAAGTGAAAATGCATCAAATCGGTTTTTAGTAGAAAAATTCTAAAAATACTTCATTTACAGTACATACACTTTTACACACATCGGTTACATTGTTAATTAAAACAAGGAAAGAAGTGGAAAAGTAAAAGGGAAGAAAAAAAAATTTTTCTGTCTCTCTCTCTCCCGTTCTTTATTGATTTATTCTATTTTTTGATCTCACACAAAAAAGAAGAAGAAGAAAAACCTTGTAGTTATTTAATGATTTCTCTCTCTCTCTCGCACACACTCCTTGTTGTATAATTAATGAAATATGTATAAAATCACAACAAATTGTCTCAATTTATATTTTTTTTTCTGATTTTTTTTACAACACCACTTATTTTGTTTCTTGTTTTTACAACCATTTTACAACCACATTTATTGTAGTAGTTGTTGTCTATTTTATCACGTTCGTTCTACCATCCCTTAGTTGTATTACCACACACACTTCTATATAAATCATGGCTATATTTAGATCAAAATCTTCAAATAAAACCCCACAGAAAGTGGATGATATTCAAATTAAAATATCTTCACAAGATGAACAACAATATAAAATGCATTCAGCTAATGTTCATGATCCTATTTTATCTGCTGTTCAAGAAGCTCAACCTTTTGAACAAGCTGCTCATAATGGCGCTGAAGGTGATCCAGATGCAAGAAGACCATCTTATTTATCCCAAGATTCACATGATTTAAAAGATATTTTTGGACAACCTATTGTACAAACAGATATGTCTAATCCTACAAGAAACAGAAATGAACGTCCTTTAGATACCATTAGAGGGTTTGAATATGCCATCACTGGTGATTTAACATATCGTGATCAATTAGAAAGTAATCGTTTAGGCTGGGGTTTCCATGAAGATTTCCCATACTATAATTTAAGTGGTCAAGGAAATGATAATAATAATCTGGGATATGGTAATAAAGATGGATCAGGAAATGCATATTCAAGACCAGTGATTAATTTTGATGAACAACCAGTTTATCAAGCAGGTAATTATAGTGCTAGTAGTTTACAAGCTGATCAAAACAAACTGCAGAAGAAGAAAAAGAGAGGTTTATTTGGTAGAAAGAAATAGACTTGATTATTTGTATGTTTGATATTGTAATGAGTTTTTTTTTTTATTATTATTATTAGTATTATAGTTTTGGTTTGTATTATTTGATTTTTATTTTAGTATTATATCTTTGTATAGTAAATACATTACAGGTTTTTAGTTTATTGATACAAATGAAAAAAAAAAAAACACTGCCACCTCCTTTCGAGAAAATTTTCTTCAAACGTTTATAGGACAGATTTTTCCTCTTTTTCTTCTTTCTTTTTGATCGTGGAGTCACGTGTCACAAAATCAAACCATCAGAAAAAAACTTTAACTGCAAAAAAAAAAATTGACATTTGACATTGACAATAACAAGCCTATAAAAATACCTTAGAAAAAAAAAACCCCTTGTGTGATAACTTATCTTTATAAAGGTTTCATGATTTCTTCATACAACATTTTCTTTAAATCTTCAATTGATAATTGATCTTTCATTTTATCAAAATCAAAGAAATCTTCAGGAATTTTATCACTGATTGGTTCATCATTTGGATCATGATATAATTGTAAATAAGGATGTTTTAAAGCATCTTCAACAGTGATTCTTTTAGCAGGATTGAAAATTAATAATTTTTCCAATAAATCCAAAGCTAATGGATTAATTCCTGGTCTACTATTAAATAATTCACTAAATGGGATTTTCTTACAAAATGGTAAGGATCTAATATATTCCCTTGCTCTTTTACTCTTGATATTATAATAATCTTCCATATTTGGAGTACCCAAAACCTCCATAATTAACCATAATTGATTATGATAATCTCTACCGGGGAATAAAGGTCTACCACTCAACATTTCTGCCAATATACATCCAACAGACCAAACATCAATAGCAGTGGTATATTCTTGGAAAGTCAACATGATTTCTGGTGCTCTATACCATCTAGTAGCAACATATTCTGTCATATATCCATAATTATCTTCTTGAGATGCAATTGATCTAGCTAATCCAAAATCACAAACTTTTAAATCACAATTTGAATTTAATAATAAATTTGATGGTTTCAAATCTCGATGTAATACATTTGCCAGATGCATTGCTTTTAATGCTCTTAAAGTTTGATAAATAAAATATTGAATATGATCATCTGTTAAATTTTGGGTTCTAATAACTCGGTGTAAATCTGTTTCCATTAATTCTTGAATAAGATAAATTTCATTAAATGATTCATAATTTAAAGGTCTTTGAATGGCTAATATACTAATGATATTTTCATGATTGAAATGTTTCAATAATTTTAATTCTCTTAAAGTACGTAAGCACAACATACTTCTTTCAAATGGTTCAATTTTTTTGATGGCTACTTTTTGATTTGATGGTTTATGAATAGCTGAACAAACGATACCATAAGCACCTTCTCCCACAATTTCCAATATTTGATAATGATCTGAAACATTAAATGAAACTTGACGTTGAGATGAGGCTGCAACTGCTGCTGCTGCCGCCTGTGCTTGAGCTTGTGCTTGTGCCTGGGCTTGAGCCTGAGCCTGTGCCTGAGTCTGTGCCTGTGCTTGTTGCTGTTGTTGATGGTGTTGATCTATATTCATCATTGTAATTCTTGACTAGTATGATTTGTTCTAATGAATGTTATAAACTGTAGTTGTATGTATAAAGGAATGAAGGATCTGATGATAGTGTTGATGATAGTAGTTCTTTCTTGTTTTTGTTTTTTTGCTTTGAACTCAAATGATATATAAGTTTGAAATATGAAAAGGAGTGAATAATTATATAGGATTTGAGCAAAAAAAAATCAAAAAAAAAAAAAAGAATTCTTTGCTTAAAAAAAAAGGTCAACTTCTTTTGTTCTTGTTGTTCTTTATTTGAGTGAGCAAGGGAGCAAAGAAAGGGTAATAGAAATTTTTAACTATGTGGTGTTATTATAGTATTGACGAAAGAAATGAATTTCATAAAATAAGCAAAAAATCAAAAAATCAGAAAATCAGAAATCAAAAAAAAAAGGATCAACAAGAAACATGGCTGAAATGTGAAGAGGATCATCTTGAATATTTATACAATTATCACTGATCAAATCCTCTTTTTTTTTATATAATGTACTCTGTGTGTCTTTTCTTTTTTGGTTTTTTTCAAGCCAAACAGTTTGTTTTACACATATCACGGTACCACAAAAACTAAAAGACGAAACGAAAACATATTGGAAGAAACAATGAAACCCAAATTTCTTCAAGTAAAATTTGGTGGGATAAAATTTACAACTAATACAAGATCACAAAATCAACTGGACATTTACAATTGACAATGTAAAGTGTTATTGCAATAATCAACTGGCATTGAAATCATGTCATGAATTATGTATGTATGTGTATGTAAATCTCCTACCAATTTAAAAAATTAATTGAAATAAAACACGTCTAATTAAACTTTCACTTAGAAAATGGAAATTCAATGACATCCACTTGAACATAGCCATTGTTCTCTTAGTCATATAAGTGACAGCATCAACCTTGCGACACAACTCACCATAACTCTACCCATCCACGCGACACTTTAAGTCTCATGCAAGGCATTTTCTGTGGTTTACCACACAAAAAGCCATGGGAAACTACTAGCGAATACATACATACATAGATGTATTTTTTTTTACCTACTTTCTTGGGGATTGACTTTTACGTACATGTATATTTCAACCTCAAAAATACATGAATGAAAGATGAATAAATTCTCAATAATTATGGTTATTATTTTGTTTGTCTTCACTAATACGTTTCACCTGAAAATGTTATCTTTCATCATCAAAGACACTTGTTACAATTTCGCAGTCAAAAAAAAAAGAAAATTTAAGCACTACGAGTATATTATCTTACTGTCACATCCTCCCTTTCCACCACACTTCGCTTATTCCTTATCATCTAAAACCAGTTAAAATACAAAAAAAAAAAAAAAACAGGAAAGAAGAAACAAAAGAGATGGAGAGCAATATATGTTTGTGAGTTTCTCATTCTTGTTTGAAATCACATGATGAGGGTTAAAGACAAGTACTGGGTTTGTATACACTTTAAACCATCATACATTGACTAATGTACTTATCTTCCTTATTAGTTGTTATTTGCAATCTACTGCTATCCATTTAGTAAATGGATATCTATTGCTTTAAGTCTATATTAGGATAAAATACTCTAACGATTTACAATGCAATAAATTACCCGTACATATTTCCTTTTTTTGTAAGAAAATAAAAGATGCAATGTTTTAACCTATCGTCAGGAACAAAAATGAATGAAACCCAAACTATCCATTACTTTGACTCTTAAACTAATATAATAAATCCTATATAGACATACAGACATATAAGATTCATTGTAAATTTTACACAAGTCAATTCACACACAAATATTTCCCACTTTAACCTGCCTTGTTCCAATTCAACAATAACAAAAGAAACCACCCAGAGATTCTTTACCGCCTCAAATAGAATTCTTTATCAATATTTATCGTCTTCTGTTACCAATTCTTACTACTTTTAATCAATTATGCAGTTAAAGAAATACACCAGAATAAGGTGAATTGATACATATTAAAAAAAAATTTCAATTAAACTTCCTTATTTAATTTGAATAAAATATTGTTTGACATTCAGGAATGATATCAAATACAGTTTTTGTATGTAAGTCTTATATGTAAATTAACTTTAGAGTGCAAAAAAAACAAAAACGTGTCATTCTGTTAGTAAGAACTTGTCTATCTATCAGTGGTACCTTAAAAGAAACAATGGTTGTTTTCACTTGAATTTTTTTCTTGTTGTGCATTATATTGGTTGTTGTGCCTGGCATTTATTGTAATTTTACAATGAATTATTTTTTTTTTTTTGGTTTTGGTTTTTGTACCTCAAAGGGGATTTATACACACAGTGGTTAACTAAACATATATCTTTTCGTGTTTTTATTTAAATAGGCTTATTTGGGATCAAGATCTGGAATCACGATATTGTTTATCTACTACAATTATTATTCATTATTGTTTAAATTCTAATACAAATTGTTCTATTTTTCCTTTTTTTCTTTGTTAGTTAATTGGTTGACTTTTAATGTGCGTTTCAAAAGAGAATGTTGTTGTTTCAAATGTTCAAATTGGGCAACTCTCTACATGAACTATTTGGCTTTTGTGCACGCACACACACACACACACACGCAGTGTATAAACAGTATCAACTTTCTTTTTGGCACTCTTCTTTATATTAAAAACACACACACACACAATCAAACTATGGAGGGAAATGAACAAAACATTGACTACGTTTCTATTTACTCATTTTGTTTGTTTTCACTTCTTTCTAATTGTCTAGACCTATCGAAATACAAATTAGGATGAGTTATGTGTAAACTTTCTTTATTTGTTAAATTTCTTGAATGAGTAATTTCAAACACTCTAGTACAAGCAACGGTATAATCATGTTTATTGACATCATCAATTATATTGTTTAAATCTTGTTGATCTTTAACCCCCATATTGTTTAAACTACTAACCAATGAATCAATTGGGAAATCACGATATGGACATCCATGAAATTCATTTTTATTGGCTGGTTTTGGTTTAGATAAAATTGTTGAACAATCCCATGGTTTATAATTAATTCTAGCCCCTTCTAATCCATATTGATGACGAATATTATATTTGTACTCTTTATTGAATGTTTCTAATGTCATATTATTCTTGGTAAATTGATAACTCCAATATTTTAATGCTTCATCAACATTTAATCCAATACCTTTAAGAAATAATCCCAATTGTTGTCTACCTCCATATTTCAAATGTGAATTGGCAATAAGATTACGTTGCAAATTGGTAGCACAAAGGGGGAAATGTTTAGTAATTGATGGAGTAAGCACCAGTTTAGCATTGATATCACTAATTAATTCCGGATCAATTTCAGATTCATATTGGAAATTAGCAAAATTACGTGATAAATTATTCAATAATGGTAATAATCTATCATCTTCTTCTAATCTTGGTATTGTTTGGAAAGTTCTTATTAAATTACTAGATAAAATTTCTTGAAATTCAATAGCTAATAAATTCAATTGCAAACTTGTTGGTAAATACCCATATCCTTTATGTAAGAAAATGGATCTTGTACTAACCAAATTTGTAACTTTTTCAAATGGTAATTTAATGAAATTTTCTTTATGAATAAAATGTTGTCTAAGCTGATCATTAGATATATTAGTTACACCTTCAGATAATAATTGACCTCTAATTGAACCACCACTAGCATTAATTAATTGTGGTAAAAATTTTTGTTTCTCTTCACTGGAGATATATTTCCAAGGTAATCTATATTGATTCAACTCAATAAATTCTTGTTGTTCTTTTGGTTGTAATAAATTATATCTAACTTTAAATAAAATAGTTTCATTTTTAATAAAATTCTTTCTTAATTCTTCAGAACGACAAAAAACTAATCGAAGAATAAAATGACTATAATGATCCTTCATTCTTTCTTCAATACAATTAACACTACCATTTGGATTCAAAGGTAAATATTTCAACAACAATGGTTTAACAGAACTTTCAATTTCTTTTAATGATTTAGATCTAGCTAAACATGATTCTATTTCAATTAAAATTTTTAATCTATCAATAGCCCAAGTTTCAAATTGTTCTAATGTGATTTCTTGAGTTGGTGGTAAATCATAAAATGATAATCTTGATGTGTATAAAGTTGGTGGAGTAGAATATTTCACTGGTGAATCTTCGTCAATAGAATCTTCAAAGTTTCTTCTCCCAGCTGTTCTTCTTTTAACTTGTCTAAACATTATTCAACAGACTGTTGGTGATATGATATGAATGAAACAAGATTGGCTAACTACGAAAAAAAAAAAAAATTTACTGAAAAACAAAAACACGCTTCGTGTTACGGTGCGACGCGTTACATGAATCTGATGTCTCAAACGCGTGCGACATTTCTATCCACGTGACTACGACATTGCGACTTGGCAACACGTCTTTCACATTTTTTTTTTCGTTTGCGCTGAATGAGCAGAAGGAAGAACGAAAGAACGAAAGAACGAAAAAAAAAAAAGAAAACTCCCCAATTCAGCAACACGAATCTAAACTACACCTACACACAAATCACGTCTTGATATTTTCAAAACATGGCTGATGTTTACATTGATGCTCCGACATTCTATAAGAGATTGTCTGTTTTACAAAAGAAACTTGATGATGATGGATTTTCACAAGCTTTGATTGTCACAGGTCAACGTCATGATGATAATACCTATAAAAAATCAACAGTTTTACAAACTTGGTTATTGGGTTATGAATTCGTCCATACTGTTATTTATGTCACTAAAGATAAGTGTATTTTCATTACATCTGAAGGTAAAGCCAAACATTTGAAACATTTAACTAATAAACCAGATACTGTTGAAATCTGGCCTAGAAATAAAGATGCTGAACATAATAAGCAATTTTTTGTTAAATTAATTGAAGAAATGAAGAAAAATGGTACTGAATATGGTAGTATTTTGAAAGATAAATATGAAGGTAAAGTTGTTGATGAATGGAATGAAGAAGTTGGTAAAACTGATTTAAAACCAATTGATGTGACTTTAACTATTTCTAAATCTTTGGAAGTTAAAGATTCTGAAGAATTTAATAATACTAAAATTGCTTCTAATTCAAGTGTAGTAATGATGGATAGTTTTGTTAATGATATGATGACAATTGTTGAAGAAGATAAGAAAATCACCAATAGTCAATTAACTGATCAACTTGAAGATAAGATGGAAAGTAATAAATGGTATTTAAAATCTAAATTAGGTAAAGAATTATTACAATCAATTAAGGAATTTAATCCTGAATTTCTTGAATATGGTTATTCTCCAATCATTCAAAGTGGTGGAGAGTACGATTTAAGACCAAGTGCTTTATCCAATGATAAGAAATTGATTGGTGAAGGTGTTATTCTTTCTTCCATTGGGTTGAGATATAAAGGTTACTGTTCTAATGTGGCAAGAACTTTCTTGATTGATCCAACAAAAGAAATGGAACAAAATTATGATTTCTTGCTTAAATTGCAAGAGCACATCACTGGTACTTTGTTGAAAGATGGTGTTGCCGCAAATAAAGTTTATGAAGGTGCAATTGACTATATCACTAAAGAAAAGCCAGATTTGGTAGATCATTTCACTAAGAATTGTGGTTGGTTAATGGGTATTGAATTTAGAGATGCAACTTTTGTCTTGAATGTCAAGAATGAAAGAAAATTGTCCAATGGACAAATTATCTCATTAACTATTGGTTTCAGTAACTTACAAGATGAGAAAAAGAAAAAGTATGCCTTGTTGTTGACCGATACTTATAAAGTTACTGACGACGCACCAATTTTGTTGACAAAATACGATAAATCCAAGTCATCAGTTGCATTCTATTTCAATGATGATGAAAAATCTAAACCAAAAGTGCCAAAGATTGAACCTCAAGATAATACCAAAATTCTTAAGTCTAAATTGAGACACGAGAATGTTAATGCTGATGATAATAATTCTGAAAAAGTAAGGCAAGAAATTCAAAGTAAATTACATGAAAAGAGATTGGAAGAAGGTTTGGCAAGATTTTCTAAAGCAGATGCTACTGATGCCAATGACTTTAAGCCAGTTTTCAAAAAATATGAATCGTATGTTCGTGAATCACAAATTCCAAATAGTGTATCTGATTTGAAAATTCATATTGATTACAAGAATCAAACCATTATTTTACCTATTTCTGGTAGACCGGTTCCATTCCATATCAATTCTTACAAGAGTGGTTCTCAAAATGAGGAAGGTGATTTTACTTATCTTCGATTAAATTTCAACTCACCAGGTGCTGGTGGTAACACAGCTAAGAAGCAAGAATTGCCATATGAAGATTCTCCAGATAACACCTTTTTGAGATCTATTACCATTAGATCTAGAGATCGTCAACGTATGGTTGATGTTTACAAAGCCATTCAAGATTTGAAAAAAGATTCTGTTAAACGTGAACAAGAAAAGAAACAAATGGCTGATGTTGTTACTCAAGCTAGTTTAATTGAATTGAAAGGTTCAAGGGTTAAAAGATTAGATAATGTATTTATTAGACCAACACCAGAAACCAAGAAATTGGGTGGGGTTTTACAAATCCATGAAAATGGTTTAAGATATCAATCAAGTTTCAAGCAAGATCAAAGAGTTGATGTTTTGTTCTCCAATATCAAACATTTGTTTTTCCAACCATCCAAGGATGAATTGATTGTTTTAATTCATTGTCATTTGAAAAACCCACTTATGATTGGTAAGAGAAAAACATATGATGTTCAATTCTACCGTGAAGCCAGTGATATGGCGTTTGATGAAACTGGTGGACGTAAAAGAAAATACAGGTATGGTGATGATGATGAATTACAACAAGAACAAGAAGAAAGAAGAAGAAAAGCACTTTTGGATAAAGAATTCAAAGCATTTGCTGAATTGATTGCTGAATCTTCTCATGGTATGGTTGATTTGGATATTCCATTTAGAGATTTAGGATTCCAAGGGGTTCCATTCAGATCATCTGTTTTGTGTGTTCCAACCAGAGATTGTCTTGTTCAATTGATTGATCCTCCATACTTGGTTGTTACTTTAGAAGAAATTGAAATTGCTCATTTAGAAAGAGTTCAATTTGGGTTGAAGAATTTTGATTTGGTATTTGTATTTAAAGATTTCAATAAACCAGTTGTCCATATCAATACCATTCCGGTTGAACTATTGGAGGATGTTAAATCTTGGTTAACTGATGTTGATATTCCAATCAGTGAAGGTCAAATGAATTTGAATTGGGCTCAAATTATGAAGACTGTGCTAGCCGATCCATATCAATTCTTTGTTGATGGTGGTTGGTCATTCTTGACTGGTGATGGTGATAGTGATCAACTGGAAGAGAGTGAACAAGAAAGTGAATTCGAAGTTAGTGATGAAGATCCACAAGATGAAGATGAAGAAAGTGACGATTATGCCAGTGAAAGTGACGATTATTCTGGATCTGATGCTTCTGAATCTGGATCTGGATCTGAAAGTGAAGGTGAAGATTGGGATACATTGGAAAAGAAAGCAGCCAAAGCTGATAGAAATTCTGGATTTGATTAAAGAGATGGTGATTGTATGTATTAGTAGTCGTTTTGTTCATTTTTTCTGTATTTTAAAATATTAAAAATAAAATAAATAAATAAATAAATCAAGCAATATATATATATAAATAATTGGTAACTGTTTTTGATGAGGAGTAATACATTATGATAAATCTATCGAAGACCACATATCTTTAAAATTCCACCAACTTGCACCCAGACCACAAACACCAACCCAGAATGGAGATAAACATCCTTCTCTTAAAGACCAATGTAATACCAATGGGATTTGAATAACATTTTTAAATAAATTAATTTGCCATGATTTATTACTCCATTTATTAATTGGAGTTCTTCTAATTAATTCAATAATTTCAATAAGTAAATAAACACCCCAAACTCTACAACACCAAATATAAGTTTCAAAACTCCACCATGGATTATCATTAGTTGATATAAAGTCGTGATCAGTTAACCAACCTGCATTCTCCAATAATTCTAAAACAACACAATTTATAGATTGTAAGAAATTTATAAATCTATCAAATTTTGGAATAGTAGTAGTAGTAGAAGATGATTTAAATGAATGATATTCATCAATTACCCAAGGCATATATTTTATTGAATCAGTTAATCGATTGAAAATTCTAATATCTGCTAAATAACTATTAATTTTTTTCAAATTATAAGCTAATTTAGATGGTTTACCTTCGATATAAATAGGTTTTGAAGGATTTAATACTTTTTGAATAATTGATTTTCTAGAATTATTTGATTTTTCATCATTAGTAAATTCATTATTTTTATCATTTAAAGATGATGAATTAATTAATTGAGTTAATTTAAACCATTGATTTTTTAAAAAGAATAATATCTTATATTTATTATTCAATATTGATGAAATTAATAATGAAAAATAACAAATAAAATATAAATTAGTATCAACTGTTGATGAATTACTTAATACTTTATCATTTATTTCTTGATAAAATTTCCTTGATAATATTGATTTTTTCAATAATCTTTGAATTTTCAATAAGAAATTTATAGGTAAATGAGTTATCAATGTTGTTGAATTGGTTGGTAATTTTTTCATTGGTGTTGATATCTTTGATATTCCTGATATATTCATAATTAAGTCTTACTGTGAAAATATATATATATATATCAACGAATAAGAATCAAGATAATTAGTTTTAGAAATGCAAATAATAATAAGAAGAAGAAGAATAACAGTCAAACTAAATTAAAAATATTCAATCTGATTTTCACTTCCTTTATATTTATCGGAGATTGATGTCTTTTTTAATTTTTTCTCTCTCTCTCTCTTTCATTTGTGCGGGTGAGCCAATTTGCTCGCAATCAATTTACAAAATCAGCAACTCGGACCGCGGCTAATGGGTGTGATTACACGTGACATGTCTATTCCAATTCTACATTGTATTCCTATTTCTATTGTATCAATATATGCGATTAATAGGTAAATACCCCAAGAGATCTATTTCGGCATACTAACAATGCAGTCGTAAATACCATTGATCATATTCATTTGGTAAATAGACCTATCATTGTGTGTGTGTATATCCAGCGGATATATCACTATTACTGAAGTTTCCATATGTGAGCATATATTCTACTAGGAGCAAACATATCATCCGAGGTGATTCATATCATTTACTATTCAAATGGTGAGTTCACACTCAATAATCAGTATTATTCATCATTCAACGCCTTCTATGGCAGTATTCAGTCTAAATTGTCCCCTAGGGGCAATTAGTAGCAAACACACGACTTGAAGGTATCAAAATTGCGTGTGCATTGACACAAACTTGATAATCTATACAAGGAGAAGCCGTTCGTATCAACTTGTGCTTTTCTAATAATAGATACATGGGTTTTCTTGTCCAATGACTATGGGAACACAAATGGAAGATGAATGTTGATACATAAAACAAAAGTCTTGGAACCCCTTAATTATTTTTTGTTTCATTAATGATTTTTTTTTTGACACTAATTTTATACATTCATTCATGAAACTGCAAAATTTCCAGGGGAGGGGGTGGGAGGAAACTTTTCAGAAATACTATATATATTCTACCGAAATTGTCGTTTTTTTTTATTGGAACTGCTGATTTAAGTATTTATCTTGTATGTCAAAATGGTTGAATTTGATGGTGATATATTTTTAAAAACCTTCTCCTCTGATCTTATCTTGAAGATTTTTGGTTATGTTCCAAAACAGTTATTGATGAAGATTAAAGATGTTTCTTCAATTTCAAAATACATATTAAAGGTGGTTTATAACGCTTGTGTTATTGTTAATGGAGCTGATATTCTTCATCCAGGAGAATACTTTAGAAAAGTGAAATTGATTGAAGAAAGTGAAAAGATTCCTCTTGTTGATGATGATTTCCTGTTTGTTCCAACATTTATCAATATCGATAAATTTATTGACTTTCGTAAAGAATACCCAGATTTCAACCCAAACAAATTAATATTTGAAAATGTTGAAGATTTCATTAGATTACATAATTTAATTCCAGAAACATTACAAGGAATTCAATCATTTGAAATCCTGGTTCCATCTTTTTTTTCAAACAATTTAAATCTCATGCTTGGTGGTGAAAGTGTTTCAGAAGATGAAAGGTTTCACGCGTTAAACGCGTTGATTGCATCAATGCCGTATAACATTGAAAGTCTTAAGGAATATCCTATCAGTCTGCAAGGATTGCTTGTCCCTGATTCTGTTAAAGAGTTGGAAATTGTTGCTGAAAAGGATACTACTGTTGATTTTTCACTTTTGAAAGATTTGCCAAATTTGACAAGATTGAAAATTACTGGGGCAAAACTTGAAATGAATGATCTTGAAAACTTACCATCTAACATTGAAAGTTTACAATTAATCAAATCTTTAGTCATTGAAGATTGTTCAAATCCACATTTTCCAACAGATTTGAAACATCTTGAAATCAATCCTTTCAAAATGGTATCCGATGAAGCAGATGATGAAAAAGATGAAGCAGATGATATTAGCTGTGATTTATCCAGTTTGGAAAACTTGAAAACTTTAAAACTTTCAAATGTTAGATCATCCTCCTTGGATTCTTTGGAGCTACCAAAAAACTTGAAAACCTTAATCATAAATGAATCAAAATCGTTAACTAGTTTGGGATCTTTAAAGAAATATCATTTGGAAAATCTTGAAGTTTTTGAAACTGATAAATTACCGCCAAATGCTATTTTATCGGAAGACGTACTTCCAGTTGGTTTGAAATCTTTGAGAATCACTCGACGTAAACCTAGAGATATAGATGAGGACGCTGGTGTGATTCAAGAAAATATATACTTGCCTCCTAATCTTAAGAAATTCAATTTGCAAGATGGATCATTTGACATGGGAGATGATTTTAAATTGCCAGAGTCTATTACTTCATTGACTATTATTGGATGTCGTGCCCCAGGTCTCAAGTCATTGGTTCTGAACTTGAAAGAATTGAAAGAATTGAATGATTTGACTCTTATTCGAATTGAAAAGTTACAAGGAATTGAAAATACTATTTTCCCTCGTCATTTAAGAAACTTGGTAATTAGAAACTGTGGTGTATTGGTATTTGCAGATACTAATATCAATGAATTAACTTATTTAAAGATATTGGAATTGGATGCCTATACATTTGACTTTGGAAAATTTCCTAAAAACTTGGAGTCCATCAAATTAAGGTCCAGTAGTTATAGAAGACGGAATGAAGATATTGTTGACATCACTTGCACCTCAGGTGAGTTTGTCCATTTGAAAGAACTCGTTACGTCTAGTAAGCAAGAAATTTCGGGAGTTTCATTTCCAAACTTAAGAAAATTGACTTTTGTCAAGTGGGTCTTTAAGGATCTGTTAGATAAGATTTGTCCAAATGTTACAGAAATCATTGATGAAGATTGTGATCATAGTTTGGAAGACTTTGAAAACTTGGATAAATTGAAATACTTACGTATTAATTCTTCATTTTCTGTTGATAACATAAAGGATAATTTTTGTTTCCCAAAATCTTTGGAAGAGTTGGACTTGAATGGTTGTAGATGTGGTGATGGTAAAATTGCAAAATTGAATTTACATAACCTTTCAAATTTAAAGATTCTTAATCTTACTTATAATAGATTGACTGAGATAAAAAGTAGTTGGTTACCTAAAAGTTTGGTTCATCTTTCTTTAGGTCAAAATAATTTGAAGATCCTTGATTTGAAAGATCTTGAATCCTTGGAAGTGTTGAGATTGAATAGGAATGAGTTTGAAGAATTTCAAGAAGGTGATGTTCAGTTCCCTAAATCTTTGGTAATTCTTGATGCTAATAGTATTGGGAAGCATCGCTATGGTATGGACCTGAATGATCATTTTCCAATTGGTCATTGTAAGAGATTGAAAACTATGTATGGTAGAGAGGAATTCAAAGAGGAGGTATTGAAAATAGCAGCGGAAGTTTGAAATTATCTCCTTTGAAATAGTACATTGTATACTTTTACAGAATGTATTTTGAACAAATTTTTGTTCCAAAATTTATGTAAATTTTTATTTTTTTTAGTACCAGCATGATATCTAATCACACCTATATATACTACCAAAATAGAAATGTTGAATAACTGGGAATTTTCCAAGAACTTCCACATTATACATCTTAAATAAACCTTGACGTACTTTTTCCCAGTTACGAACTCTTGTAACAATGTCCATCAACACTGGACTATGTTCATTAAATCTTCCCGATTTCAATTTTAATACAAACAGAATAGCATTAGCAAATAAATTCAAACTCTTTTCTTTCCCTAGTATCATTGGATTTAATAATGATTGTACTGAAGGTGCTGTTCGATCTTCACAATATTGTGAAGCACCAATAATAAACATCAAATGAAAATGATCATCAAGACCCCAAACTCCATGCGATCCAGCTGGTTCTAACCTGTAGACCAAAATTATTCTTCGACATAAATCATAATATTTTGATAATAAAATCAATAATTGTACTCCATCATGAGGTAATTTATCATAATCCATTAGTCCAATTATAAATGCATAAAAATTCAATTCATGACCACTTCCATAGTCTATTCTTGTAGGATTTCCAAACAGATTAATGAAATACCACGATAATTCTTCTAATAATCCTTGTTCCCCCATTCCTTCAAGTCCTTTAAGAATAATTGTTGTTATTTTCTCCAGCCAATCTCTAAATGCTCTATTTCCAAATCTACTTGATTCTTGTACAGGTGGAGTTTCATCAATAGTTTTATTTAAAATTTCAAAAATATCAACTATTTTCCTGATATTATTATTTAATTCAATGGAAATAATTGTAGGTTGTGGTTGTTGATCTCTAGTAACTATTCCCATATCTAAAACACCTTCAGGTACTTTTACACCTTGAACTAATTGAACTATTTCCGAGATTCCTTTTTGTAGTTTCTGACATCCATCAGATTGTTTAAATCTTATAAGATCATGAGGAACATTGATCTGTTTTGTAGGTGTTACCCAATTCATTATCACTGTTGGTTTGTAATAATATCACAACCTCATTTACAGCCCACCCACAGTTGGTTGCCGAACAATTTTTTTTTCTTCTTCTTCTTCTTCTCTTTTCGTGTGGTTACAACAATAATAATAACTCATCTCAGAATTGCAAGTACGACCACACCAACAGGAATCAAGTTGACAGATCACCATGAGCAAACCAAATAAAGTTACTAAATCCTCAGCTGTTAAAACTTCAGCTAAAGCATCTTCATCGTCTATTAAAGCACAAGAAGCAAAGAAGAAAATCGTTTTCCGTCCTATTCTTGATAATCCATATACACAATCGAATGTTTGGCCATTTATTGAACCACAATTAGGTATTGATATTATTGATTTATTAGAAAATATTTTAAAAACAAATAAAGATTCAAAAGAGATATATCATGGTTTTAATTCAACAGTAGGAACACTAGAGAAACAAGCAGCTTATAATAGAGGTAAAACAAATGATCCAATACCATCACAGATCAAATATGTTTTTGTATGTAAATTTGATATGACACCTCCAATACTTACAAGTATGTTTCCTGTATTATGTATGACATCTTCAAAGAATGATCAAAATATGGTTAAATTAATTCAATTACCTAGAGGAAGTATTGAAAGATTATCAAAAGCACTTGGAATTGATAATAGTGGAATTATAGGAATAACAGAGAATTTAACTCAAGCAAGACCGTTATATGATTTGATAAATGAAAATGTCAAAAATGTGGAAGTACCATGGTTAAATGGGATCTTTAATAAAGAAGTACCATTTGAAGTTCCTAATATTAAACAAATCCAAACTACACTAGGTGATAAAAAATCCACTAAGAAAAATGTATAGACTCAAGTATAGGAATGAATGAATGAACGCGTCTTGATGAAACCCTAAAGCAAGAAAAACAAAAAAAAAAAAAATTACGTGAAAAAAAAATCACCATCCTTGTAGAACTTCACATCAATTATCTATACAGCAGGAACAACAATATGTCTAAAGGAGTTACTTTGGAATTACCATGGGTGGAAAAATATAGACCACATAAACTTGAAGATATTGTGGGAAATGAAGAAACCATTGAAAGATTAAAATTAGTAGTTCAAGATGGAAATATGCCAAATATGATTATTTCTGGACTTCCAGGTATTGGTAAAACAACATCAATTCATTGTCTTGCTTATGAATTATTAGGAGATAAATATTATCATCAAGCTACTTTGGAATTAAATGCATCTGATGATAGAGGTATTGATGTTGTTCGTAATAAAATTAAACAATTTGCTCAAACTAAAATCCTGTTACCTCCAGGTAGACAAAAAATTATTATTCTTGATGAAGCTGATTCAATGACTCCTGGTGCTCAACAAGCTTTAAGAAGAACCATGGGAAATTTATTCTAATACTACAAGATTTGCATTTGCTTGTAATCAATCCCTGAAAATTATCGAACCTTTACAATCTCGTTGTGCTATTTTAAGATATAATAAATTATCTGATGAAGAAGTTTTAGCTAGATTATTAGAAATTATTAAAATGGAAAATGTTCAATATAATTCAGAAGGTTTACAAGCTTTGATTTTTACAGCAGAAGGTGATATGAGACAAGCTATTAATAATTTACAAAGTACTGTTGCTGGGTTTGGTTTTGTTAATGATGTCAATGTATTTAAAATTGTTGATCAACCTCATCCACTTGTTATACAACAAATATTATCCAGTTGCCTTAAAGAAAAAGATCTTGATAAAGCAATTGGTTTACTTGATGGACTTTGGCGCAAGGGTTATTCAGCTATAGATATTGTTACCCTGTCATTCAAAGTTGCCAAATATTTACCCGATGTTAGTGAACAAAAGAGATTGGATATGATCAAAGAAATTGGGTTTGTTCATATGAGAGTTTTAGAAGGGGTTGCTACATATCTACAATTGTGTGGTATGTATGCTAAAATATGTGATCTTTAGTGTTTTGTATAGGCGTCGGCAAGCATCTGGAAATGATGAATTTGCTCTTCAATAAATGAATTTGGTGGTTCATTTTTAAGCACACTAAGAACTAAAAAGTAGTTATTGTACAAGAATATTTCCTTCTCTGTACCTGATAACGATGTTGACTTGGCCAAGTAACTTTCATATTCATTTCGTAAACGTGTTAAACAAGTCACTAGCGGTTCTGCTTGACTCACTGATAATCTCAATAATGCCAGGAAATACTGGGCAAACTGTTGTGTTGTACTAATAGGGGCAAGTCCTTGAACTTTTTTAGATCTAACCATGGACTTTTTCATTGATTCACAATTAAGATCAATAATGTGGGTGAAATGGGGCCAAAGGATTAATAACAATGAGTTGAGATAATCATCAAGAACAGGGATGTGTAATTCGTGAAGTTTCTCTTCGGCACGTTGAACCAAACGAATAATGAAAAGTATACCATATGCATCAGCAGTATTACTAATATAAGTGACAAATTCTTTACCAATATCAAATACATTCTTAAACATTAATCCTGCCCATTTACTATCTTTTTCATTACCTTGGTAAAAAAATTCAATCATGAATAAATATTCAACAATAATGTTATCCACAAGTGCCAATGTAAATTGATTAAATACAAATTCAATCCAATATGGAAATGGTGAAGTCTCTGCTATTTGTGATGGAATGGCCGACTGTTCAGACAGTAAAATTTCTGCTCTTTTATCAAAGAGATTAAGATATTCTCCTGCTTTATGGTCTCCAAGCACTGGAGTGTCAACTTTTCTAATTTGGATTTTTTCTAAAGCATACAAGTATTTGGCAAATTTACTTTGATAATACCATCTCATTGTGTACACATATGCGGATACTAATTGATCGGCCAATTGCTTATGCTGTAATTGTAAAAACTGGAAAGCATCTTTCACTTCTAATAAATTCTGCTGAATGAGTTGAGATGAAGATTTAGAAGATGATCTTAATTTTCTTATTTCACCAATCATAAAATCTCTTATACGTTCAACTGCTTTCAATTCCAAGAGTTTGATCCCTGTTTCCAATTGTTCTTTAGATTTTGTTTCTGGTAATGAAGGAATCATTTGTTTCTTTTCACTTATAAACTTCAAATTCTCTACCCATTGAGGATTAATTTCACCTTGAGTGATAGACTTGACTATTTCTGGTGGTATCATGACATCAAGAATTATAGGATTGAGTTTGTCCACCACATGTTTTTGAGTTTTAGAATCCTTGGATAAATTACTTGATTGTTGTTCCAATGCAATTATACTAGATGAAAGGTTATTCAATTCATTAGAAAATTCTTGTATAATATCACCAACTGGTATGAGCTTTTCTTTATATTGTTTGAGATGTTGATCATATTCTTGAAATTGTGTCAAGTAATCAGATAAATTCACTTCGTCTGACTCTTCAAGTGTTGCACGATAATGCTCGAGTGTGGACGATGTTGAAATCGTTGATTCATTTGAAACTAGTTTAGGAGACTCTTTCAATGGGAAAATTTTCTGTAACGATTTCAAAGCAGACATTGTTCGAAGGTATGATATATAATTCAGTCTTGTTTCAAGTTTAACTTTCTTAGTTGTGTATTTATACGTTTTGATTTCCTGTGGTGATAATTTTTTTTTCTGCTTGTGTTTGATTTCCAAACACTAATTACTTTTTTTTTCGGATTCCTTTACTACACATTAAACACATGGAGCTTACCAAATCACAATTAAAGGTGGTCAATCATTCGTATGATCCTAAAACAGTATTGTCTGTACAGGCTGGACCAGGTACAGGTAAGACATTAACCTTGATCCACCGTGTGAAAAAATTGCTCGAAGATGGTATGGATCCAAAGGAAATCGTGGTATTATCTATGACAAATAGAACTGTCAAATCATTTAGGCAAGCATTAGCAGGGTTAATTGGAGAGGAAGCTGAACAAATTCGAATTCAAACATTCCATTCATTTGCTAATTCATTAATTGAGAACTATTCTGGTGATTATTTCCCTGATAAAGGTGCACAAATTTTAGTTAATGATACAAGTTTCAGAGGATATACTAATCTTTTCATGGATATTAAAAGTAAAAGACCTCGTGCATTTGAAAAGGCCATCCTAGCTGTAAAGTCAGGTGAAGATATAGATGAAATGTCAAAGAAATTTAAGGTTGACAAGAATGATTTGGAAGATACCATTAGAAGATTTCATGAAAATGGGATCTTAACATATCATGATTTCATATCTAGTGCAATCGAATTGATTGATGTGTCACAAGGAGAAATAGTTAAAGATGTTCTGGTATTTATTGTTGACGAATTTCAAGATATGCAGCCTGAATTAGTGAAATTTATTGAGAAGTTGATCGAATTTGATGGGAAACATATCACCTTAGCCGGAGATCGTAATCAATGTATTTATGGATTCCTTGGATCATACCCTGAGATAACCCGAAATTTCATTAAAAGATTGAAATGGAAATATGATGAGATCTTTTTGAAAGAATCGTTTCGTCTTACACCAGAGAATATGGTAATTGCCAATTCGTTAATGTCAGAAGATACCCATTTGATTTCCATGAAGGAGTCATCTGCAGAACCTTTGATTGTAGATATTGAATCTCCTCAAACGGAATATAATTTTATTGCTCGTGAAATCTATAGATTGATTTTACAACTGGGTGGATTGTTAAAATTTTCTGATTTTATTGTACTTGCCAGGTCCAATAAAGAAGTTGAAACCATAGCTAACTTTGTGACATCTGAATACGGATATAATGTCAATAGATTTACCCTGGGAAATGACTGGATCAACTCAAAAGTTCATATATTTTTGGATATTTTAGATGTATTACGGAAAAGCAAAGGGTCTGATATGGCTTTCTTATTCATACTTCAAAATTTGGGGATTCTGAAAATATTCTTGAGAAAGTTATACGAGAAGTATGAGGTATGGGATTCTCATAAACAAATTCGATTTGAGGATTTTTTAAAATTACCAAAAGTAAAGGATTTATTCAATACTGACCGTCGTCTAAAGAGCAAATCAATTATTGATAATTTTATTGGAATAATTGCAGAAGAACGTCAAATATTTACTAATCCAGTCGAGGTGATGATATCATTATCCAGAATCATCAATGAAACCAGTCTAATTAATTACTTGAACAAAACAGACGATACCAAAGATAAAGAGTCGTCATTTGGGTTGGCGGACAATCTTGAAGGTTTCCACAGGTCATTAAAAGCATCTTATTTGAAAAATCCATCCTTAGAATATTTCTTGCGTAATTATCAAGATGAGGAGCCGAGATTAGATGATAATGCTATTAATATATCCACAATTCATAAAGCTAAGGGGTTGGAATTCCCTGTGGTGTTTCTTACAAAAAGTCGATTACAATTTGCTAAAACTGAAGAGGAGAAGAGATTGTTATACGTAGCCATGACAAGAGCAAAGAACTTGTTGTATTGTAATTTGTCCAAACAAGAACGTGGAGTACCTGTAGTTGTCAATCCTTCTTGGATTTATAACACTGCAAGAGATTTAAATAGACCTTGTCCTACAATGAGACATTTGGTTCATGGCCAACGTATTTTTAAAACCATTCTGTCGGTTATATAATGATGAATATAGACATTTTTGTCATTATTATTTGTTCTTCTTGTTACTCTTCTTCTTTATAATGATGTGTAAGATTCAACGTATTTTAGGAGTAGTTATCGATTAGTAGAATGTCTTTAGGTGTCGTAATTTATTTGTTTTTGTAATGTCTCACACGACCACTCTACTTAAAAAAACAAACTTTTCTTGAGGTATAAAAAGGGTGAAAAATTCCAACAAGTGATTGCATCTTTATTTATTTTGCTTTGCTTAAGGAACAAAAGGATGTTCAAGTGTTCTATATGTGTTTTCGAGACTTGTGCTTTTTTGATTGCATCTAACTTATGTTTTGATACTACTAACACTCAATTAAATATAATTCTAGCATCTTGACATAATATCCCCCCTATTATAGTTTGGAGATATTCTATAGTAATATAATAAACATTTAACTATTTTATATTTTACTTTCACTTCATGTAGTTGACATAACCCTCCTCTGACATTGACAGGATATGTATACTCTCCAAATATATATATGGTGTGGTTTAGAGAAAGAGAAGGTGTGAACACCTCCCTTTACGTGAAACTCCTCATTTGGAATTGACACGTGCTGCACTACCAAACCCCCCTTAAAGAATATTTTTGAGTATATATAAAGCAACTTTTGCTCAAATTTTCTTTCTTCTTTCTGTTATCTTTTTTATTCCTTTTTTTTTGTAAAAAGGGCTAATAATGAATTGTGAAGGTTTTGGTGCCCCCTTTCTAGCGTACCATATCCTTGCGTGTGATTTGTAATAAATCGTGTATTACTAACATCTTATTGAAATCATAAATTCTAGCATGTCTTCTCCCTTGTGTCTTTTATTGTCTGAGGGATTGAGGATTGTATATTTATTAGAGCAATAATTAATGTATATTATTTATTCTTGAAAGATGACATATACTGTAGGAAAAGTTTATAGTGGCACTACAGTTCAATTGGGAGTATTACGGGGAAGAACTGTTTGAATACTGTGATTTATTGGTATGGTGTGCACGACTACCCCTTAATTTTCTGACTATATAAAGAAGTTGATTGAACAAAAAAAAAATAATTGAACTAAAGTAGTAGTTAAACGCTTGATAAGTTCTTAAGAATTCCATTAGTTCGTTCGTCTTTTCCGTTATTTTGGGGATGATATGCGTAGATATTAGGCATGAAATGCCTATATTACTACTAACATTTGGTTTTAACCCAATTCTAGCATTGATATCCATCTCCAGTTAATTGGGGGATTGTTTTACAGTGTTGAATATATATTTACTGATTGATAGTATTATAAATTACTTTCTTGGATGTAGATGATTCATAATCTCTTGGATTGCATAATATATACACATGGAATCCTACTGGTTCTTGAACTATTATAATCCAAACTCAATTACATGATAGAAGTAAGAGTCGAGATGATTGATTAATTTGTGTGTGTGTTTTGTTGAACAACATTTTCTGGCACGTTGTACACTACCGCGTGGGATTTTTTGGTATATAAGAAAGTGAAATGAACTGATGTGGAAATTTTCATTTTTATAGCTTTCTTTTTTAGCAAGATTTTTATTGTTCTATTATGGCGCTCACATGAGCCATTGCTTTGCGGGTGGTAAGTTACTGTAGTATATGCATTACTGACGTTACTTTTCAGTTCATTCTAGCACTGATTTACATAATCAAGGTAATAAATAAATATACACAAATTAGTTGTACGTTATACAATTGACATAATGTAGTTGAATCTCATCCCTCTCTCTCTATCATTATAACGATGATCTGCTGAAGCATATCTATATATTCTCCTTTGTATAATCTAATCTAATCCGATCACTAAAGTTCAACTGGTGATGATTGGGTGTTTACATTAAGGTCAATTAATATTTATTTATTATTGAACATTTGGTACACGACTTTGTCTTTGGTTTATATAAAAAGGGGGATTGGCATTGAAAATTCAAATTACATTTGTAAACTACTTCTTTACTATCTGTATATTCTTGGTCTATTGTTATGTTCGTGATAAAGTTCCAATCTCCTCCAATAATGATTGAAGGTGTGTTTTAATATTACTAACTTTCCACGTGTTCATTTGATTCTAGCAAGGATTCATTTCCTATTTTTTTGAAAATATTACTATAATAATATACATGAATTTATATATATATTTATTACTCAGTCACTATACAGTGTTACATGTAATGACTCTACGATGGATACATATCAACATAACCAACGTTTATTAAGAACTACTCTGCTAGTTTGGATAATAAGGAGAATACATCAACTGATTCTTCTTGTTTCTTCTCCTCGTCTTGCTCTTGCTCTTGTTCAGGCTCAGGCTCAGGCTCAGGCTCGTCTTCTTCTTGTTTACCTTCAAAGACTTCGACATCCTCTGAAAAGGCAACTTTCTTTGGTGTAGATGCTCCTGAGGAGGTCTGTGATAATCTTCTCTTTCGTGACTCTGTTTCTGTTTCTGCTTCTGTTTCAATATCCGATTCAGGTTCATACCCTGGCATATCATCCTCTCCATCTTCGTCTTCTTCCACGTCAACGTGAACATCCACAACATCCACTACCTGTCCTGTTTCTTCTTGATCAAGTTCATCTCTTGTTTGTTTGAGTTTGTGTAGTTTCTCATTTATAGCTTGGACTTTAACATCATCTGAATCAACTCCATCACCAATCAATTTTGAAAGATTATCCAATTGTGATTTGATTTGTATTCTAATTTTTTTTATTTCTTCTATATTTGATATACATACAATACCTAATTTTTCCAACATATTTAATTTTGATTTATAAATTATTGGATCCGGTAAAGTTTCTGAATTTTTAGGGTCAAGATATGTCTTTGATTGTATTCCTAATTGTGTTAAATTACCTTGATTGATTTTCGTCAATTCTTGTAATCGCTTAAATAGATCATTAACAAATCTAAGTTCTGTTGTGATCTCCTCTCTTGGTGGTTGTGCTTTCTGTGGTACTGGTTGCGGTTTGACAAGTGCCTCTTTCATGGCTGTGATTTCATCCGTGGTGAATATCTTCCTTTCTTGCCAAACATTCAATAATCTATCAATCTTTGGTTTCAATTCAGAATAACAACCACTTAAAACATCAGGTAACACCTTTGCAAATTCATGATTGAACTCCTGTTTGTTTTTCCTTCTAGATTGTTGAACAACATCATTACATAAATACAACAATGATAATTTCTTTCCCGATGATGATGATGCATTCAGACTATGAAAATAATCCGACCAAACTTTAACGATTTCTTGGTAATGTTTCACGTGGAACAAAACCCATTGTGATATTGATACTATCGAATCTTGAGTATTCAGTAGTGAATCTAATTTACTATTGAATTGTGCTGTGGAGAATGACATTGATGAGGGATCATGAAACAGAAGATGAAGAATTTTTTTGTTTTGTTTTGTTTTGTTTTGAATTGATTTTTTTTATCTTCTCCTTCTTCTTCTTCTTGTTGTTGTTGTTGTTGACTATCAACAACAAAATGCCACCAAGAAAGAAGTCTACTGTTGTCACAGAACAAGAACTAGTCGGTGCTAGTAATGAAGAACTCATAGATATAATCAACACCAACATCAATACAAAACAAGATGAACTATTCACGAAATATAAATCCAAAGTGGAATCACAGCTAGAACAAGATCATGAATTGATCGAAAGTCTACAGTTGGAATTACAAGATAAAAACTCCCGTATAGAACAATTAGAAGAACAATTGGCATCTTTGAAAATCGATTCAGCTGTTGAATTTGCATCTCCTATAAGAAAGAAAACTGTTGGAAGATTAAATCAAGATGAATTAGCTAAAGAAAGAGAACATATTAGTCTTACTTTGGATATGATTGAATTATTAACTGGTGTTAAAGTTGTTAATTTTGAAAATACCGAAGATGAATATATATTTGATATTAAACAATCTTCCATGAAACAAGAATTGGTGGTGCATTATCAATTGGTATTGTCTACAATTCCAAATAGTGAAATTAATTATTTCCCAACATTTCTTGATGCTTTGGAAGGTGATGAAGTTGAAGAATATGAAAATACAAAAAGATTACAAAAAGTATTACCGGAATATCTATGTGAGAATTTGTCATTTCCCTTTGATACATTAGCTCAATTCTATGGGAAAGTGAATAGAGCATTGAATAAGAAATGATTACAAGTATTAGTATTAGTTTTTATAAATGCAATAACAAAAGTTGATTAAATTAAAATAATATACATGTGGAGTTATTAATAATAATATACAGTAAAGAATAACCGAGGAGTCTATTCTATATGCAAACGGTAAAGATAAGGTTCGTATTGTAAAGGAGGGAAATCAATTGAATTCATCATTAATTTAGCAGTTGATTTACCAAATGTTAAATGCATAATTTCCTTTTCATGGAAACTGGTGAATTTTCTAGTATTATAATAATTAATTAAAATTTCATCATTCATCAAGAAATCCAATAAATCAGCTTCACTCATTTGTTCAATTCTTCTCTTTTCTTGTTCAGTTAAAGTGATTGGTCTTTCAATCTTTTTGAATGGATTATCATGAGTGTATTGTAAACTAGTAAATTCGTCATCAGTTAATTCATAAGAATAATCATTAAATTCAGTTGATTCTGGATCTTCCCCTAATCTGGTATTAAATGAATGATATTGCTTCCATTTGTCTTTATTATGCAAGAAATAATACAAGTCTTTTTCTTTAATCCATAATCGAAGTTTTGGAATGAAAATATGACCATCAAATGCTGTAGCAGTTAAACCATCACGGTATTCTTTATTTAAAAGGGCACTAAATCTTGATGGAATATAACCAATTTCTCCTTCAACTGTTGATTTAACTAATGGTGATAAATCTTCGTATGCACTAAAGTGGTTATTACGACAATTGTAAATTTGTAAATATTCATTGAATTTTCGATAATCTTTTTCTTTATCATCCTTTTCAGTTTCCTTCTTGAAAGATTTTGGTAATTCTTTTTGATACTTATCTGGAGTTTTACTATTTGATACAGCTAATCCAGTAATATCAATATATAATCCAGTATCAACATCAATAAATCTGGCATCAATGTTATTATTACCATTTCCTTTTTCTCTCAAGGTAATAAAGGTACCACAATCCAAGAAATATCTTCCAAATCCATCTTCTGGATCTTCAACGACTAAAGTTTGATTATATTCCAATGACAATTTATGTAAATCCATAATTGGAACTTGAACATCAATATCATTATCCCAAGGGAAGGCAATACCATTCCAATACCAAGATAACAACGAACCATGAGCAATCCAAGTAGTAATACCTGTTTTTCTAGTGAAGGATAACCAAGTACGAATTAAACGATGTAAAGTTAATGATTGTTCAATAGTTCCAGCCATGATACCATTGAAAAATCTCCAATCATAATGATCCCCAACGGTAGTACCAATTAATCTTGATTCAGAAAAATATTTTGGTGGACCTCTATTAGCAACTGAATGGGCAGAATATTTCAAACTTTGTAAATATTTGGCTTCTTTAGAATTCAAACCTTCTTTAGTTTTCGATTTTGCTTCATATTTCATGATCATTTCAGTACCATTGAATCTGAAACTTTCTTTAGGAATATTAACCAAATAATCATCAATAACACTAGCAGTATCTGGTTGACGAACTTTTCTCAATTCATTAAATTCTTCAAGAACATTCAAGGAAAGATCTTGTTTTTTAGCAATGTATTTTTCAGGAATTCCATTGGTTAAAAGTGGGGCACCATGTTTAACATTGACTTGATAAGAACCTTCAGAAGTTAAGAACAAAATCAGAGCAGGTGGAACACCAAAGGAATAAAGAAAAGATTTACCAGCAATAATGGCTTTCTTTTCAGTTGTTTTACCAGGATTTTGAAAAACATTAAAACCTGGATGAACACTATGTTTATCATCATGATTAATTGATAATTTTGAATCTGGAATACACCAATTTTTTGGTTCAGGAATTCTTCTGACATCACTTTCAACATCGTCTTGAATTTTCTTTTGATCTTCATCAGAGATTTTCTTATAAGCATCTTCAAAAACTTTAGCCATATCGATTTTCTTGATTTGTTTTTCATCAGATTTGGAATCCTTCACATCAGATTCAGAATCTTTGACTTCATCTCTCTTTGCACGATTTTGTTGTTGATTTGCAGACTCTTCTTGCTTTTTCTTTTCCTCTTCTGCTTGTTTAAGATCTTCTTGCTTCTTTGCCTCTTCTTCTTGCTTCTTAGCTTCTTCTTCTTGTTTCTTCTTTTCTTCTTCTTGTTTCTTAGCATCTTCTTCCTGCTTCTTCTTTTCTTCTTCTGATTTTCTGGCTTCTTCTTCTTGCTTCTTCTTTTCCTCTTCGGCCTTTTTAGCATCTTCTACGGCTTTCTTTCTATCTTCTTCGGCCTTTTTCTTATCGTCATCCCATTGATGAGCAAGTTTTTCAACCTTTTTCTTTTTAGTTAAAATCCTTTTTGTGTCATCTCTAGCATCTAATAATTCACAATCTGGTTTTTCATTATTGGAAGCAATTAAATATTTTTCTAAAACTGACATATCAACCCAATCATACCAATTAAAAGGGATTTCAATGGTTTCGCCTTCATTTTGGATCATTTGTTCTCTAATATAAGCATAATAAATACCTAAAGTGAATCTTGGGTCAAATGAATTGACAATTGGTTTTTCGTTGTAATTGGACAATACTGATCTATCGTCATCTTTATCATAATTTGAAGAAGCTGCGAAATATTCAGGAAGGGCAATTGTAGTATCTTCTGATTTTATACTTGTATCCAACATCCAAAATTTATTTTCAAGATCATGAGATTTTTTATCTTGTATAAGGGAGTCGACTTTTAAATTAAGATACTTTTCAGGATCATTCTTCTCTAGATATTTTAATTTATGATCATTTAAGTAATTGTTACCATAAACTTTCAATATTAATTCATCAAAATAATTATACTTTTTAGAAGTGGTTGATAATACTGTTAAAGTAGTCAAGAAAATCATAGTAGACAAAATAAACAACTGTAGGTTTTTTCTTCTACCCAGAAATAGTAAGTTGACTATTCTAACAAGTACTTGTATTATCGAAGCCATGGTTCAATATTTAGCTATTCTGGTTGGGTAATGGGTTGGTTGATCAACAAATGATAATTGATTAAATAGAAAGAAAGCAAATAAAAAAAAACACGATTCAGATTCAGGAGGACCAATGGTCGTGTGACAATGAAATCTCGTAGTTAACCAAAAAGAAATTAAACAAAAAAAAAGGGGGATGCAATTTTTTTATTGTTTAGTATTGCAGATGATAATTATAGTGAAGGTGGTTTGAAGTCAATGTCTTAAAATTGAAATGAAGTGTTGGTCTATTAATAAAACACTGGTGGTGGTGGTGGTGGTGGTGTAGGTAGTAGTAAATCAATGAAAAATGAAAAAATGAAAAACTATTAGTACCGGGCTGGTGATGGTAATAATAATTAGTATATGAAAAAAAAAAAGTTGATTTGCTTCTTCTTCTTGTTCTTCTTTTAATTCAATTCAATTTGAATAAACTTCTAGTACTGTTATGAATAATAACAATTATATAAATGGTGATAATGAGGAAGAGCAAAAAAATAGGTGAAGGAAATTGACAAAGTATTTATAGATGTACTAAAAAGAAGAAGAAAAAGAAGAAAAAAAAAGAAACAATATAAAAATATAAAAATATGAAAACATGAAAATCTAATAACTTATTTATTTTTGTTTTATTTATTTGATTGTAATTTGTGATACGAAATAAAATCGATATGAATAAAGAAAATTTTTCTTCTCTTTCTTTACAATTCGTTGTTGTTTCATTGCAGTTGTGGTGGTAAGTGGTGGTGGTACCTGGAAGATGGTACGTGGTAGGTGGCCATAGGTAGCCATAGGTAGCCATAGGTGATTGTCTCCTTTCATTGTACTCGGTGTATGTAGGAGAGTCCTTTTGTGACATTTATTTGTACAGTATGCACATGTACATGTACGTGTGGGTGTGTTTGTGGCAGTAGAAGAAGAAGAAGTAGAAGAGGAGGAGGATGAAGAGGAACAAGAATAAAAGCATATCAGAAAGTAACATCAGTTGTACCCGAGATACCTTACACTCACTCACTCACACCTTGTACACTGTTATCAAACTATTACTATTCCCAAGAATTATATATTATTACAAGAATAAGTGTTAATACCGAATGCAGGTTGCATAAAAATAGAATATTTCCTTCCTTCTTTCCTCTCCCCGTCCTTACCTTCTCCTCGCTACATTCATCCCCCCCATTTACATCATAGGAACAAAAAGAAAGCTAACAGCAGTAGTAGTAGTAATAATAATAATAATAATAATAGTAATAGGAAGAAGAAATAATAATTAAAAAATATGATATGAAACTAGCGTACAAAGATATCATTATCATACCGGAACAATTGTTCATCATATTATTTTCAGTTTTGTATTTCCCCGTAAATCCAACAAGGGCTACCAAAAGGTTTGTTACTTCAGTAAAGAGATTATGGCTTTGAATGATTATTATAACTTGCTACTGCCTTGTGAGAGGAATGTACATCCTAACAATAATAACTGTCTGGAGAGTGGAGATTTTATGAGATTAATGTTGATGATGGGGAGGAGGCAACAAGAAGATTATCATTCGTTTGTGATTCAAAAAGAAAAGAGCCCAACTAACTAAGAAAGAGTGCTTATGTGAAATTAATTCAACAGTTAGCACATAATTAAAACTAAAGTAAACTAAACAAAACGCGGTCTACTCTAGTCGACTCGACTCGTCTCTGACGTGTTCTTCAGGAGAGCAGCAAACGATGATCGCAATTTCAATTTCAATTTCACCGTTATCAATCCTATCGGCTTATTATTGCCCACTAATTTATGTATCTGGGTGAAATTCCTTTGTGATTGGTTATTATTAGAAACGTCAGACAGATCTTTATCGAAGTTATTGTTGAACAGGTAAATATTTTAATATCGTGTGCTTGATTACTTACTTTGATAACATGAAATAATCCCTATTGTTGTCGTCATCTGTGCTTAGTGGTGGTGGTCATAGGTTATGGGTTGTGAGTTATGGCGAGTAGTTGGTCGTGGTTCGTGGTAAAAAAATATTTTTTTCGGTATAAGTTTTTTTTTTCTTGGAACGGAAAATTTCTTTTTATCGCCTTTGTGTACCTTTAATTGTGAATTTCTTTTTTAACACTTTTGTCGGGTTTTCCGCTTTTGTGTAACAATGACCCGGAAATATTTCATCAGTTGTGGATCTTCAACTGTTAAATTGAATTAACTCACCGACAGCATTCTCTTCAATTGCAGTTGATCAATGGGATTTGACGAAGGATTTCGTTTGTTCAAACAGTCAACTATAAGCAAGATCTACCCTGCCCTAAAATTGTTTTGAACTGTACCTAGTTTGATTATTCTTTCTTCTTTTTCATCCTTCCACCCCCCCACCTGTACGTTTGAAACAGTTTCGTAGTACAACCTCTTATATCTCTAAAGTATTTTTGGTTTCTCTTAATTTACACACACACACACACACACACTTGGATAAAAACCATCTTCAGGGGGAAGAGGAGATTAACAAACAATAGACAGGAGTGGGATATCAAAACCTTGTGTGTGTGTTTGTCTGTGAGAGTACATACGTGTCATTTCAGCTTTATTTTTAGAGTTTTGATTTTACTTTACTCCACGTTAATTGTGTTCATTAAAGTATTGTTTGCTGTTATCAATACTTCAATCATTCATCTAATAACGCTGGAAAAAAATAAAAAAACGAACAACAATACTTTTTGATTAAACACTATCGACCGTGATTATTGTGTATGATTTCTTATTCAGTTAAAGCACAGTATATTAAAACGTCACAATGCTTAATAATAAACTATCTTGTCTTTTAGTCATAAAAAACTCGTGTGATCATAAAATTAAATATACAAACTTCAATTTTCAGTATTCAAAGTGTTCAACAAATAATTTTCACAATACAATCAACAAAGTTCATCTATTTCTAATCTATAGCCAACACCCAACTCGTACTATATACTATATCTACTGTCATTTTAAATTTCGTTTATCTCTAAAAATAGTAAGTTTTGGGTTGGTTTTTTTTTGTTTTAAGATTATTATTGTAACTATGGTTATTGTCCTTTTTGAGTATTCACTAAAAAATCTAGCTCACACTTTTCTTTTTCTCTAGTTAACACCGATTATGTAATCAAACTTACACTTATCAACGTACCTTAAAGCATGACTGCACGTCACCTGACACTAACTAACTGAACAGCACTAGTTATCGACTAATATAAAAAAAAAAGACAAACATCTATGAGATTGATAATAGTACGAACTAGAAAATATTCAATCATTTTTATGCAAACGAAATTGAAAACAGAAAGTTTTGTAATGCAGGTTCTTGATCCCCTTTCTTTTCAATTGTAGTACGCAGTTGAATGTGTTATTGATAAAACAATATTACATTCCTAGACGTTAATTACTCGCTTCATCAAGACTTCTACCAAACTATTGTTGATCTTAAACAATGTCCGTATATGTGTGGAGTGTATAAAAATTTTCTGAATTATTTTGCAATATTTCTTCAATAAAATTATTTCCTCTCTGTGAAAGTAATATTGTCATGATTGTAAAAGAAACAAAAATACACATCATACATGAAAGAATAAAATTATTATCCACACAAGATCAACAACACATCTAGTCAGAACTGTTATTTAATATCTTATAAAGAATAAATAATCGAACTCGTCAATATGATCTTTTTTTTCTTCCTTGGATATATCACGTGACGCAGATAAAACGAGGAGAATATACGAGATGGTTATTCACTAAAAATCTAGATATTGGTTAATCTTTATTGATAAAGTATAAGATCAAAAAAAAACGAATATCAAACAGAAGATCTTTAATATTAATCTCCTTCTTGATTTATACATGTTTATCATTAAAATGAAAAATATGCACTGATATCAAATACAATAATGTTTATCTGATCTTAATTTCATAAAACTGATAAATTAATTCAACCTATGCATAGCCTAACAAAATAAAAGTCTTGGGTATGAAGAGGAGAAGGGATAGATGTGCAAGGAGAATAAGAACATCATTGGCTACCTAAATATTCTTGATGCAAATTCGGTGAACAATTTTGATGGAGGAGGGGGCGGGGCGTTCTCGGGATTTACCGAGGATTTATCTCGCACAAGGCCATACAATTTTTGTCATTGCAAATCAAAGCGCGCCAACAGCCGGTGTCGCAGCCAATAAAACTTCCCAAAGATAAGAAAAGCGAAAAAAAAAAAATTATTGCAAAATTAAACAAGGCAAAATTAATCAGGGCAATTTGAATCATGTAATTCAAATCATCAACTGTTATAAGAAAAATATCACAAGTTAAACTGATACATACACATATATACTCATCAAGGGTTCTAATGTGAGTCTCTTATGATGATTAACTATACGGCTCGTTTTTATTCGTTTCGTCTTTGTTTCGCCCCCACATTACTCCAATACGATCCAATTTGTGATTGCGTTAGAAACTTCTTCCCTTAGATCATCATTTCAATTATCATCTTGGAAATAACCATCAAATACAGACGGTGATCTCCTCCGAGTATTAATCTTTATTAGGTCTTCGGCCCTTTTCTCCTGGGTTTAAAATTTATCTTCAAAGATAACGAAATCGCAAAAGCAAAAATTTATTTTTCCCTTTTATTTCTTAGTTGTCACTATGCAGGAAATCACCGTTATGTATAATTTTCAAAAGATAAACCATTTGAAAATACTATTGTTAATTTATTGATTCGATTGCTTTCAGCCAGTTGGAAAGATCTTTCCAACTCTACAAGAAAGTATAAATACAAGTTGATAACTCCAACCATTTCCCCTCCCCAGATTTCTGTTTATTTTTTTTTTATTTTATTTTTATTTTATTTTGTATATTGTATCACTCAAATTGTCATAATGAAACTTGATATTAAATCAACTATTAAAAGACTTGTCCGTAAATGGACCACCAAAGATGGACTTCTAGGTGATTATGATTATAAATATTTATTTACCCCAGATATACCATTTTTAACAAAAGAACCCAAAACACAACCATTTTTTGGATTAGATTCAGATATGCCAGTTTTATTAGGAGCAATATTAGGATTTCAACATGCTTTAGCAATGTTAGCAGGGGTTGTTACAGTTCCAATAATGATTTCATCTGCTGCTAATTTAAGTATTGAAATGCAACAATATTTAGTTAGTACTTCATTAATTGTTAGTGGACTTTTATCATTAATTCAAATTTCAAGATTTCATATACCTAAAACGTCATATTATTTAGGTACTGGATTATTATCAGTTGTTGGTACTTCATTTGCAACAATTACAATTGTTACTAAAGCATTACCTATAATGTATCAAGATGGTACATGTCCTGTTTCAGATGATGGAACTCAATTACCTTGTCCTGATGGTTATGGGAAAATTTTAGCAAGTGGTTGTGTTTGTGCATTATTGGAAATTTTATTATCTTTTATAAATCCAAAATTATTACAAAAAATTTTTCCTCCTTTAGTTACTGGTCCAGTTGTTTTATTAATTGGTATTCATTTAGTCGAAAGTGGATTTAATGATTGGGTAGGTGGTTCTGGATGTATTGGTGAAACTTGTACTTATGGTAATTTTACTGAACAATGGGGTGATGCAAAATTTATTGGTTTAGGATTTTTAGTATTTGTTAGTATTATATTAGCTGAAAGATTTGGGGCACCAATAATGAAAAGTTGTGCTGTTATATTTGGTTTATTAATTGGTTGTATTGTTGCTTCAGCTGCTGGTTATTTCAGTTCAACAAATGTATCAGTTGCTCCTGCTGCCAGTTTTATTTGGGTTCATACTTTTAAATTAGAAGTTTATGGTCCTATAATATTACCATTTTTAGCGGTTTATATTGTTCTTATGATGGAATGTATTGGTGATGTTACTGCAACAAGTGATGTTTCAAGATTGCCAGTTAGTGGAGAATTATATGAATCTAGAATTCAAGGTGGTGTTTTAGCTGATGGATTTGGTGGCATTCTTTCAACATTAATGACAATAACTCCAATGTCTGTATTTGCTCAAAATAATGGTGTTATTTCAATTACAAAATGTGCTAATAGAAAAGTTGGTTATTGGTGTTCATTTTTCATGATTGTTATGGGAATTTTTGCTAAATTTGCTGGTGCTATAACTTCAATTCCAAAACCTGTTCTTGGAGGTATGACAAGTTTCTTATTTGCCCTGGTGGCAATTAGTGGGATTAAAATTATTTCAACTACTGAATTTACAAGAAGAGATAGATTTGTATTAACTGCAGCTATATTACCTGGTTTAGGGGCAACTTTAATTCCAGATTGGTTTGATAATGTATTCACTTATGATGGTGGTAATAAATCTTTAAAAGGTTTTTTCAATGCCATTGTATTAGTTATGGAAACTGGTTTTGCTGTAACTGGATTTCTTGGTGTTATTTTAAATTTATGTTTACCTCAAGTTCAAGATGACGTTGAAGAAATTAATGAATTGGTTTTAGAAACTGTTGGTTCTGCTGATCAAGCTGCAAGAGATGAATTCGAAAAGAAACAAGGGGTTGATTTAGAAGTCTTAAGAAGTCAATTGAGTAATAATAAGCAAAATGGTGGTAATGATGGTGTTAGAAATGTCATGGGGACTTTAGTTATTGATTCTTCAAGTGATGGAATTCCTGACTTGAAATAGATTTTTTTATTTTTACATTTTTATTCGATTTAGATTTCTGGTTTTTTGTTATTTATTTATGTTACATATATCTATTCAATATATTCTATAATTCATCATCAGACAGGAAAAGACTAATTGGATCATCTGAAGTACCACTACTCTTTTCTTCCTTGTTTGTTTTGAAAAACGATAAAATATCACCCTTTTTCTTTTCTTCTGGTACAACTGGTTTTTCCTTTTCTTTTGTTACTGTTTCCTTTTTAACAGTCACTGGAGAAGGACTCTTCTTTTTTGTAACCTTAGTTTCCTTTGGTTCAGTTTTGAGTTTCTTTGAAGCTGGTTGATCTTTTGAACTTGCAGTATTTCTTGCTCTTCTCTTGGCTGGTTTCTTCTTACCATTACTTGCTAAAGATTCTCTTTCTTCTTCATCTTTCTTTAAAAATGCTTCATAAGCTTCCATAAATTCATCAAGATCTGCTTCCCAAAGGTTTGTAGCTGTTTTGCCTAATAATACATTAAGCTCTTCTTCCTTTTGATCTCTTTGTTGTAATAATCTTTCAAAATGTTCTCTAGTTAATGACCAAAGACTCATCGATAATAAATAATTATAACCAGAACCAGATGAATTACCATTATCATCTTCTCCTTCTACTTCGTCATCATCACCATCCAAACTACTTGCATCTTGTTGTTCGCCATTTGCTTTTAACTTTTTAAAATTATTAGCAATCAACTCACTAATAAGATCTTTCTTCTTTTTGTTAGAAATTGAAAGTTTTTTATCAATTATAAGTTTAACAAATCTTGCCTTTTCAGAAAGAGTGATCAATTCACTTTGTAATTTATCAACCATATATGATTTTCTCTTTTCATAATATTCCAATCTCAAATAGTAAAATTCCTTTAAAATTTCAAGAACATCAGTATATTTCTTAATTCTTCCCATTGAATCAAAGGCAACCATATTACCCAAACTTAATGAACTAATCAATTTGAATCTTTCCATCAATCCCATTCTCAATGATTTCTGCATTTCGGCATCAGTTAATTTAACAACAAATTTAATACTTGTAGTATGATGTTCTTCCATATCTTTTATCCAAGCTGGTGTTTTCTCAGTACCAAAACCTGCTAATAAAAATTCTTTATAATTATTTGTCCAAACTTTAACTGGAAGTTCTGTAATATCAACTTCATTATCACCAACTTGTTCAATACGACCAGTAATCTTATATTTCTGTGGACCAGATTGCTCAATATCACCATCCCATCCTTTATACCAAGGGGTCATTTCTTGCAATTCTTCACCATTCATAAGTCTTTTAATATTCGCAACAAGATCCTTAGGATTATAAGAAGGAATATTAGTTGACCAACCAGTACCAATACCTTCAGCACCATTGACTAAAATCATTGGCAAAACAGGAAGATACCACTCTGGTTCAACAGTTTGTTCATCATCTTGAACATAATTATACAATGGATCATCCAATGGATTGAATATCTTTCTAGTAATTTCATTCAATTCTGTGAAAATATATCTCGCAGCGGAGAAATCTTTACCACCAGCGGCTCTACTACCAAAGGAACCATTTGGTTTTAAGATGTTGATATTATTAGAACCAACAAAGTTTTGTGCCAACCCAATGATGGTCTGAACCAATGATTGCTCACCATGATGATAACCAGTGTTTTCACTTACATACCCAGCCAATTGAGCAACCTTAATTTCACTTTTTAATTTTTTCTTGATACAACCATACAAAACTTTTCTTTGACCTGGTTTCAAACCATCAAGTACTGAAGGAATAGATCTGATATTATCAGACATGGAGAATAAAATCAATTCTTTGTTGATAAAATCACTAATTGGAATTTCGTTAATCTCAGGATCAAGATGGGTACCTGGAATAAATCCTTGCAACCAATCTTTTCTTTCATCGGCTTTCTTCTTTGAAAATGCTAAATCAATATAACTTGCATCTTCTCCTTGTAAAGCATGGAATTTCTTCAAATGACGATCCAAGGCCGTGAAATATTCACGTGCTTCCATTGGAGTAGAAGTACCCAAACCTTTGTAGTACTTATGAGTCCAACGACATTGAGAACCTTCACCATCTCTCCATGCTTCAAATTCCGGCATGGTATAGAATGGAATAACACGATTATTACCGGATCCTCTGGTTTTGATGGTAACTTTAACAATTGGAGTAATAAACTCTAATAAAAACCCAGGAATTTCCAACAACCCAGGGAATGAAGTTTCCAAGAAATTAATAATCAAACCTTTAATATGTGAACCATCTTGATCTTGATCTGTCATGATCATAATATGCCCGTATCTCAACTGTTTAATATTCTCAGCAGTATAGTGTTTCTTATGTTGTAAACCAATAATCTGTTTCAAAGCATTAATTTCGGCATTCTTGGAAATTTGATCAGCAGAAGCTTCACGAACATTTAATAATTTACCACGCAATGGGAAACAACCATAATAATCTCTCCCAACAACAGAGAGACCAGCCACGGCCAAATTCAACGCGGAAAGACCTTCTGTAAGAATCAATGTACAATTATGACCGAGTTTAGTACCAGCTTTATTGGCATCAACCAAACTGACTTGCCCTTTAATACGCAGTTTTCTACTACCATCAGCTTTTTGAAGAGCTTTATCTTCATTGGCATTGGCAATTGCTCTGATTTTGTCAACAATACTGGTCTTCAAAATTCGATTGATTAAATTATCATTAGCAACGAATTTTTGTTTACCACCAAATTGTGAAACTTTAGTAGTTAATTGTTCTTTAGTTTGTGAAGTAAATGCTGGATTTTCGATAAGACAATTGATAAACAAGAACATATTATCTCTAACTTCTTGTGGTTTAATCATAAGTTTCTTCTTACCTTTTTCTTTCTTCGACAACGTTTCAACCAATTTGTTAATAATCTGATCAGAAACATATTTGACATGAGTACCACCAGCAGTTGTGGCAATAGAATTGACAAAACTGACTTGGTTGAATGTACCATCACTCACAGCAAATGCAACTTCCCATCGTTCGTTGAAAACTTCATGAACAATGGTAGTGAAGTTTTTAGAAGTACCATCTTCAGTTAATGGCTCTGGAGATCGTTCTCTAATAGCTTTGACATACATTTCAACATAACTTTTAAAACTTGAGATACTCAATCTTTTATCATTAAGATAAATGTTACAATTTTTAACGGTACCACATAAATCATAAACTCTTCTTCTTAACACAGCCAATAAATCTTCATCCAAACTGTCCATATCAAATTTAGCTAAATCAGGTTTGAATGTAATTTTGGTGTATTCTTTTTTAGTTCTCAATGTGGTTATCTTGGGTTTGGCAACATTAGTCATATTATCTGTCCAAACTTGCTTATATAATTTCCCAGTATTTAAATCAGCTGTTTCAACTTCAAATTGAGTAGAGAAAATGTTACACAACTTGGCACCAAACCCATTTCTACCACCAGTGACTTTCTTTTGATTATCATCATAATTTGAAGATGTCAACAAGTTACCAAAAATCAATTCAGGAATATACATGTTTTCTTTGGTATGCATTTCAACTGGAATACCTTTACCATCATTCATAACTTCAATAGTATTATTCTCTGGATCAATTTTCACTTTGATATTTTTCATAGTTGGATCTCTAATCTTATTATCCGCAGCATTAACTAAAATTTCATCGAATATTTTGTATAAACCAGGAACAATAGTTACTTCTTTAAAAACCATTGACTCTGTTTCGGCATCAAAACACCACATTTCCATTTTGGTTTTTTCAACAGATCCAATATACGTGTCTGGTCTCTTTAAGATATGTTCCAATTGAGACAACTTCTGATACGTCTCCGATGCACTTGCTGGATTAGGAGTAGATGAACCGGATTTAGTACTAGGAGTGGTACTAGTGTTATTAGTAGAGTCAGAAAGTGGTTGTTTCTTCTTAGTAGTCTTTTTAGCTGGCTTCGCCTTTGGACTAGGAACAAAATCATCTTCATCTGAATCAGAAACACTTACACTTGAAGGTGTATTCTTTTTGGAAGTCACAACAAAATCATCTTCATCATCATCCTCTATCACAGCCTTTGACGTTTTTGTTGCTTTCTTTGCTGCTGGCTTTTTTGGAGCAGGTTCAAAATCATCTTCATCTGAATCCGACAACAGCATTGCTTTGAACGCGTTTCTTGATCTTGGTCTCTTTGGAGAAGGAACAAAATCGTCACCTGAATCTTCTGTATAATAATCAGATTCTTCCTCAGACATGATAACTACTAGTAAATACTGTTCTTGTTAATAGTCTAGGTGTTGTCAAAAAAAATGAACGTGTTGCTTTTGAAAAGTAAGATTTGTTTTTTTTTCTTTTTGCTTTACACTGATCTCTGGGTTGTAAAACCGCACTTAAGATTTTTTTTTTTCGTTGTTTTGTTTTGATTTGATTCCCACACACACACGCGCGCGCGCGCGCGCGAGCACGCAAAGATTTACATACACCAATTTTATATTCTGTCCCTACAGCGATGTAACGCGCGTTTGACTATACACTACTTTCATTACTATGACTATAACTATAACTATAACCAACCTATTTACTTCTTCTTCTTTAATATTTCGTTTTGAAATTTTTCAAATTTTTCATCATCTATATCTTTATGTGACCTCTTTTTACCTTTCTTGTCCCCATATTTATTTTCTAAATTACTTATTAAATCATCTAACCTATTAGCTTGACGACTTTTGATTAGACTACCTAAATCTTTGTCTTTATTCATTTTAATCATTCTAGATAGTTCTTCTGCTTGTTTAGCTTCTTTAGCTAGTTTCTTTAACATTTGTTTAACTTTGGTTTTTCTTGATTTGGTATATTTCTCCCATGATTTTCGTATACCATCACTAACTACTAATTTATCCAATTCATCATTAATAATATTATAAACTCTTTGCTCTTCTAATTCAGTAAATTCTAAATGAGGAATTAATTCAAATAATTTTAAGAAATCACCTTCATAATAAATGAAATTATTTAATATATCAAGTTTTTCTTCTTCTGAATTTTGATATTTTAATTTATCTTCTTCAATCATTTCAATAGTAATTTTTTCATTTATTGATTCAAAATAATCCTTCCAATCAAATCCTTCATCTCCATCCTCTCCATCATCTTCTGCTAATGATCCAGTATTATCATATCTTGTTCTTCTAATCGGATCATTCAATATACTAAATGAAAATTGTATTTTTGTGAATAAGTCTTCAGATGTAGTATCATCTTGATTGGTTTTTGATTGTTGGATTTTATCAGGATGATATTTAAGACAAAGTTTCTTGTATGTCTTTTTAATATCGACAGGACTAGCGTTTTTATCAACTCCCAATATTTCATAAGGATCTATATCAGGAAATGGAATACCCATTGTTTTATGATGATAGATTATGGTGGTTAGTAAGGGGAAAGCTTTTTTTTTTTGGTCCTCTTAAATTTTTTTTTTATTTTGCTCGGTAATTAAAAACCTGTTTGTTGTCAGGGCTAAAACAAAGATGGCTCACACATCATGATACAGATTACAATAAATATATAAATTTGTTAAAAACTGTAATATATTTCAATTCAATTTCAAGAAAACATTATTAATACAAAATGAAAACAAGTTATAACCAGAACTATATAAACAACAAAAGATAAAAAAAAAATAAACACAAACACTTTTCTGTTCCAACCCATAAAGAAAAGAACGTAATGATTATCCACCCTCTCCTCTTAAATTACTTTTTAGCAGAACGTTTCAATTGTTCAATTTCACGATAAGCTAATTCTAATTCATGTTTTAATTTTTCATTTGATGCACTTAATTCAGAAACAGCTTGTTCAGTTAATAATTTTTCTAAAGTCCATTTTTCAATGTTATTGTTTTCATTTTCTTTTAATCTTTTAATATACTCAACTGATCTTTGTAAAATTTGTGCTTTGTTTGTATCAGTAGTTGGAATCAATTGAGCCAATTCTCTAATACCAACATTAATAGCTTCTCTTCTTTTTCTTTCAACTTCTTTATGGTTTTCTCTTCGTTGTCTATGCCATTCTTCAGTACCATGTTGTGGTTTACTAGAATCAGAACTTTGAGATGGTGGAAGTCGAGTTGGTTGTGGAGGTGCTTGATTTTGAACTTCTTGTTGATATCTTTGGTAATGTTCATTACTTGTTTTAACAGCTTCTTGTGGAGTTTGTTTTTCACCTCCTTTAGTTTCTTCTTTGTTTTCATTGTCTTCTTCTTCTTCTTCTACCTTTCCAGCACCTTGTTGAACTGGTTTCTCTTCCTTATCTTGTGGTTCTTCTGAACTTTCCACGGCTTCCGATTTGGTTCCTTTCACTTCGGTTTCATCATCATTATCTTTTGCTTTAACAGATTTGCTAGAAGTGTCTTTAGTAGCAGCAGCAGCAACAGCAGCAGAAGCAGTATCAATAGCATTGGAAGAACGTTGTTTTTCTAATAATTGAGCATCGATTTCAATTTCTTTGTTGTTGTCACTTTTCTTAGCATTGCTGGAATTAGTAAGTTGTTCTTCAGCTGGTCTCTTGTTGGTAGTAGCAGTGGATGACTAATTTATAATTAATGTTAGTATTCCATTTATCTAATAATCAAATGAAAAATGGATTGAATACGTGATTAGTAAAGACATGTTTTCCCTTCCCTGTTGCAAAAATTATTCAACCAGAAAAAAACAAACAATTGCAAGAAAACTGTATTCTTTCTTTTCCATCTTGTCAACAACAACATCAAATAAAAAAAAAATTATACCACAATTACCGTTGAAAAACAGTGTTTTATGACGATTTCTTCATTACAATAATCACATATATCAATTCATCTTTCTTTTCTAATTATCTTTTCACTTAACATACATTTCCCATGGTGAATTTTTTTTGTTTGTTATAGTAGCGGATTCAATAGTTTTGAGTGTGTGGGTGTGAACTGAGTAGAAAAAAAAAACAAAAAAACAAAAGGTGTGATCACGTTGTTGGCACGTTTTTTCAGGTTTTTGTATTTTTTTTATTTTGATGATTTTTTTTTCTTTTCCTTTCGTTTCCTCGTGTTTGCTGGCTGTGCGTGTGAAAGTGCTCAAAAAAAAGAAAACCAAGGAGAAAATTGTTTCGAGGCGCACGTGAGTCTGGTGTTGTGGGGGTAAGTTATTCTCTTACTCATAAACAATGGGGTATAATTTTAGCACACTTCTATACATTTCATAATAAAACATCAATGACTCGTACACATAATCCCAAACTAAAAAAAAAAAAAACGAAAAATCATGTCATCTTAACCACTATAGAACGGGGAAAAAAAAAAAAGTGAGTAGCCCTTCCTTAGGGCGTAAATCAAACATGCTTTTGTTTATCACGTGTTTGGATTTTTTTATTTTTCCTGTGAACAATGAGATAATCGTGCCTACTCTGTGGTGTAGATGTTCCTTTTTTTTCCGCTTTGTTCTCCTTACCGTAGAAATCCGGAAAATTTCTTACTGTGTTCCTGTACATAAATGAATACACTGTATGCGTTTACAAGGACAAGAGAATATTCTCAGGTCGTGCACCCTCCGAATATTCATCTTTTTGGTTTTATTTTTTCTTTTCAGATTCAATGTTTCATTTTCTCCATTTTTGTTTCATTCAACAATTGCCACCTTTTGCTTCTCGGAGATTGAACAAAAAAAAAAAAAATTTCGCATCAACTGATTACACATTTCTTCAAATAATAGCCGCAACTAAATTTTTCTTTTTTGGTTACTTTAGTCCAAGATTGAAAAATCTATTCAGTACAGCAACCCAAAAAAAAAAGAAATTCATGCAGTCGGAAGTCTTTGTCCCCTTGAGATCATTCCACTATCATTTCGCCCTCTCTCCTCAAACACGGGTATGCGTATGCGTGTGTGTTCGTTCACACGCAACGTATGATGAGGCTTCAATCTGGTCCATTTCTGAAGAAAATTGAAAAATTATAAATAATTGAATTATCCCATCCTAAACGATAGAATTTTTTTTTTAATACTTTTCTTATCATCACTTAGTTTTTTGACTATCAAATCAATTAAAACTACAACCACATTTTTTGTTTATTAACTTACTACAATGTCTGAAATTACTTTGGGTAGATTCTTCTTTGAAAGATTGCACCAATTGCAAGTTGACACCGTTTTCGGTTTACCAGGTGATTTTAACTTGGCTTTATTAGATAAAATCTACGAAGTCGATGGTATGAGATGGGCTGGTAACGCCAATGAATTGAACGCTGGTTACGCTGCTGATGGTTACGCCAGAGTTAATCCAAATGGTTTGGCTGCTTTAGTCTCCACCTTCGGTGTTGGTGAATTGTCTTTGACTAACGCCATTGCTGGTTCTTACTCTGAACACGTTGGTATCATTAACTTGGTTGGTGTTCCATCTTCTTCTGCTCAAGCTAAACAATTGTTGTTGCACCACACCTTGGGTAACGGTGATTTCACTGTTTTCCACAGAATGTTCAAGAACATTTCTCAAACTTCTGCTTTCATCTCCGACCCAAACACTGCTGCTTCTGAAATTGACAGATGTATCAGAGATGCTTACGTTTACCAAAGACCAGTTTACATTGGTTTGCCATCTAACTTGGTTGATGTTAAAGTTCCAAAATCTTTGTTGGACAAAAAAATTGACTTGTCCTTGCATCCAAATGAACCAGAATCCCAAGCTGAAGTTGTTGAAACCGTTGAAAAATTCATTTCTGAAGCTTCTAACCCAGTTATCTTGGTTGATGCTTGTGCTATCAGACACAACTGTCTTAAAGAAGTTGCTGAATTGATTGCTGAAACTCAATTCCCAGTCTTCACCACTCCAATGGGTAAATCAAGTGTTGATGAATCCAACCCAAGATTCGGTGGTGTTTACGTTGGTTCTTTGTCTTCTCCAGATGTTAAAGAAGCCGTTGAAAGTGCTGACTTGGTCTTATCTGTTGGTGCTATGTTGTCTGATTTCAACACTGGTGCTTTCTCTTACAACTACAAGACCAGAAATGTTGTTGAATTCCACTCTGATTACACCAAGATCAGACAAGCTACTTTCCCAGGTGTCCAAATGAAAGAAGCTTTGCAAGTTTTGTTGAAGACTGTCAAGAAATCTGTCAATCCAAAATACGTCCCAGCTCCAGTTCCAGCTACCAAAGCTATTACCACTCCAGGTAACAACGACCCAGTCTCTCAAGAATACTTGTGGAGAAAAGTTTCTGACTGGTTCCAAGAAGGTGATGTTATCATTTCTGAAACCGGTACCTCTGCTTTCGGTATTGTCCAATCTAAATTCCCAAAGAATGCCATTGGTATTTCCCAAGTCTTGTGGGGTTCTATTGGTTACGCTACTGGTGCTACTTGTGGTGCTGCTATGGCTGCTCAAGAAATTGACCCAAAGAAGAGAGTTATCTTGTTCACTGGTGATGGTTCTTTGCAATTGACTGTCCAAGAAATCTCTACCATGTGTAAATGGGATTGTTACAACACCTATCTTTACGTTTTGAACAACGATGGTTACACCATTGAAAGATTGATTCACGGTGAAAAAGCTCAATATAACGACATTCAACCATGGAACAACTTGCAACTTTTGCCATTGTTCAACGCTAAGAAATACGAAACCAAGAGAATTTCTACTGTTGGTGAATTGAACGATTTGTTCACTAACAAAGAATTTGCTGTTCCAGACAGAATTAGAATGGTTGAAATTATGTTGCCAGTTATGGATGCTCCAGCTAACTTGGTTGCCCAAGCTAAACAATCTGCTGCTACCAACGCTGCTCAAGAATAAATTTAATCCGGATTAATACTTTATTTTTTTTAATAGATAGATTTTATTTTTAGATGATTACGAATAATTAAAGGACAATTTTTTTAGTGTTTAAACTCGATTTTGTTTTTTTTTTCTTCTATTTTTGTAGATATTCTGATTGAAATATTTGAACGGTGTGTTTTGATAATAATTCGGCGCAATAAGGGGGGGATATTCAAACGGCAAATGGGGGGCGGCGACGGTTGCATTCAAGAAATTTTTGATAGAAGAACGTACAGTCGCTTGCAAAAAGTCTGTAAATTTTTTTTCAAAATCAAAAAGTAGTGTACTGGATAATAAATGAGCAAATGAAATCAGTAAAAGAGATCGTGTGTAACCCAATTCCGATATGGACCGAGAAAATCTTTACATTATCCGAACACATTTGTAGATTGTTCACAGAAAAATACATAATTGTAAGTACTATCGATACAGTCTAGAATGATGTATATAGAAGAGCTATGTAGTTTATACCTTGTGTATTAATGGCAGTTAATTCTTTGTAAAACGGTACGTGAAAAACAGGAGAGAAAAACTTTTTTGTTCTCCGTTTTTGTGGCGGTTTTCGATTTTGAAAAAAAATTTACAGACTTTTTGCAAGCGACTGTAACTGCAAATCAACATATCATACATATATCCTATAAACACATCGTTCATAACATGGAGTGGGATTGTCAAACAAAAGTAACAAAATTTGGAGAATAATTTTTTAAGAAACGGGTCAAAGTTTACACTAATAGGCAATAAAGTTTAATCTATGAACATATAAAGGTTAAATTTAATTAATTTTTTTGTACACATATCAGCCACAAAGTATATGTATTATTACTTAAACACAAACTGTAATGAAGAACTACAAACTGAATTCCATGATTACAATAATAGGTACCATATAGAGAATAGATCATATGGGAGAAAGAAAGAAAGAGAAAAAAAAAAGAAATAGTGTAGCAAGTAACTCAAAAAAAAAAGTCATCGTGTTTCGACACTCGTAACTCTATCCTAATTAGAAGAAAATGTACCACATTTCCATTTTACAAGATGATGACTATTTTCAAGAAAAATTGATACATTATCATAATGACTTTTGAGAATTGAACCTTACCACTTCTCCCCGTTATATATTTTTTTTTGTATTATCGATTGATCAATATTTACACACACGTGACATTAAGAAAAAGATTGCAAACACTCTTGGTATCTTTAAAAACAGGTAAAAAAAAAAGAAATCACAGGATATAACGTCGTGATGCATGGGGAAAATATGAGTTGATTCTTTAGTTCTTGATGTTGTTTCAATTGCCGAAAGGAAGTGGTTGTTAATGAGGGTGATTAAGTGGAGGAAATAAATGTAAGGATATGTGCAATAATCTACTACATATTGTCTGGATCTTGGTTACAATTCCAAAATATCTTCACATACATTAGTATTCTGTTTACATGAATTTTGAATCCACCATCAGATTAAGGAGTTGTTTAAGAATGTCATTGTATCGAAGATCACAGATAAACTGGGGGGGGGGGTGTGGAGAAACAAAACGAAGAAAGGGAGTGTAAGTTAAAACCAACATTGTACAAAGATGGGAGTTGATTCACACACGACGACAATATTATTTTTGTATGTGAGAACGTGCAGCTTCTATTTTAATTAAGAGAAACCACATTTGGAATTTCTTTATCTGTATGCTATACCGGTTAAAACAGAACAAACTATAACAACCTGCCCATTATTATACCCATGTGGAATAAGAATGATCACAAAAATACCTTCTAACAAAAACAAAAATAAAAAGGAAAATTAGAAAAAAAAAAGAATCTCGCCGATTTGCTGGGAATAAACCAGTACATAATGTATGCATGTAAGATAAGTACGGAAATAGGACCATCACAAGACGAAGTCAAATTTACTCATCTTTTTTTGGGCCGGCGGCAGGAGAGAGGGGTTTGAAATTGGGTCAAACTTCCATACGGCAAATTATACTGATAGCGAAAAGTCAGAAAGGGGGGGTTTGAAATTACTGTCATAGTTGAAGTTGATCCAATAAGGTTTTGTAATTCATATTTAGACCTGCCATATATGAAACAACACCACTTACTAAAGGATACAAACCTGTATAACACGTAATAATTCCATATTATTATCTATTGTACATGTACTGCTTAAGAAAATAATAATAAGAAGAATAATAATAAATTATAGGTGATATCTTATTGTTTAAGTATTGTAGTTTGATTATTGAGTAATATTCTGAAATTGTGATATTAATACATAATAATTATTATAATAATCTTCTATGTAATAAATGAAAAAGAAACTATAAAAGGAATTGGAAAAGGAAAAGATTTTCATGGGGATGAATTGTTTTTTTTTTTTTTTTCACTTTCTTTGAATTTTTTTTTTACTTTTACTTTTACTTTTAGTTTTTTGCTTTTGCTGATATCGTGTATAAAAAGGTTAACATAAAGATACATAAACCTACATACATTCATCCAACTCAAAAGCAGCAAATAATCTAAAGATCAACACTTTTTTTTAAACCAACAGATAACTGACAGAATTACATAAATTAAGTCACATTTCAAACTAAAAAGTCAACTGTTTTTTTTTATTAGTTTCTATACACAAAGTGGGAAATTAAAGCAGAAAATCAAAATCACACATTATTATTATTATTACATGGAATAACACCGATAATAATAATTATTATAATAATAATAAGACTAAAACCAAACAATATTTAGGAATTTTATTCTTCATTTTTCATTTTTCGTTTTTCAGTTTTGTTTGTTTATTCTTGAAGAAGAGAAAAGAAAAAGGCTGTTTGTTAATAAGAGAAACTTTTAAATATTTACTTTCTTCTTCTTCTTCTTCTTTTCTTATAATGTTTAATCCTAGTTCATCTATAACTTTTAGACCAAATATCTTCACTACTGCTACCACGTCATCGTCATCCACTTCAGCATCTTCTACTACTCAAGTACCTAATTCAGCCTCATCCTCAATATCAAACGGTACAAGCAATTCCGTATTCTCAGATATAACAGACTCCACAACCATGTCAACAAATAGTAATCATCAGCAGCAACAACAACATATACCTCCACAACAAACAACATTTGGCAATTTCTCATCCATAAATTCTCCTTCAAGTAATGAAAGTCCCGATTTGCAACTGCATCATCACCAACAACAACATCTTCACAGTTCACAACCACTAGTAACCGGAACAGGTGCATCGAGTAATCCACCAAGTAATCCAAGAATATCTTCTAAATTCACTCATCATGATATACAAATATTAAGACAACTATTACTAGCGGGTGAAAAACATAAATGGAAACAAATAACTAAAGAAATCAATAATTCATCTCATCATTCTGAACATGTTGCAGCAGCAATGAATTCTCATAGAATTTCTGGTATTAGTGGTGGTACAAGTATTCCTGCAAAAAATGTCCTGCCTACATTTGTTGTAAAACAAGCTAATCAATTACTTGGTTTCCCAGCCGATTTTGGTATACTTCAATCTTCAATGCCTTATGTTGTACATGGTTGGGATGCAATAGAACAAATTGATTATCAATTTCAAAATGATTCAACATGATTCAACATGATTCTTTCTAATCATTAGTTTGTATTATTTATCTTTGTAATATCATATGTATTTGATTTTGTGCTTCACTATGTCTGTCTGTCTGTCTGTCTTACACACTAAATATATATACTGTATATATATGTATACAATTAAGCATTAAATAAAATTACGCGGCACGTGTATTTCCATCACGCGTCATCAGACTATAAACAAGTTTATGAATCACTCACAATTGATGAGTATTATTTCATAGTGAAGATAAGTTCAGATCTGGTATCTGATCACACATAATCTTGAACTTGATAATATTTACATTGATGATTTACTGTGATTCGATCTTACAATCTTTACATTCTTCACCAGTATTTAATTTATTATCATTTGAATTTAATTCAATATGTTTACCAACTTCTAAATTCAATTCAATTTTAATTAAATTTTTAATTAATTTCGAATCAGGAAATCCATCAAATACATAATCACCTTGATTTTCTAATTTATATTTATCTTGTTTAAATTTTCTTTTATAAATTATTTTAAATTCTTCATTTGATTTAATAATTATAATTTGAAATATTCCTGGGAAATCTAATATTGGTTGAATTGAAATATCTAATATATCATTTGGGAAGGTTTGTAGAATTTCTTGTAAATACCAAATTGCCCTATTTTGCCATTTACATTTAGCACAATATTGAATGATTATTTTTGGATATCTTTCAATCGATGGTTTAATTGACATCATTGTTGATTGGTTTAGGAAGAAATGGACGATAATGATGGTGATTCTCTCTCTCTCTCTCTCATTTTTTTTCTTCAGATCTAATGTGGATCATGGGTTAACACACAATATGAGTCGTACGCCATCTTTGATTGAAACCAACACTGTTAATCATTCTAATCGGATCAAATAATGAAATAGAGACTTCAGGATTTACAGATAGATATTAGATAATAACAAACATTATAAATACATATATTAAAAATGTAATACAAAACAAAATGCTAGAATGAATGCAAATAATAGTCAGTAGTTTCATATCAAACTCACTATTCCTCACATCAGTTACCAAAATGGTACGGCAGAACGAGCTATAGGAACAATTAGTGAAAGCTTATTGAAAGTGGGTGCAGTTAATTCTCACCGATTTCAGGATTTTCATCCCTTTTTATACTCACGCCAGAAAAAAATGTAACACCTTTATTATTTTCACAACATTATATTTCTATTTGTTTCAAGTATATTTCTTTGCTTGCTAAGTTTACACTTAACAATGTATTGTGTTTTAAATATATGTGATTCTTGTTATTGTATCAAATGTCGAAGGTTAGTACCTTCGTTTCCCTTGACCATTTGATCTCACGGAGAGAATCCCATTTATTTATATAAGAGTCCAAGTCGTGGAGGATAGATACAGTCGTTGCAGTTTTATTTCGCGCTAGTTTGAGCATAATTTTCAGATCAGTGAGTCAAAATTATTCGCACTATTTGCAAAGAAAAGTTCATATTAAGGAGGTCAATATTTTTGATACTAGTGCGCAAAAAATGTTCATATTACATGACCTCTATTTGTTCATACTGAAAATGTATGATATATGGTATGAACAAAAAAGGGCAGTTAGTTTGAAAGTATTATTTCCGCTGGTGTGAACATTTTTACTCCATTTACTATGAACAATTAATCTCCCTTACTATAAATTAAATTGTCGCACTAGTATTAATAATTTCTTTGAACTTGGTACGAACTGAAAGTAGAAACACTGTATTCAGTAGAAACCTGACTACCGAGGTCATGCTGATGTAACCCTAATTCCCCACATGGTTGCATCGTGACGACGTCGTATATGCGAACCAGTCTACGTAGGAAACATATTCTTGTTCTCTATTATTTTATGAATTGCATACTTGTAGTTTGATAAGGAAGATATCACATGGTTATATTACTGATGTTTAATAAACCTTATTCGTCTTGACAGATTCTATTTAGGATATATTATAGTGCATTCTGAAAGACTCGGAATTGTGAACCAGTAGCCTTACTGTGTGTTAATCTGATAACTATAAACATATATGGATATTCCCTTTCTACTCAATGTCTGGTATTTTAAGTAACTAGGAAAGATATTCCACTCATATTTACTACAACATTAAGATATGGTTAACAGTAGAGGTAACACTAGTGGCGTACAAACAACTAAAGATCAGATTGGCAAAGTGTTCTCACAAGATTAAGTTACTAAAATACAACTCCTTTTATCAAGACTCATTCACAAGATGTGATCAAGTTCATAAAAACCTAAATGTGTATATGAATGGATATCTGTCTTACGTCTCCACACAAGGGAATCTATATGCTTTATATAGTGCTACTTACTGACTGAGATGCCCAGCATATCTCTCTCGTGTCATCAACTGCCGTCTAATCATATATCTGATTTCTTGACATAGTAACGCCGTTGATGGCCGCCTACGGTACGTCTTAACCCTGTCAATTGGAATTATTCTATTCATTTGCACCATCTGTTTTTCATATTATCACCTTCATAAAAAATGAAAACGCATATCGTGTGAGTACCAAAACGTTTTATAATCTGTCACGTTGTCAGTATGAAATCTATCATATACAGATTTTGCTTGTCGATAAAGAGTATTCATATGGTTGATTCCTTTTAACGATTGGTATTATACCTTTATACACAATGCAGCATATCCTCCTAATTGTACAAAGTTCGAGAATTCAGTATCCTATTACATACGTTATTTATTTCTTATTCAATGCTCTATTCACTTTCCCATAGAATTGAGCTAATGTATCAAAGGGAAATGACAAATTTTCACATAGATATTCCGGTAATACTTTTTGTAATCTTTTTGTATTTTCATATTCTTCAACTTCATCACCTTCCAAAGCATCAAGAAATGTTGGGAAATAATTAATTTCACTATTTGGAATTGTAGACAATACCAATTGATAATGCACCACTAATTCTTGTTTCATGGAAGATTGTTTAATATCAAATATATATTCATCTTCGGTATTTTCAAAATTAACAACTTTAACACCAGTTAATAATTCAATCATATCCAAAGTAAGACTAATATGTTCTCTTTCTTTAGCTAATTCATCTTGATTTAATCTTCCAACAGTTTTCTTTCTTATAGGAGATGCAAATTCAACAGCTGAATCGATTTTCAAAGATGCCAATTGTTCTTCTAATTGTTCTATACGGGAGTTTTTATCTTGTAATTCCAACTGTAGACTTTCGATCAATTCATGATCTTGTTCTAGCTGTGATTCCACTTTGGATTTATATTTCGTGAATAGTTCATCTTGTTTTGTATTGATGTTGGTGTTGATTATATCTATGAGTTCTTCATTACTAGCACCGACTAGTTCTTGTTCTGTGACAACAGTAGACTTCTTTCTTGGTGGCATTTTGTTGTTGATAGTCAACAACAACAACAAGAAGAAGAAGGAGAAGATAAAAAAAATCAATTCAAAACAAAACAAAACAAAACAAAAAAATTCTTCATCTTCTGTTTCATGATCCCTCATCAATGTCATTCTCCACAGCACAATTCAATAGTAAATTAGATTCACTACTGAATACTCAAGATTCGATAGTATCAATATCACAATGGGTTTTATTCCACGTGAAACATTACCAAGAAATCGTTAAAGTTTGGTCGGATTATTTTCATAGTCTGAATGCATCATCATCATCGGGAAAGAAATTATCATTGTTGTATTTATGTAATGATGTTGTTCAACAATCTAGAAGGAAAAACAAACAGGAGTTCAATCATGAATTTGCAAAGGTGTTACCTGATGTTTTAAGTGGTTGTTATTCTGAATTGAAACCAAAGATTGATAGATTATTGAATGTTTGGCAAGAAAGGAAGATATTCACCACGGATGAAATCACAGCCATGAAAGAGGCACTTGTCAAACCGCAACCAGTACCACAGAAAGCACAACCACCAAGAGAGGAGATCACAACAGAACTTAGATTTGTTAATGATCTATTTAAGCGATTACAAGAATTGACGAAAATCAATCAAGGTAATTTAACACAATTAGGAATACAATCAAAGACATATCTTGACCCTAAAAATTCAGAAACTTTACCGGATCCAATAATTTATAAATCAAAATTAAATATGTTGGAAAAATTAGGTATTGTATGTATATCAAATATAGAAGAAATAAAAAAAATTAGAATACAAATCAAATCACAATTGGATAATCTTTCAAAATTGATTGGTGATGGAGTTGATTCAGATGATGTTAAAGTCCAAGCTATAAATGAGAAACTACACAAACTCAAACAAACAAGAGATGAACTTGATCAAGAAGAAACAGGACAGGTAGTGGATGTTGTGGATGTTCACGTTGACGTGGAAGAAGACGAAGATGGAGAGGATGATATGCCAGGGTATGAACCTGAATCGGATATTGAAACAGAAGCAGAAACAGAAACAGAGTCACGAAAGAGAAGATTATCACAGACCTCCTCAGGAGCATCTACACCAAAGAAAGTTGCCTTTTCAGAGGATGTCGAAGTCTTTGAAGGTAAACAAGAAGAAGACGAGCCTGAGCCTGAGCCTGAGCCTGAACAAGAGCAAGAGCAAGACGAGGAGAAGAAACAAGAAGAATCAGTTGATGTATTCTCCTTATTATCCAAACTAGCAGAGTAGTTCTTAATAAACGTTGGTTATGTTGATATGTATCCATCGTAGAGTCATTACATGTAACACTGTATAGTGACTGAGTAATAAATATATATATAAATTCATGTATATTATTATAGTAATATTTTCAAAAAAGTAGGAAATGAATCCTTGCTAGAATCAAATGAACACGTGGAAAGTTAGTAATATTAAAACACACCTTCAATCATTATTGGAGGAGACTGGAACTTTATCACGAACATAACAATAGACCAAGAATATACAGATAGTAAAGAAGTAGTTTACAAATGTAATTTGAATTTTCAATGCCAATCCCCCTTTTTATATAAACCAAAGACAAAGTCGTGTACCAAAGGTTAAAAAACAAATCAAAAATTAATTGACCTTAATGTAAACACCCAATCATCACCAGTTGAACTTTAGTGATCGGATTAGATTAGATTATACAAAGGAGAATATATAGATATGCTTCAGCAGATCATCGTTATAATGATAGAGAGAGAGGGATGAGATTCAACTACATTATGTCAATTGTATAACGTACAACTAATTTGTGTATATTTATTTATTACCTTGATTATGTAAATCAGTGCTAGAATGAACTGAAAAGTATCGTCAGTAATGCATATACTACAGTAACTTACCACCCGCAAAGCAATGGCTCATGTGAGCGCCATAATAGAACAATAAAAATCTTGCTAAAAAAGAAAGCTATAAAAATGAAAATTTCCACATCAGTTCATTTCACTTTCTTATATACCAAAAAATCCCACGCGGTAGTGTACAACGTGCCAGAAAATGTTGTTCAACAAAACACACACACAAATTAATCAATCATCTCGACTCTTACTTCTATCATGTAATTGAGTTTGGATTATAATAGTTCAAGAACCAGTAGGATTCCATGTGTATATATTATGCAATCCAAGAGATTATGAATCATCTACATCCAAGAAAGTAATTTATAATACTATCAATCTGTAAATATATATTCAACACTATAAAACAATCCCCCAATTAACTGGAGATGGATATCAATGCTAGAATTGGGTTAAAACCAAATGTTAGTAGTAATATAGGCATTTCACTCCATGGATTAAGTCCCTTTGAAGTAGATTTAGGATATGTGCCAAAATCACCGTTGCGGATTATGTTTCCCCCTCTCCAATCCGGATAGGACCTCCATGTAAGATTAGAGATACTTCTTTTATTATTATTGGATTCTATACAAACTAGACAATTAAGAGAAGGGAAATGGAGCCCTATTCATAGGCACTTCATTCCAGCATCACATGAAGATAACACGATTACATGTAGATGACAACACACACACTCGAAGAGGAGACTCCACACTTGAAGAGGGGACTCCCTTGTGTAGATGGATGACTAACACATGTGAAGAGGGGAATCCCTTGTGTAGATGAATGATTAACACCTGTGGATCCAGTGGACCCTAGGTAGGTAGGTATTACCTCACAGCTAGAATTATATTTAAAAGAATGTTAGTTTAATACATGTTAACATGTCACATGTATAATTATGTTAATAAGAAAAAAGGGCGACAGAACACAAATCAGTAACTTTGGGCCAGTATCTCTGACAAACTATCGTTGAAGGAAAAAGAAGAAGTAAAAAGTTAATAGAAAGTAATCCTTTCTTTTTTTGATCATCCAATTTTCTTATACAGCTTTCAATTAATACCTCATGACGGTCGTGTAATTATTACAACCATGAAATAAAATAAACTTATTTGTGTTTTTGAAACACATCTATATTCATAATAATACTATACATTCTAAATCATTAATGTTGTAATGATAACCAATCTAAATCTTTTTCATTTATTCTATCCCCAGTTTCTGGTTTCTTTTTATTTATTGTTGAAATTGAAGGTTTTTTAGAAATCCCATTACTTGTTTTCTTTAAGGGTGAAGGAAATAAATCATCTCCATCTGGTGTAACATTTGAATTATTAATAGTGGAATCCTCGGTTTTTTTAGATTGTCTTTGTCTTTTTTTAATAACATCAGTTTTTAAAGCTAATGGTCTTACAACACCATGTAATTTTAAAAATAATCCACATGCATTACATAATGGTTGACCTTGAGGATTTCTTCTCCATAATGGGGTTGTTTTAGTTCCACAATTTGTACATGATGTAATTGCTACTGTTGTACTTGACGATGTTGATTCTGGACTAGTTGTACCCTTCTTACGTGATTTTGTACTAACTCTTTTCTTGGTTTTTCTAGCTGATGGTTGTGGTTGTTGATGAGGTAGGGATTGACTATTATTCAGCATGAAATCATTATCATTTGGATTAGCATCAAAATATATAGATTCAGATTGTAGACTATGTGCTTGTTGTTGCTGTTGTTGATTTAATTGACTAGGTAAAGTTATTCCACCAAATGTAGACCCTTCATTAAAACTAGACGAAAAATGTGTTTGTAATGGAGTATGAGACATAGATCGTAGACTGTTACTATGATTGAAATCAGGTAAACTAATCATAGATTCTTGGCGTAATAAACTATTTGGTGTGGCAGTAGTTGGAGCCATAGCAGAAATACTAACTGTTGAATTAAATCTTGCATGATTATTATTATTATTATTGTTGATATTTTGAGGAGATGTCATTGAAAGTTGAGTATTTGTAGGTACAACAGTAGATAATGAAGATGATATACTAGTTGAAGTATCATGGTTATAATGATGAAGGAAATCATCAAATAATGGTTTTTCATTGAATGAAGAAGGTACAGAATCATGATGTTGATGATGAAGTTGAAATTCTTGAAAGTTTTGATTTGGACCTTCAAATGCTAAAGGATCTAAAGAAAATTCAAATGCCGAAGAAATCGATTCAACAGTTTCATGTTGCATTGGTTGAAAACTACCATTATTAAAATGATCCTTATCATTTCCATTATGTTGCTGTTGTTGATGAAGAGGATGGTGGTAGGTTTGTTGTTGATGAAGTTGGGCAGATAATAATGAAACTGTCGGTTTTTCTGGTTGAATCAAAGGAGAAAATGGAGCAGGACGTTTTCTAGTACTTATTGAAGTCATTCCGCCAGTTGAAGCAGTAATATCGTCGTCATCGTTGTCATCATCATCATCATTAATCATATGAGCATCATTCATAGTATTATTTTGTCCGATTTTTCTTATATGAGCAACATAATCAAATTCATCACCAGTAGGGTCTAAAATTTCTTCAACGATATTTGTATCATCATGATGAATCCCAGGTATAGCTGAATTATTGTTAGTAAATATAGACTTATTATTTATATACATCATCCTCCAAGTCAAATTCTCCATTCTTGCTTGATAAGGTAAAGATTCTCTAGCCCTATTATACATTTTCCATAGACTTTCAATATTATCCAGTTCTTGAGTTAATAATTGAGATAATTTGATACTTTTAGGATAACTTGATTGAGTGAAAGCAGTAGAAGAACCAGTTACTGATAACGTGTTCCTATTAGATGGTGGGAATGTTGAAGTGGTTGATGACGGTGAATATAAGGATTGATATTTACCTGTTGAATTATAATTTATACTCATTGTGTGTGAGTGGTTGATATTCTTTACAAAAAAACAAGGGGAAAGGGGAGTGTGCCAATTAAATAAAGAATAGTTGGAATATGATTTAAACAAATAAACAAATAATCAAAATCAAAAAACCAAAAAAGTCTTCTTAAAAAAAAAAAGAATAAATAAAAAGAAAGGAATAAAAATAAAAGGCAAGCAAATTTATTGAATCAGTTGTTTTAAACTTGAAATTGGAATATAAATATCAGCAAGATAATTTGATAGTTTTTCCTTTTTGATTAAAAGAGTGGGAGGGAGCAAAAAAAAAAAAAAAGAAATGAATCTGATGACTGTGGTGGGATTGAAATATGTGGTGGGATATTTGTATTTTGTCGATGTGGAAGAAGAAGAAGAAGAAGAAGAAGGAAACACAGAATGGACAAAGGATAAAATATAAAGAGTAGTAACACAAACGTATATATACAGGGATTCCGAGCTAAAATAAATACAAAAATAGAGAAAGTGAAAGTGAAAATGAAAGTGAATAAAGCCATTAATTGGTTGCGATTATATAACAATGCATAATGCGGAACATTTAAGAAATATTTCCGATTTGATAAAATATTATGACATTTGATTAATATCACTAAGATTGTATTGGACATTTGTGTTAAACTGCGTTCCATCGTTTATCTGCCATCTATATGTGTGTGTATGTGTGTATTCATTAATTTTTTTCTTTTCTTTTCTTTTCGCAACAATTGATAAGTCCAATTAATCCCGTATGGATAATAACACCACTTACTCTCCTTCTGCTCTTGATTTGATATTAAATAATTGGTATATTAATTCAAGATATTTAAATAAAAAACATGTCATTGCACTAAGAACCCGCTAATTGAACAAAAATTGTTTGCACGTGATTTCCTCCAAATTTTTCATTCTGTTTTTTATAAATGGCATGAAATTGATCATGACACAAAATGGATATCCTTCAATTTGATTGGTCCGATAAAAACAAATTTTTAGTTGATACATTTTTTGTGTCTGTGTTCTGCGATAAGATCAAAAAATCATCCAGTTGTACACGACCACGTATTTGTTGGTTGACTAGAATAAATTTTTTTTTATGTTTAATGTATACGGAAATATTAGGGACAGTAAGTGTAAATGTAAATGTCAAAGTTCAAGTTTAAAGATTGATCAGAGATTTTCATATTAAATGTTGTTCCAACGGGATGAGGAATCCGATGTGGTTGCTATACAGTACAATTCATTATTATTATTCGTTGTTGATTACCTAATTAAGATTATCTTTTTACTTTCTTCCTCCCCACCCCTTACTTGTACCTTTCTTATTTCTATTCTCCTTCCTGTTCTTCTGTTGGGGGGGGGGGAGGACGATTATTTTGTTCAACTTTATTTCTCTGTCTGTGTAATTTTTAACATTTAGTTGGCTGTGTGTGTGCGTGTATGTGTGTACTTTATCGCTGGTTAGTTTCTTATCTGTGATAATTGTGATTGGCTGATTTGTTCGTTTCTTGTTTACCATTTCTGACAAATAACAGGACCAAAGGATATAATTACCCAACATGAATTCAATATGTCAATTGGTTGTCGATTACTAGCCAAGAAACAATTAAGAATAGACCGTTTTTACGATGCTAGTGACATTTTATAGTATTTATCATTTACTATAAATTATCCAGCTCCAAAGATACCAATACAAAAAATAAGCCACTCAGGGGAGGTGGAAGTATATATATGAGTGATTAGTTTCTTTAGAATTTGCGTGTATTGGAGCCATGTTTGAGTGGTGCTATAATATTCTCTAAAGTGGATTTCATTAACCGCTGGCATCTAGCTCTCCGCCTGAACGAATCTCGTTCACCCGGAGTACGAAGGAACAATGCCGACCAAGTACTGTAAATGCAGAACTAAAAAAGAAACAATTACGCAGTACAAAAAAAAAAAGCTATACGTATGGCGAAGTACATACATCAGGAACAAAACATTAAATAATAGAACATCAAAGGTACTTTATAGAATCTAGTGATTTCGGAAGGGACCTACCCTTAACTACGAAGACAAATTTGTATACGTTCAAATAAGTTGGATCCACCAAATAGGGTTCATGTTCATATTTACTATTCTTGGTTGTAAATCGTGAAAGATTTTCAGTTCCCTGTCATATATCCCTCGAGGGACATATAAAATGCCACAAGGATCAACTATTTTTTAAAAGAACAATGAACAATAGTAGAAGGTATTACTTGGTTGTAAGTGTTGAAACACATATCTTTTAAATCTACATTGACCATTTGTGATTAAACAACTTGAATAAATGTATTAGCTCAACAGAGATAGAAGAAATGTAATTAAATCCAAGTCAACTTTGTTGATACGTCAGCTAATTCCAATTCAATCCAGCCATGCATTACTTTTCTTTTTTTTTTTTTCGTTTTACATCTGATGAATACACGTGAACCAACAATGCCACGATTTATGTAATAACGATCTTAATTACATGAAAAATAGCAGACAAACACATTAAAATTCTCCAAGTATAATCATTATTATTAACAACAAGCAAATTCATCTAAACTAAAAGAAAGTAAATATTCCCGCAAACATTTTTTTTCAATGCTAATCCAATTTCTTGTCCCACGAGACACGACCCACCCTAAATTTTCAACAACAACAAAAAAAAAGCTGCAAAATTAATTACAGTTCCACAATGTTGAGTGTTATGGATTATCTTATTGTACTTTTTGTATTTTGATGGTTTTAAAGTTGGTCAAATGTAAATTGTTTGATACGTCATCTCCTTACATAAAAGTTAAACGAAACCGTGGCTCAAACAAAATAAAAACAATTCTTTATTCTGGTTCACCCATATTTCTACACACGTACAAGTTCACCTCATGTTTCATTTAAGAACGCAAATTAAAATACAAAATTAAAACTGAAAATCTTATTCACTAAATTACAACAATAGTTTAGTTGAAAGAAAAGTAAAGAAAAGGTCCAGAACATTAATTAGATTGTTCTATATTATTAGTTACCGTTTTTCGTAGTTTACATTTAAGAGGTGCCTTGTAAATCTGAATCGAGCATAGAAGAAGATTAGAGGATAAACCTATGTAAAGAGTTACCACATCACACAGAACTTGTAAACATCATTAGTTTGTATAGGGGTAGTATAGAAGTGACGTATCATATACTTAGATAAATGTTACCTCTACGCCTTGTTGGTAATATGAGTTTTTTGGTTTTATCAATTGTTGAGTTTATCCATGGAGAACACACAAGGTTCTATTGGAGAATAAATGTATGGCGTTTGTATTACATTCTTAAAAAAATATTTTATTCAAACTAAGACAAGTGGTGGGGGGTGATGTTGTTATTATTGTTGTTGTTTATATTTTGCGTCAATCAGGAACTGTGCTTTGTTACTGTTTATCATATCCACCAGGATTAACGGTAAAGACTTCACAGGAGGGTGAAGGGTCTATAAAGAAACCAACATAATACAGAATAAACATATGGGTTATAGTCTACCGTGTGTAAATACATATGATATGGTATGGTATGGTGAATGTAATGAGATCACTTAATCCCCACAATAATATTCCTGAATTATATCCAATTCAAAAAAAGGGTTGAATTCTCATTGGAAGTAATTGAATTTGCATGAATTATTTTAGTTGTTCAAAAAAATGAATGTATAATTTCTTAAACTTGTACATATCTGTATAAGCTGCAAATAAACACCTTATAATAATAACTAGAAAATAACTTTAGAGAAATGTATAATCAACTGAATTAACATTCATTAGAATATTATTCATACTACGTTGTCGTCCTACATCAACAATATGCATTCTTTTTTTTTTGGCAATACTTGAACAATTATAAATAAGAGTTTAAATTTCCATTTTTTTTGTAGGAAAACGAATAATTAAAAGAAAGTTGGTTTTTTGTTGATTATATTATGAATATATATGCCGTGATGAATTTCTATTTAATACCTCCAGTTTCATATCAAGCCCAACAAAAATTGAAAAAACAACACAACAACAAGAAGAAGAATTCATCATCATCATCAACATCATATTCTTGTTCAAAAGATGAAGAAATTAACAAGTTTGGTTCAATTTCATCATCTAATAATTCATCAAGAAGAAGTTTGAATTTATCTTCATCATCATCTGCTTCAATTATATCATCATCGTCGTCATCAAAATCAAATTCATTAAAAAGAATACCAAGTATTTTAAAAAGAAAGAAATCATCTCCATCACCACCAATAGAAATCAATCAACATGATAATATAGATGATAAATATGATGAAGATTTGAAAAGTATAAATTCAACCATATCTAATAATACTATAAAAACATTGAATTGTTCATTTAATTATGAAAGTAATATTCAATTAAATGAAATAATTTCAAATAATTCTAAAAAAAATCTTCATCAAAAGAATAATATTCATCATCAGTCTAGATTGAAAACTAAAGGGTATAAAAGTTTGAATTTAACTAATGAAAAACAATATAATGATTATTATTATTATATCGACTCTCAATATGATAATTTAAATGATCAAATTTATCAAGAAAACCATCCACAACAACAACAACAACAACAACAACAACAACAACAACAACAACAACAACAACAACAACATGATCAAGATCAAGAACAAGAACAATATGATGATGACAATGACGATGACGATGAATTAGTAGATGATCTGAGAACTTTATATTCTGATGCAAGTTCTATATTTAGTACTAAAAGAAAAAATGACCAATCACCATCAAGTCCAATTAGTCATAATAGTTCAATTGTTCATAATAAGGAGAACAATAATAAAGATAACAATAATGTCAGCAAGAATAATTCTGATTTGATTTCTTTATTTTCTGATGCTAATTCTATATTCAGTCGAAGAAAGAAATGACGTGCTTATCAAATTATATTTAATTATTCAATTCTTACGTGTATGTGTGTGTGTTCTATCTTTTAATATCTGATTCGCATATCTTTTTTTTTTCCAACTGTGTTGTTTATTGTTTCATAATATATACAATTTATATCTTTTATATTTTTTGTTTTCTTTTAACTGAGAATATCACCTAAGGATATTTTTGATCTACTTATATTTTCAATGGTTGGTTCAATTGGTTTTGGTTCAACAACTTCTTCTTTATACTCAATTATATTTGATTTATAAATTGATTCTAATTTATCCAATTCATTTTCAATTCCATAGTTTTCTCCATTCAATGGTTTATTCACACTGGAATCATCGTCATTAACAATCTCCATCTTGTCAGATGTACCTCCATGATAACATGATTGACACAACACTTTATCTCCTGATTCATCTTGTGGCCACCAAATTGGCGAGGTTTCAGTTTGACATTTACAACAAGTATGTTCCTTTCTCTTTGATGAATCTATAGCATCATCTTTTAACTGATAAAATTGCTTGAAATTTTCAATATAATTCATCAGTTTCATTTGTCCTGATAGTTTAGCTGTTTTATTCTTAAGTAAATCTTCTAAAAACAATTGCATTAATGGCTTTTCTTCATTATCCGATGCATTGGATTTCGAAGTTACTCTTTTACCCAATGTTCTCATATTTAATATCGTCTCTTTAGATTGATCATGTTTAGGACAAACCAAAATAGCTTTCAATTTACCACTATGTCCATCAACTTTAACCAATTTATCCTTGGACTCAACTAATTTAAATCCCAATTTAAAATTTGGTGTATCTTGTGCACATGTAATATGATAAAAATGATCTTTATCATCACATAATTCACATTTAATAATTGCCCCATTTTTGCAATTACAAATCTCACAAGCATGACGATAATTATTCAAAAACACCTTATCCACGTTAGTAATCGCCACAGTGTTTATGATATTCTTGTTACTATTTTTACCTCTTGGCTGATGGAATTCAACAAATTCACCATTAAACACAGCACATAATAAATGACACCATCTCCCATTATCAATATGCTTCAAATAATCTGGTCTAACAAATGGTGAACCTAAAATAGACAATTCATAATTGGCTTCATTTGCTAGACAGCAACAACATGAATATATAGCAGAATTTACCGGTCTCATATCATTAGTACATGGTTCACATAACCATTCTTTAACAGGACTTTTTAATTTATCAATATTTGCAATAGAGATACCGGCACATGAAGCATGAACATTCACCCCACACGATGAACAAATCAACATCTCCAACAAAGAAGAATGTTTAGTACTATTATCATGTTCTCGGCAAACACAGCAGTTACGTTCAGAAGGTTCAAATGGTAAATCAATTGATGATACTGGTATCTGAATAGTTGACAAATGTGCTTGAACATCAGTTAATTGTCTCATACGGAAATTTTCAATCAAATCAGTAATATATGTCTTAGCTTTTGCCAATGGAAGTTTCTTAACCAACTTTTTAACTTCTGGTTGCTTATAGTTCTTGTTGAATAAATGCTGTTTCAATTCTTCATTAGCTAACTTGTCAACAACAGTCGTGCTGGAATTATTAGTGACAACTGGAGCAGGTGTAACAGGTTTTGGAGTTTCAGTTTTTTCTTCTTTAACTCTTGCTCTCTTCTTGGATGGAGTGGAAGACAGAGGCAGTGATCTCTTTTTTGATTCTTGTTTAATTTCTGTAACAGCTGGTTGGGTTGAGGCAGTTTGTTCTGACTTTGTCGTTGTTGTGGTTGTGGATATATTTGGAGGTGTTGTCGTAGAAGCCTTTGTGTTAGTCACAGCTGCTGGAACAGGAACTACTGCTGGTGGTGTTGGTAGATTCTGAACATTTTGCGCATAGTCAAGAATTGCAGTTGCATCCGCAGCCAATTCAGGTTCAACTTTCTTTTTCCAAGTATTCCCTTTACCGTTTGATGATTTTTTAGAAATCTGAGTTGGATCTTCCCAAACAACTGCATATCTTCTCCATAACCTAGCACATCTAAAACACAATGCTATTACTTTATTATCAGGATTCACCTTCTTGGCATCATGACCCGTGATTCTATACCATTGAGTTGACGTATCAGTATGACAATGCTTACAAAGAAATGATTTCTGTGGTTCAATTTTGGAACTTTCGTAAGAAGAATCATCCTCTGGGTTTGCCAAATCATCTAGCTGTTGTTTCACAGCTTTTTGTTCATCTTTGACGATATTTTGAACCTTTTTCTGTATTCTTCCTTCGTAATTACCCCAAATTTCACGTCCATTAGGTGTCTTCTTCCATAAATAGTAGAATCTAACCACCATTGCCGATGGTTGTGTCTTGACTTTCTTATAAACAGGATACAATTCACTACCAAATGCACGTACACCATTTTCAAATCGTTTGATTTCTTCTTTGTTAAATACTGGCTCTTTAAGTTTCTTTTTATCCAATTTTTGTGCTTCTTTGAATGCCAATTCCACATCTCCATTATTCTTCATATATGACAACAATATAGAATCCATGAAATTTGGCGAGTTAGGTGACATACCTAGTCTTTCAGCAATTGGGCCACATCTAGCAACATATGCATCTAGTTTACTAAAATCATCTTCACGATCCTCATCTCGTGTTTTCCACAACAAAGTACACGTTTCACCTTCTCCATCATCAACACCACGTTCAATATACCCCTTAGGTCGAGGTTGTAACCAAGATGGGTACTCTTTTGGATCAACATCTTTATATTCCTCGGGAACAACCAATTTAACTGGCTCTTCAACAATTTCTTCAGGAACATTTTTTGATCTTGGTCTTTTGCTATTTTGGCTACCTCCATTTGTTTTCTTCTTTTGTGGTTTCTCGACATCATAATAAACAATAGGATGCCCGTCACATTCAGGAATATATACAGCTTGATGTTTGGCTCCTATTCTTGTGGATGCTCTTGGATAAGGAGATCGATCATCAACATCAACCCCATCTTCTAACCTTGCATATTGTCCCAAATATCTCATACACCATTCTTCTTTGATTCTTCTCTGCTTAAATGTAGTATCCTTGTCTTTGCGCAAGAATTCAATAGCAAGATTCTCATATTTAGGTAAAGTTGAACTGCTAGTGACAGATGCTTCACGTGACGCAGGTGTTGGTTCACGACTAAGTTCAGCTTCCAATGAACTCAATACACTCAACTCACTGGCTAGTTGATCTTGGTTGGATGACTTATTGTCAGACAACATGACAAGCTTCTTTTGATGATACTGTAGTTCGTGTTTCTTCGTACAAGTTGCACAAGCCCACGAAAACCCACGACTGGGTTTCTTTAGCAACGGTGGATCCAAACAATACATATGGTAATATTTCTCACATTCCCCACAACTAATAGAATCTGGGTTATCACACCACTGACCACATATTTCACAACTGCAGGAATTGGAACTAAAAGAATTCAATAATGATTTTGTTCGTTGACTCTCAACGAAAATAAATTCAAATCTTTTATTTAAAGCAATTAAAAAATTTCGACTCTTGGAATTTTCAATCTCTGCGTACTGCAACAAATTTGCTGTCAGCAAGACATCATAAAATTTAATCATGTAACGATCAAACAATTTATCAAAGTAAAAATGGTTTGGCTTTTGAATATAAGATTCAAGGGCAGAAGAAGCACTTGGTGACACGGATTTCTTGGATCCACGTTTGGTTTCTTTTAATTGTTCTTTACTAAACTGGTCTTCAATATCCTGTTTATGTCTAACTTCAACTAATCCTCGGAACGAGCTAATTGGACAAGTGTCTGTATGCATCGATGCAAATAGTAATCGTGAATCATTTGTGATTTTAGATATATCTCTAGGTCTATAGAACCACTGAATTTCAAATGTATACTCCTTGGCATCAACAATTTCACCAGTTTCAGCAACGGATACATTCTTCTGATTACTATTCTTGTGTTTAAATCCCATAATCCTACCAATATAATAAGGCTCACCAGGAGGTTCACTAATCATGTAAATATACTGACCTTTGGCAAGACTGAATATTGGCTGTTTTGATTTTCGTCTACTACTACTGCTGCTACTGCTTCCGTTGGTGTTTGTAGATGGAAACTGATTAGGACAATATAATGTCTGTATTGTTAAATCGATATAAGCATCAGTAAGGTTCAATCTAAACGAAAAAAAATCCTCTGGTTTTGGGGGTGGTTGCCAATTATTCGGCACTTTATTCGGTGTGGAAGCACCATTGCTAGGTGAATGATTGTCGTCATGTTTATGTGATGATTTTTTATTGCTACCATTAGTATTATTGGAATTGTTGGTTCTCTTCCTTGTATTGGAAGTAGTCAGATTTACAGAAGTACTAGCGGATATAGAATTCAGCGAATCATATTCTAGGCTATTTAAATCAATGGAATCATTATAAGTTTTATTGATAGTGGCCTTTCTTCTTGGTCTAGCAGTAGTTTCAGACATGACTTCTATACTATCAACTGTATTTCAAAAACTAGATATATGACAAAAAAAAAATTGGGAAAATAATATCAATATTAAAAAAAATTTTCCCTTATGGTTTTATGGGAGATATTTGGTTGTCTGAAAATTTTGAGTCTATTAATAGGGAAAAAAAAATCTAAGAAAAATTAAAAGAAGAAATATTTCAATTTATGCAAGCCAAAAAAACAGCTAAAACAAATGGGATTTCGGGTGTTTTTAATAATGTGATGTATTAGTGGACTAGTGGATAGTATCCTGATAGTGAATGATAGGTCAATCAGTGTCCACTGAAAAGGTTGTTGTGTGAAATATAAAGTGGTTGTAAGAAATGAATGTAACTGATATTAGCAAAAGAAAAAAAACAAAAAATCAAAGAATCTTATGAAAGGAGAGACAGTCAGAAATAAAAAAATACTCTATATGAGAGACAGTGACCGACAGAGTATGCGAGCGTGAGCGTAAGAGTGACACACACAGAGTGACACAGAGTAAGAAAATTTTTTTTCTCTTAAGCAAACATATTCAAATGTGTATCTGTAACATGTGTGAAATCATATGGAATTATAGACATAGTAATATATAGTAAATAATACAGCTTTACAACGAAAAAGATTGACAAAAGAAACTTACTCTTATTCTTTTTATTTTGGTTTGTTTCTGTTTCAACAATTTCTATCGTATTCAACCGTCTAAACAATATCTATTCATCCAAACAATGATAATGCCGGTTTTGATTTTTTTTTTTATACAATCCCGTTCTTTAATGCATTTTCTATTTTTTCAATTTCTTCAATACTGGTAGCTATTTCTAATTTATTCAACAATTCTTGTTTTTCTTTTTCAGTCAATTTCTTAACCACATTGTCAACCTGTCTGTCTGATATATTAGTGGTATTGGTGGTAACTCCGGTGGCATTCAACAACTTTGATGCTTCATTGTTAAATACCGCATGGTCAGTGCCAAATAATTCTTCGGCCTGTACTCTCTCAGCTTGTTTGATTTTCTTGAAATCCAACACTTTTAATGATGGTATCAACCAGATGACAAACAATCTATAGTTCTCTAACTCAGTTATAGGATTACCTGTCAACACCAAAGTTTCAAGTTTAGGGAATTTGTCCTTGAAAAGGGGTTGGAATTTGTAAATATTATTATTGTATAAAGTGATGGATTTGATTTGATTATCCAGTGGGAAAGTATTTTCATCTATATACAGAATGTTGTTATTAGATAATAGAAGCACTTCAAGTTTCTTGAACCTAGATGGGATGTTGCTAAGTTTGATCAACTCATTATTTGATAAATCAATCACTTCATATTGATCTTTTGTAATACTTAAATTGCCGACCTCAGTTATTCCTAGATCTCTTAGTAGAATGGTTAATCTACCTTCTGGGTTTAATATTATACGAGCATCATTGATTTGTTGTGATGTTAATCTCATTTGGTGATAATAACTGTTGCTAATTCTCTCTTTTTCTTTTTTTTTTTTTCGATTTTGGCAACACGACTGAAAGATGGCAGCCACATAGTTTTGATGAAAGTTTTTTTTTCCTTCTTCTTCTTCGTGGGTTGGTTGTCTGTTGGACGCCAGAAACAAAACAAGAGAAAAAAAAACCTCAGAGTTCAAAGAAGAAGAAAAAAAATATTTCAGATGAACACAAACAATAAATAAACAACTTTGACCCAACCTCCTATTTCTCCCCCAAAAAATTTATTTAGAACCACTGTTTACACATTGTTTTGAGCTGACCCATTGACTGCAGTGCACTTGATATGATTGAACTAGAGGACAGAGAGATTCCTGTGATACCAGGTAATAGATTAGACCAAGAAGATGCACAGGAATTGAGATTAATGATTGCAGAATTATTAGGTAGAAGAAGTACATCATTTCCAGGATCACAACCAGTTTCATTTGAAAGAAGACATTTAGAAGAAACGTTATTACAAAAAGATTATTTTGTTTGTGAAAAAACCGATGGTTTAAGAGCTTTACTTTTTTTGATTAATGATGCAGAAAAGGGTGAAGGTGTCTTTTTAGTTACTCGAGAAAATGATTTTTATTTCATTCCAAATATTCATTTTCCATTGACTACTCATGAAACCCTAGAAAAACCAAGTTATCACCATGGTACTTTATTAGATGGCGAATTGGTTTTAGAAAATAGAAATGTTAGTGAACCAGTTTTGAGATATGTTATATTTGATGCATTAGCAATCAATGGTAAATGTATAGTTGACAGACCATTACCCAAAAGGTTGGGTTATATCACTGAAAATGTCATGAAACCATTTGATAATTTTAAAAGAAACTATCCCGAAGTTGTTAATACCCCAGATTTCCCATTTAAAGTGGGGTTCAAGACCATGTTGACATCCTATCATGCAGATGACGTTTTAAGTAAAATGGACCAATTATTCCATGCTTCAGATGGATTAATTTATACATGTGCTGAAACACCCTATGTGTTTGGCACTGATCAAACTTTATTGAAATGGAAACCTGCTGAAGAAAATACTGTTGATTTCCAAGTAGAATTTGTATTCAATGAAGTTCAAGATCCTGATTTAGATGAAAGAGATCCCTCAAGTACCTATTTAGATTATGATGCCAAACCAAATATGATCAAATTAAGAGTATGGCAAGGAAGTAACGTACACACTGATTTTGCCAAGCTAGATCTTTCAGATGAAGATTGGGAAAGATTAAAGGCGTTAGAAGAACCATTACAAGGTAGAATTGCTGAATGTCGTCAATCACCTACAAAGAAAGGATTTTGGGAAATGTTGAGATTTAGAAATGATAAGAGTAATGGTAATCATATAAGTGTGGTAGAGAAGATTTTGGTTTCCATTAAAGATGGTGTTAAAGAAAAAGAGGTTATTGAATCATGTCCTATAATATCAAAAGCATGGAAGAAACGTGAAATGGAAAGAAGAATGAAACATAATGGTATGGCGCCACCGCCTCAATCACAGCAGCAACAACAACAACAACAACAACAACAACAACAACAGGCACATAACCATCCATCACGAAACTCCATACCGTATGGTGAAGAACCAGCAGCCAAAAGACAAAGAACAAATTCTAATGGACACCATGGACAACTGAATCATCATAAACAACAACAGCAACCACAGCAACCACAACAACCAATGCTTGATGATATCCCAACTTACGAAGATAGCGATGACGAGTAAATAGAAATGTAAGATAGAAAAGAGTAAAGAAAAAAAGACAAAAAAAAAATACATGAAGAAATTTTAATTAAACACACTGTATAATTTGTACTATAAATAATTACTAGAAAACAAGCATATATATATATATCTAACAAAGGATAGAATTAATGCAGTAGAGAATAACGATATCTCTCTAAGCCCAGGTTTGTAATTGTTCATGGAATTCAACCTTGTATTTTGAAGCATCCAAGTTTTCTTTAACGAAATATCTAACTTCATCAACCATAGCTGGATGACCACAAGTAATAAAACCAATTGCACCATTAGTTTCTTGAATATCTTTTTTGACTTGTTCTTCAATATTTGGACGACCTTCAATAAATTCAATATTGGAGAAAGTTTCTTTAATGCTTGAAATGATGGATTCAGAAGAAGTATTGACAGAATTCTTTTCATCGTAATCTTCATTCTTTTCAATGGAGCTGTCGTTACCATTATTGCTGCTGAAACATTCTAAACCAGTAGCATCTTGAGGTTGAGTAACATAAATGGTTGTAATAATTGAAGTCTTTTTCAAGTATTCCAATTCTTCTTTGAACCATGTAAGAGATTTCCAATTTCTAACAACCCAAACTAATTTAATAGATTGATTCTTGGCTTTCTTAGCAACATCAACACATTCGGAATAAATACCTGGAATACCATTACCACCAGCAACATAAACTAAATTATCACAAGTACGTCCAGCACCACTTGGTTCACCATATGGACCTTCAACTAAAACTCTAACAGTACCTGTTTGACCTGGAGTATTGTATAAGCTTTTAGCAATTTGTTTAGTAATACCAGTTTTAATTTTAGCATACAAGACAATTTTATCATCTTCTTCAGTAGCAGTAAAAGTAAATGGATGTGATTGCCAGAATAAAGTTGGTTTGACAAAATGGATAAAACAATGGCCACCTGGAATGGATTTCCAATATCTTGGTTTTGGAACAATAACTTTTAAAGTTTCATCACCTTTAATAGTAACTTCAGCTTTTGGAGCACCAAAGAATAAAATTCTACCAATACGAACAACTCTATCAAATACCCAAACAGCAATTGCAGACCACATGAAATCACCATAACCCATTCTATCAAGATGGAAAAATCCACCAACAACAAAGAAAGTAGCAAGAACAATATGAATTAAAAAGAAAACTTCATAACATTTTCTTCTGAAAAATAACATAGCTTGGAATAAAATAAATCCACCACAAATGGTTGCAACAGTACCCCAAATCATGAATTCACTCTTCATACGTTTGGCATACTTACCAGTAGCTTTATCAGAAACAGAAAAGGCAATAGCGTGAACAATAACCAAAAGAACTGAAATACGGGAAATCCATCTATGATACATGATAAAAGTAGCAAAATCCCAACCAGTTAACCATTGTAAGATGTTATTACGACCACCAAATAAAATTAATAATGGGATTAAATAACTGACAGTAATACCAGTTCTATCGGCAATAAAATGACCCAATTCAGCATTCTTAGTAGAATATTGTGGATTTCCTTCAACATGATGAATATGTAAAGCATTCAAAAATCCAGTAAGTAAAACAAAAACAATAATGACAATAGTTTCAATTCTACTTGGAATTAAACCATCGAAAAATCCACCAAAACCTAAAGTAAATTCTTGAGATTTCTTTTTGGTAAAAGTAGCTGGTAAGAAAACATTCTTTCTGAAAAAATTAACAATTTTACCAGTGATTTTAGAATATGTTTTTGGAAACATTTTGATAAAGAAGTTGAAAATCATAGCAAGAGCAATAACACCAGCCCAATAACCCAACATGATAGCACCATAATCCAATGAAAGGTTAAAGTTATTGTAGTACATTTTGTAAGCTCTTCTATATGGAACAAATGGTTCGTTAAAGTTAATATGCAATGGAGTAGTTAAAACAACTGTTGAGTTTGATGAGGAGGAAGTACTGTTTGACTTTTTAGCCTTCTTAGCATATTCAGTACCATTAGCAGTGAATTCATCTTGAATCTTAGCGTATTCAGAATAGAATTCTTCAGTAGTCAGGTTACAAGCATTAACAAAATTATTAATAACACTTGAATCATTGTTATAACCAGTGACAAAACAATCGGAAATAGTACCAAAACCTGGTTTATCATTACAATAACATTTGTAATTAAAAGTGTTTTTACCTTTGGAAGATTTACAAACAGTACCGAATTTAGAAATATATCTAGTACATGATTGCATAGTGATAAATAAATCATCATAACTTTTTGGAGATTTACCTGAAGCCTCAGCAACAACCACAAGGGTGAATAACAATCCAAGAATATTTAAAACTTTCATAATGATAATGTCTATAAGATGAAAGTTGTAAGATTTGAATAATCCAAGGAATCTAAAGGAAATTAATACAAGAACGAAAGAAAGTAGAAGCTGCAAAAAAAAAGAAAGAAAGATATTTCCAAGGGAATACGAGTTGGCTTAAATAGACAAGAAAAAGGAAAGGGAATCAGATATCACAATGGAAAAACTCTTCGCTTGTCATTGTGATTTTTGAGTATTACTTGCAGTGAAAAGGAGGAAGTGAAGATCGTTTTAAGGAACTTTATGATTGGTTCTAATCTATTCCATCAAGAACTATCATTGTGTTACACTACCGCAGAGTAAAAAAAAAAAAAGAAATACCAAACAGTAACAATTACAATAACATGAAACTGCAAATTGGTGATACACAAGAATAAGAGGTAAATTAGTGTTGTGTAACTTGCATTGCCCTTTGAAGAGAGTCAACTATTTTACTTGGCATATAGGTTGACCTTTTAGGCTGTCTGACAGATAAATCTCCCGCCTGGTGCATACTAAATCCAGTACAAAACAAAAAATAATAGTAAAAATTAAAACAATAATCCATATTCTTTTATTAATAAACAATGCAGATTGAACTAGAGGTAAAAGAAAAAATTTTCATATTAGGCCCATTCAGTGAACATATATTAATCTCTTGGAAAAATCTAAGGGGGTCAAAAATTGTCAAGGAAAAATTGCATTTTTTTTTTAAGAAAATATAATTAATCAAGAATACGATAACCACCTAGGGGATACTTGGCAAGTCAAGAGATTTAGTTGATATGGAAGTAATACAGGGGCTACTAGTGGTTACAACTACGTCAAAGTAAACCGGATCATTTTGATTCTATCGGAAAGTATAAATGCTATTTCCTTACAAATATGATCAATGGGATTGATTTTCACATTCTTATTGTGGAATTGAGGCAACTCAACAACAAACAGCGACTAATTAACAACACAATAGTAATAATAATTTGTTCAACACTTTGAATACAGATATTATAATATATAACCCTCCTCTGTGATTTGTCAATCAACCGCTATGTAATTCTTGGCAGAACTTGAGGAGGTTTTTATGCAAGAATGTATGTTGCTGTTGCAGTAAGTTTAAACAGGTTAGTCTTTGACACAGAGAAAGTGTACTAATCAATGTGTCTGTTACTTTTGGATTATGCATAGCTTTGACACAAAAAAAAATAATTCCGGGAAACTGGGAGAAAGATGTAAGGGAGAAGAGAAGAGAGAGAATCAGGTGAAACGGCAAGACGTACAAACCCAACAATCAGCCCTGTTTTTTTTATATAGTCTTTTTCCTTTTTTTTTAATTTAATCACAGGATAGGTTTCATTGTGAATAAAATAAAGTGTATAAAGGGATGCTGGTAAATCAAATGATTTGTGACTAATTGAATCAACTAGGTGATTAAAAAAAAACGGCGTTCTTATTGTCGGTTGAAATATAATAGTAACCACCACTCCGAAAAAGGAACCTCTACTGATGAAAAAGATAACGATGGCCGAAAAAAAATATAAATTATCTTTTTCATCTTTGTGCATGGACCTGAAATAATAAAATTAAAAAGAAACAACTTGCCTGTAGGTTCATTGGCTAATGCCCTTTACAACTAGTCAAATTTGATATTTAAGATTTACGGATTCTTGGTTCTAACCTAAACCATTCCATCTATCTATTGGTTTTAACTATTGAAAAAAAAAGAAAATTCTTTTCTTGATTTCTTTTTTATTTTTTATTTTTTTTTGGTAATAACCCCATTGGCCTTCCAATTGAACATTCGATCCACATGGCTTAGCTATGAAACAGGGCTCCATGGTGAATATTCTAGACTGATTATATTTTTTTTTCTTGACATCAAAAACTTAAAGTATAATTAGACGATCATCAAGGAGGTATTATACTCTTAAGAGATATTCAAACAGCTTTTGCATCGGATGCAATTCTCCAGAAATAATATTCATGTAGATTCAATTTGTTGTTGTTGACTACCACCCTATTCCTTTAACGGGATTATTATTATTAGCTCTATGATCAAAATGCCCTATTTTCAAAAGCCGAATTTCGGAAAGGTGGCTTTGGAAAATATAAACATTGTGACAGAAATGGCTTAAAATAAATAATTAATTAATCAAGTAAACTCCTACCGAATATACAGGGCGATAATTGTAATACACGATTTAGTGTAATTAATTATACGTATATGCTATTAAGAAGAATGTAACTTTTTTAAACATTGTATCTCCTTACAATCACAAAGTTACAAATATCAGGATTAACTCAGAATTTTGTAACTTCTGACTCCTGCCAAAATCATCGACTTTTCTATCCCAACCACTTTACCAGGTTTCTTGTGTGTAGTTTTCTTTTATTGCTTTTTTTTTATCATTGTATAATTAAACTGATTCTGTGGTATATCAGGCGTTAACCTGAGCTTATAGACCAATTCAGATTTCAGTAGCTTGTATCCTCCTTAACGAAAAGAAATGGTAACAAAATTTTTCATTTTTTTTTAGAAAATAAAAAAAAAAATCTTGATTAGAATTTACCTTCGCTTGCGATGAGCTCCTGAATCATACGAGATACGGAATTCAGGAGGTTGTATTATCATTAAACTTGATGCTACACATTTATCAAACTTATTATTGGATATGTATCACAGGTCTAACTACAATTTTTTTTTTAGAAAAGAAAAAGCATATTAAACCTTGCGGAATATTGCATTTAATTTGCAATAGAGACAATGAACGTAAACATATCTGAATCTGGAGATAGTTTTAACAATGTAAAAATAAATCATACCTAACTTTCAACTTCCGGTGGATCCTGTCTTCCAAGTAAATAGAGTTGAACCAATCACTCAACAAATAATCGTATTTAAATTAAATTAATCAATTAGTTTATACAATGCAATATACATACACAAAAATCTCTAGGAGTACAATAAGCTCACGACCAGGCTTGCAATTGTTCAAAGAAATCAACTCTGTGTTTAGTATTATGTAAGTTTTGAGTAACTGCAAGTCTTAATTCATCAACCATTGCTGGATTTCCGCAAGTAATAAATGCAATTGACATATCCGCAACACTAGTTTCATATTCAACAAGAGCATCCATAGATGGTTTACCTTCAACAAATTCAACGTTAGGTAATTCTGCACGCAAATTCTCAATGATTGAATTAGGATATGAATAAATAGATAAATCAACTGATTTTGTGTCAATCTTTTCAAGATATTCCTTTTCATATTCATATGGATTATGAGATTTCTTATTGGAACCTCCTCTTTTATTAAAATATTCCAATCCACTTAAATCATCAGGCCGAGTAACAAATACAGTAGTTTGAATTCTTGTACCATGCAATCTTTTCAATTCATCAACAAACCAAGAAACAGATTTCCAATTACGAATAACCCAAACCAATTTAATAGTCTTATTCTCTGGAGCTTTTTTATCAAGATCCACACATTCTGAATAAAGTCCAGGAATACCATTGCCACCAGCAACATAAACCAAATTACGACATCTATGACCTGGACTGTGTTCACCATATGGACCTTCAACAGCAACTTTAATTGATGAAGTTCTATTAGGCATGTTTGATAATCTTTCATACATGGAAAGAGTAATACCCCCTTTAACTTTACAATAAAGAGTAATGGAACCTTCTTGACATAAACCAATTGAAAATGGGTGTGATTGCCAAAAATGAGTTGGGGTAAGGAAATGGATAAATACATGACCACCTGGTCTTGGTTTCCAAGTTCTTGGTTTTGGAATGGTTACTCTAATTGTTTCATCAGCTAATAATTCAAGTTTAGCAGTTTTAATACCAAATGAAAATAATTTTAATAATCTTAGAGCACGATCAAATACCCAAACAGCAATTGCTGCCCAATAGTAATCATCGTATGATAATGGTTTAAGATGATAAACGGCACCAACAATGAAAAATATAACCAACAAGATATGACTAACGTAGAAAAATTCATATGCTTTTCTTCTAAAATATAACATTCCAAAGAAAAATATAAACCCACCACAAACACAAGCAACAATACCCCAAATGACATTGGTGGTTTTCATATTGTTTGCATAAGTGCCATTAGCTTTATCATATATGGAATAAGTTACACCATGGGTAAATACCAAAGCAATAACAACTCTTGATATCCATCTATGATACATCATAAATGTGGAAAATTTCCATCCAGTTAACCACTGCAAAAAATTATTTCTACCAGAAAATAAAATCAATAATGGAACTAAATAACCAACTAAAATACCTGTTCTTGTAGCAATTAATCCTGATAATTCTTGATGAATAGTTGGATCTTTAGGATTTCCAGGAACATGATAAATATTAATACCAGATAAAACAGTAGTCATAATTAAAAATCCAGTAATTATCAAAGATTCTAATCTTGAAGGAATCAATCCACTTATAAATCCCCCAAGAAACAGAAATTCTTTTGATTTAGATTGACTAAAAGTTGCTGGTAACCCAATAGTTTTTCTATAACCATTGATAAAATTTCCAATGAATGCATTAATCATACAACCCAAGTACATTTTCAAGACGAGGTTAATTATGATTGCAAAGAATAGAATAGCTACCCAGTAAGCCAATAAAATCCCACCATAAAGGATAGAACGATTAGTATTTTGATAAAAAACATCATATGATTCACGATATATTCCAAATGATCCATTATTATAATTATATAAAATTGGAGTTTTAACAAGTTGATCTTCAGTTAATTTCCCCCATCTTTTAGCTATTCCACCAAGGGAAAAGTTTCTAAATAAAGTAGAATTAAAATTCAAAGCAAGTTGATATTTAATATACATTGAATCAAAAGTCATATTACACATTTGTGCAAATTCATTAATTATCTTTGAATTATTACCATATCCATTAATAAAACAATCCATTATAGTGGCAAATGCAGGATTTGAATTACAATAACAATCATAATTATGACCACCCCATTCTGTAGGTGCTAAACAAACTGGATTATGATTGGTGATCCAAGCATCACAAGAATATTGCGCAATATCTAATGGTGTATATTGATATGGATGTCCAGCGGATACAAGTGTTATAACTGAGAATAATAGTAGTAATAACCCATGGGATCTCATGATGATGATGAAAGTTTGTTGCCTGTTATTAAAGAAAAACAGTCAAGCAAATTTTATTTGTTTCCCAATAATAATTCGGGGGTCCAAGTGAAAGGGTTTTATACAAATGGTTCAGGCGACTCATTGCAACATAAAGAAAGTCGTGTTTGTCTTTTTTTTTTAGATTTCTATTTGTTGTTCAATACTATTTGATGATCTTCATTGTAAATCTCCACTTTGTTGAAAGTTTCATGATAATATTTGGGGTTTTTCATAAAAATCTCTTTGTTTATTATTGTTAGCCAAACGATTTATTTTTTTTTTTGCACCTAAAAGGTCGTGTGTGCTCGGTCAAACATTCGAGGAGATCGACAATTCTGATATCTGACAGAAGGATCCACCACTGGGAATGTAAATAATGAAATAATAGGAAAAAGAGATTGATAACAACCGGGAATTATTCATCTACGCGGTTTGATCTTAATCGCGATAATTTATAATCTTACCAATCCGATTAACCAGAATATCGAATATGAAACAAACATCTCAATATTGGATTATAACAAATAAATATTCTTATTATTACTATTAGCTATCCAAATACTATTTACACATTCATGAAAACACTAACCACCAAAAACACGTAAAGCAACTACTGTTACACTTCAACATTTCATCTTCCCACTTACGATGCTTACAAATCCACTGCCCTCAAATTAATGATGCTTGTTTAATGGTTCAATAACCAATTTATCAAATGTGTATAATTGAGATATGGTGGTTTGTCTAGTTAACAAAGCTAATTGATTTATACCTTCATTATATAATTTACTAACTTCTTCTTGATTCGACACACCTTTATTTGCTTTGAATGTATCATGAACTTTTCTCTTGGTGTATTCTCTGAAATTATAATTATCAAATTTATAAGCTTTGTTCAATAATTGTTTATATAATTGTAATACCTGTTTTGAGTTAGTCATTCTTGTTCTTGATAGTGTTGGTAATGGTGGTGGTGGTGGTGGTTGTTGTTGTTGATTACAAATGAAAAATTGTGTGGCACCAAACTTTGGATTCGGATGAATCATCAATTTTTCTGTTGTTTGTTGTAAAGATGAAAAATTTCGGTCTGTGTGCAGGAAATGCTTAAAATTGTAGTAGATTGCACGACTTTCGGTCCGATATCAAAAGCCATACAACAAATTCACACAAATTAAATATACAACATCCAATTGAAATGAAATTATACAACTGTAAATAATAATATAAACTAATGATGTCCGGCAGATGCTGCTTCTTCTTCTTCCTCTTGTGCATGTTCAGCAGCTAATTTTTGCATGTATTCTTCCATTTCTTTATTGTTCATATGTTTTCTATGTCTTGAAGATTTCTTTGCCTTTGCTTCAGCCATCAATTCTTCAAAAATTCTAGCTTCTTCTTCTTCTTCAGGAGATCTTTGAACTCTGGACATTTCCTTACCAATAAATAATAAACCTTCGGCTCTGGATAATCTTTCTTTTCTTGAAATGTTTCTATCACGTAAAATAGTATGACAAACTTTAGTTAAGACATCAACAACTTCAAATTTGGTGGATGCCCAAGCAGTAGCCAAAAATTTACCGGTAATGATTCTTTCTCTTTCTGCTTCAGCAGCAATTTGTTCAGGAGTTGGTTGAATACCAGCTGCTTGCAATGATAAGAATTTTTCATGTTCTTTGACCATTTGTTCAATTGATAATTGTGCATCAACTGCTGTCTTAATAATTGAATATCCATTTTTAACTGAATCAGTTTTATGTTTAACACTAGTGAAAATTTTAGAGACACCAAATGTTTTAGAAGCGGAAATTGCTGCATGAGCTTGTTCGGTATAAATCTTACCAATTAAATGTAACATTTGAATACCAAAACTTTCAATTTTCATATCTTCAAATTCAGTATTTAATTTTCTAACAAATGTATCCAATGCTTCTTTGTTGTGTTTTGCAGTTTCATAATTTTCAATTCTAATTAACAAATCTTTAGCCAAATCTTGAACTCTTTTCAATTTAACTTGTCTTGCTTCTTCTTGTAATTTGAAAATTTCTTCCCTCTTTTCTTTGGTCATTTTTTGTTTCTTCTTCTTTTTAATTTCTTCAGAAGTTAATCCATGTCCAGCATCTTGGTTAGGCTTATTAACTGAACTAGTTTCAGAAAGATGCATAGATTGAGTAGATTCGCTCAATTCACTATCTTCATCGTGATCCATAACTTCCGCAGCTTTAGTAATATCATTCAACATACTTAATTCACCAATCCAATCTTTAAATGCATCTCCACCAAATACCATAGTGAAAAATTCATTTGGATCCATTTCTTGTTGTTGTAAATTTGAATTTTCTTTCATTCCTTCAATACCAAATTCATCATAGATTGCTCTACTATCAGGATCTGATAAAATTCTATAAGCTTCACCCAATTCTTGAAATTTTTCAGATGCTGTTGGATCATTTGGATTTTTATCTGGATGTAATTTAATAGCTTTTTTTCTATAAGCTTTTTTCAATTCAACATCAGTAGCATCTACTTCTACTTCTAAAAGATCATAATATGTGGTATCCTTAACTTTAACCATTCTGTCTGTGAATAGTTTATCGATGATGGTTAGTGATAATAGTTGTATACTTGGTGATAATGCTTTTGGTTTTTTTGTTTTGTTTTTTTCTTTTTTACTTTGCTGTTTATGTTTTAGGAAATTTCCCGAGAGATCCATTCTTGGAAATTTCTCGACGCAAAAATCTTTGGAGCTACGTCATAAGAATTGCGCCTCGTCGTATCATTGCCACCACGGGTCACGCCGTAAGTTGCTACCACCGCCACCACCATCACCATCGCCATCGCCATCACGACCTCTCGTGTTCTACACATGTTGATCTTTCCCTCCCAAGTGTATATTTGATTAAAATGCAAAGGTAATGCTATGTACTTCTGGTATAACCAATATAGTTTCCAGTCCATTTATAAATTCAATATCTAAATCATCATCATCTTTATTTAAACTCTTGATTGATACTTTAGGTAATGGTATTTTACCAACGTTCAAAGGAATTAACATCAATTCAGCATTCACATTGTCTTTTGAATTCATATCAAAATTAAACTTCCTAAGTCCTGACATTAACCAATTATCATCCTGTTGTATATTTAATTGAAATTTGCCTTCTTGATTTTCATCCAAATTAGATCCATTTCTAGTTGGCGATGAAGCAGCTAATGGTAATGATTCTTCATTGGACTTTGTATCATCAGACCATTTAGTGATGGTTTTAACTTTAAGTTGAACTTTAATTGGTTCTCCAACAACATATTGTTTTCTTTCATATTCATATTCGACAACTTGAAGATATTTCAATATAGGCATTGCCACCGAGATGTAAAGAAAATGGCTATTTCTAACTAATCTCTTAGTATCAACATCAATCTTATTATCAACTAATAACTGATTCATCAAATTAAATAACTTCTTTTGATCACTACTTGATTCAACATATTGGAGAATAATTTTTTCTGATAATAGATTCAATTCTAATCCATTGGTAAAGTTAATAAAATTATTGATAGCATAATTATTTAAATCAAAACTTGCTTTATTAATAATTATATCCTTCAACAAATACCAATATTTCGATAATCCCAATTCAGTCAATTGTGAGATCACAACTTCAGATATATAATCTTCACATTCTTCTTTCAAGTTTGTGTATTCAACTTTAAGATTTAATACATCTTCACTTGAAACAATATTGTTGGGTATAATCTTGTAGAAAAATGTACCTGGTTGTTCACCAAATGCGACAACATCATGACCTTGTTTTCCAGGTCTAATAATCTTATAATCAGCTTCAGTAGTTAATTCATTATCTAATAATCTAATTGGGTATTTTGAATTTGAAGTGCCAATCTGAAACTTGGAATAAATAAAATCCTGTTTGAATAAATCTTGAACTGTCACTGATATAGTCAATGTGGTATCTATATTGTAAGAGACTTGGAAAATATAATCTTCACCATCGATCTTATACTGAATTTTAGCCCTCATATTGATGATTTTATTCTCACTAAAATATGCATAAGGAATCAATATGTCTGTGGATTCTTTCTTGTCTAATTTTTCAAAAGTTTCCTTCTCTTTTTCAAGCTTTAATCCTTCTGTAGTGGAAAATAACTTTATTTCAACATCAGTGATTTCATTATCACCATTGAAAATCCGAAGAACAACTTCGGATTTTCCCAACTTAACTTGATTAGAACAATTAAATTGAGCGGTAAGCTTGTTTAGATTCTGATACCCAAGTATGTTATCATTCTTGGTCTGTTTGATTCTATCTTGAGATGTATTGTATTCAATAACTGTATCATTCACAAATGATGCATTAGTAATTTGCATTTCCTTTTGTCCATAATCTAGAACTAATGTTAACTTTTCATTCATTTGAATGGATAATCTATAAGGTGAAAACGATCCAATAATGAATCTATTGGTTGATAATGTGATTACATTCTCTCGCTCCGATGACATGTCAACATCATTTGCTTGAAATATCATTTCAGAACCTTCATCATCAACCAAAATCAATTCAACATTCTTGAACGTGAATCCAATTCCAAACGGATTCTTAACTTTTAATCTCATAATGTATTTGTCTTTATTAGTTAATTCATCAGCGTTGATATAAGGAATCAATTCAGTTTTAAAGAAATCATCTAATGAACTTTCAATTTTGACATTTTGCGATAACGAATATTCGTCGACTTTTTTGAATAGTTTCTCAATTTGAGATTTATTCTTAATTAATCTAAATGAGTTGATGTCAACTTGATTAGTTACCAATACAGCTAATATTCTTAAACTTGTAGTTAAAATTTCATCCTTATCTTGAGGTTCGATTTTTAAAACACATTCATAATAGATTTCCAATAATATTCCACCTAAGAAATTCCATCCATTTTGAATGAAAAATTCATGAGAATCCTTAAGAATTTGAAGACATTCACAATAATTTTCCTTTTCATAATTCAAAATAGCTAAATCTATTGAAAGAATATCAATTGTCTTGGATCTTTCACATATTAAAAAATCTTCAATTATATCTTCTGTAAGTCTCTCAAAAACATCTAAATAAGACGATTTATCTTTCATTGCTTCAACTAAAACTAGATTAGTCATAATGGCTGGTGTGGCTTTTAGTTCTTCTGGTTTATCATCTAGAGAAACCTCTTCAAATGCTTGCTCCAATCCTTTAATGTATATACCATTAATCTGAGACAATTTAATAAGTATTGATCTTTGAAGCAATTTCAATTCTGCTCTGGATTCAAGTAGGTTTTTCAATTGATACGAATTATCATCAGGACTATTTTCAGCTTGTTTTATAAGTTTACCAATGATTGGAATGTGTAAATAATATTGAATGACAGAAAATTCGAATTCTTTCAAATCAGTTGAATTCTTCTTTGAAATATCATTTAAAAATAATGCTAAGTTACGATACAATTTTGAAATTTGTAATGCTCCTATTGATATTGAATTTGAAGTATCGGCTAATTTCTCAAAAGTATATGATTGTCTGAAAAATAGAAAACATCTTAATTCAAATAAGTTGACATTTTCACCTGAATATAAATTCGACTTGATTTTAGGTTCATCTATGAATTTTTCAAAATTAAACCCATCAAACGATTCAGGAAGTGTGACGGTATAATCAAATAACTCAGGATGAGTATCCACAACATGATTAAGTTCTTGATTTGAAATTTCAAATTGACTTAAAGTATCATGGAATAATCTCATATCGTCAAACAAATTAGTTAAGCTGTAATATGCAACAAATCTATTGATGCTCTTTTCCTTGTGTTGCTTAATTAAATCAACAAATAAATGATACCTCTGATTGAATGAACAACTTAATAAGCTTTTTATATTTGCTTGAATTTCACTTGAATCTAATTCATTTTGTTTCAATTTCAAACAATTTTCAAAATCATTAGGTGTAATGTTAGAAGGTAAAATAGTGGACAATTCTTTACCATCTTGGCCAAAATCTTTTAATAACTTATCAAAATGTGACATTTTAATTATTGTACTTTGCTTATCTTTAGCATCCAGTGGGATAATCAATATAATCATCCATGAATTCTTATACTTGAATACTAAATTTTTTAACCATTCTCTAATTAATGGACGTACTTGACTTCGATATTTATCAAGAGATTCAACTTTAATAAACATTACTCTAGAATAAATCCCATCAATATCCAGTTGATTCTGATCTGATTTCTTATTGGGAATTTCTTCAATCATTTTAATTGGTAAATTATTGATTGTTTTGAGTGGTTGTGAAGGATGGAACCGAACATGAAGGTTTTGTATTGGGAATAGTTTATCTATTTCATCTTTTATCAATGGATACACTGCAAATGGGTCATAATACCCTATTCCAATCGTATTTCTCTCCGTCATTCCGTATTCTATGTTGAATTGATGATTGAAACTTGTGTTGATTCAAGCAGTAGAAAAAGTACACGACTATAAAATTTTATTCCACCTCACCGATTTTTGGTTTTCGTTCCTCGGTTGGCGTCGCGTCTCTACCAATCTACATTCCCACTCCGAACCACCATGGACAGGGTTCATGGTATACGATTGAATAGGATAAGTAGCACATATATATATATATATATATATATTAAGATACACTGTATTTAAAACCATGGCAATTTGTCATTACCTTCCCATATAACTTTACCATCTCTTAATTGTTCATCATCTTTAGAATTATTCATTAAAATGGCTGATCTTGATGAATTTTCAATACCTGTTTTACTCTTCCATTCATCAACTAAAAATTGTTTAACTGAGTTGCTAATTTCTGATTCCCAAATGACAATTTTATTAGTTTTCATATCTAATATTGGTGATTTAATTAAATAATTCTTCATTAATTTCAACAATTTAATTGAAATTTCATCCTTTTTGGTTTCATCTTCAAGAGAAACAATTTTTAAAACAGTAACATAATTTTCCATAGTTTCATAATTATAATCCATTGTCCATATAATAAATCCAATTGGAATATTTTGAGAATTAAATAATTTAATACCAAACTTTTGAGGTTCAATAGCACTTAATCTTGATTTTATATGTTCATAAGATTCATTATAAAAATCAATTGGATTTAAATCTTTTGATTCATAAAATAATTTATATGAAATATATTTTGATCTCAAATGAAACCAATCAATTATATTTGAATGTGGAATAACCGAAATTCTTGTGAGTTTATCTTTAGTAATTTTATCAATTATACCTTTTTCAAATTGATTTTTATAAATATCCATCAATTCATCAAATTCATGATAATTTATCATCTCAAATGATTCATTTATATCTTCAACTGAAGAATCCAACAAAGGAACGTTAATTAAATCAACACCTAATGATAAAAATCCATTTTTTGCATAATATTCACCAACTTCTGAATATAAAAATATAAATCCATCTTCACCAATAATTTCTTTTCCTATAGTAACTAACTTATCAACCATAATTCTAGCATATCCATTACCTCTATGTTCAGGATATGTGTAAACACCACCAATACACCCACTTAAAATCTCTTTTTCTTCAACATTACCATCTTTATATTCAAATCGTTTAGATTTTCTAATTAATAATTCAATTGAACATAATGGAGTATTATTTGAAATTTTCTTCAACATAAAAACTAATAATCTATTAGGGGATGTAGTTGCCATCCTAGATTTACCCAATACATGTTCTCTCAATACATAATCTTTAGTTGATAATGCACCTTTCCACGATTGTGCATTTTGTGATCTTGTAAATTCGATAATTTGCTTATCTGTTAAATGTACCAATTCAAATTCTTCAGGTTGAATAGATGATGGCATTTTGAAATTTTTCCTTGTGATGATTCTCTTGTCAATGATAATTGCAATGATATAAAAAGAATCTTAAAGCAAAAAAAAAAGATAAGGAAAAGTTACAATTATCAAATCGTCAATTGGTTCTAGTTCTTTCCTAGTTTATTTATAGATTTTCCCTAACCTGAATTGCTTCTTGATACTCCCATTTCAATTTTGCCGTAAAAACTAAAACTAAAAAAAAAAAAAAAATTGTGCCCGTGGGTCGTGTGCAACGCTACAAGAACTCTTCTTTTCTTCTAACGTTAATCCATCGCGAACTCCATCGGATGTCCCTAAGAATTCCCAATTAGGAAATATAGGCGACACTCATTACAACTATCACCAAAAACAACAAATCGAAACTAAAAAAAACTGCAAATTCATGTTTACTACAACACAACAACGACAATCTTGTGTTAATTCAATTCTCCTCTATTGTAACCCATTTGAGCCGATATGGTATTTGCTATAAATTAGGAAATTTAGTCGTAAATTAACTCAAGATTGATGATGTGTCACTAATTTGCCAATTCACTACACGGCAGTTGGTAATACACACTTTATACTGGAACACTCAACTTTTTTTTTGTGACATAATTGAATCAATTAGCTGGCGAATATTAGTCATTGGTTTTATATGTTTGAAATGACCAATGGTACTGCCTAGATTCCCCACATGTTACATAAGCAGGTTTTCGCATCCCCACCGTGCTCTCACACGTGATCACTGATTGCAAGTTCTTGATAAACAACAACTATCACTATTAAATATATATGTCAGATTAAATTCTATTTACTATTTACAATGTCTTCCATTTGTTCTCTAGTTAAAGTTTCATATTCCAACAAACCTTCAGCTAATTTTTTCAATTCAACTTTTTTATCATTTAATAATTTTCTAGTTCTTTCTTCACTATCTATTAAAATATCTCTTACTTCTTGATCTGCCAAATTTCTAATTTCAGGAGACCAAGATTCCCATTCGTCACTTAATCTAACAGGACCAACTTTGTCACTCATACCATAAGATGCAACCATTGCTCTTGCTACACTTGTGGCATTTGATAAATCACTGGCACATCCACTAGTTACATTTTCTTTACCATTCAACATTTCTTCAGCTATTCTACCACCCATTGAAACATCTAATCTGGCAAAACATTCTTGTTTGCTCATATCAACTTTATCCATTTCTGGTAATTGGAATGTAATACCTAATGCTCTACCTCTTGGTAAAATAGTTGCTTTATATAATGGAGTGGCACCTTTGGAATACATGGCCATAATTGCATGTCCTGCTTCATGCCATGCTGTATTTCTTCTACTTTCTTCAGTAATAACCATTTTAGTTTTGGCTGCACCCATAAGAATTTTATCCTTGGCCCATTCAAAATGTGACATATCTACTGCTGGAGCAGATAATTGAGATGCATGAACAGCAGCTTGGTTAACTAAATTCATTAATTCAGCACCAGATAACCCAGGAGTACCTCTAGCAATAATGGAAGGGTCAACATCATCAGCAGTTTCAACATTTTGCATATGATGTTTTAAAATATCAATTCTACCACGAACATCTGGTAAGTCAACAATAACTTCTTTATCAAATCTACCTGGTCTAGTCAATGCTTTATCTAGAGATTCAGGGAAATTAGTAGCACCAATAATAATAATACCTTCAGTTTGACTAAACCCATCTAATTCAACTAATAATTGATTCAAAGTTTGTTTAGCGTAAGCTTGATCTTTTGGATTTCTCTTACCACCAATGGCATCTAATTCATCGATGAAAATAATAGCAGGTGCTTTTTCTCTTGCTTGATTGAATAATTCACGAATTCTTTTAGCACCCACACCAACATACAATTCATCAAATTCAGAACCAGACATGAAGAAAAATGGAACACCTGCTTCACCAGCTGTTGCTCTTGCCAATAAAGTCTTACCAGTACCTGGAGGGCCAGTTAATAATACACCTT